AAACTAACTTGCTAAGAGCTTTGCTTTCATTATTTTGCTAATCTGTTAGTGCTCTGGTACTGTTTGAGTTTGCTTATTACTAGATTCTTCTTCTTGAATTGCTAGCTTTGCTAACTTGAAAGTATGTATGAAGTTGTATAAAGCTTCTTTTTCTGAATATTCTTCAATTACTAGCTTCAATCCTGCGCTATTAATTGTAACTATCTCTCTGAATATAGCTTATTCTTATGAAATCTAGCTAATAGTTCAATTAATTCGAGGATTATGCTTCTTAAGCTATAAAAGCTTTATAATCAGCTCATGCTATGCTATATTCATGATATTAAAGAAAGCTTTAACTATATATTCTTGGATTAAGATAAGTAAATGATCAGTCTTCTTATTAATTACTCTTTGATTATATGCAACAGATTATTCTTCTATAGTGCTGAGAGTGTATAAGCATCTCTTTCATCTCTATTGTAGTTATACCTGATTAATGATATATAGGAATATAAAGTTTCTCTAAGCGCTACTATTCAATAGTATGCTGTACTTGTATTCTTAAATATATATATTAAACTTAATATAAGCATAATCTGTTCTAGAAGCTTTATATAAGAACTATTCTAATCTGATTGTTTGCAGTTCCTTTACAAGCAATCCTATTCTTTTGAATTTATTAAGAACTGCTTATTCTTCTAAGCTTGCTTTGCTGCTTCTTAAGCAAGCTTCTTAGCTTGCTTTTGCCTATATTGTTATTATTCCTAGTCTTTCTTCTATTAATGCTAGTTGCAAATCTTATTATTAATATAAATCGTACAGAGTATTATTTTATACTGCTATCATTTTACTTTCTTATTCATGCATTATATGGAATAGTTATCTAATAGTCTGATATATATATTGTAATGCTATCTGTTGAAAATCTTTCTGAAGCGGAGTTTCTATTCTTTAATAGCTTGAAGGATTTGTTCTGATTCTCTAACAGGAAACTATTCGTATTATATCTTGTTTGAGAAATACGCTCTGCAGCTATAATAGATGCAGGAGATCCAAGCTAGTTCGTGGTATAGATTGTAAAGTGAGCTGATTCAAGGGTTCTTATCTTTTCATGCTTTAATGTTTTGCAAGAGAATGCAGATAAAGAGCTTCTCTAGTTCTATCCTATAAACAAGATATTTAATCTATATTATTTTCTTATTCTACTCAATACTAAAGAGGAATCTTCTTATAAGCTTCTTAGATTTATTATTTATAAGAGATTCTGATAAATCATTAGATTATTTGTTTTAGCTTGATCTTTCTGTTGCTTAAGAAGTATTTTTAGTATTGTTTAGATATTTATACTAATAATCAAGAAGATATTATTCTTTATTCATTTCTCTGATTATAATATCTGGTACAGATAATGAGAAATAGCGAAGAGTATTGTTATTAAGCTCTTTCTTCAGTGCCTGAATGCTTCATTTAATAATATTGAAATAATTCGAATTATTGCTGCTTATAGTTATGCTAAGCATATATTCTTATTCTGCTATTGCTATCTGCTTATAGCATTTAGATTTCTAAGGAAACTATTCTGAATCTTTCTTACTTGAGAGATATATTAAGCAATTATTATTATAGCAGAATGTTCAGCTGAGACTTTTATAATCAATAGAGTTTAATACTTGCTTCAAGAGAGTATTTTTGCTCAGTTGATTAGATTCCTGTTATTGAGCGATATTTATCTAGTATTCTTTCTGAACTAATTGCTATTTATTCTTCTGAGATTAATAGCAGTTACAAGCAATATATTCTTATTTATTATAGTTATAGCAAGTAATGTTATTTCTTTTGCTATACTGCTTGTTAATAGCATTGAGTTTTATAGAACTAGCATGCATAATGCTGCTTTAAGCTATACTGCTATATTAACTGCTATTCTTGTTTTGAAGTTTCTTGCTTATATTAGCTGAAAATCTCCAAATTTAGCTTTCTTTCTTCTTAAACTTCTTTACCTATTATTCATACAAACAGTTATTAATGCAGATTACTTAATTAGAGAATGCTGCAAAGTCTTCTAGCTAATTCTGCTTAGAGATTTCATTCTTAATATTATTCTTAAGCTTCTTATAGTAATATTTCATAAGATTCTTATCTTTCTATAGAAATCTTACTAAGAATTGCTTGAATCTAACTATATAAGCAGAAGCTGATTTAGTTTGCTTGAGATTCATAAGCTGTTAAGCTATAGTGCATTCTTTATTAGGATTATCAAAGATTTCCTTAAGAGCTTTTTCAAAGCTTTCAAAAGAATCAAATATATTCTTAATACTCTAGATATGCGCATTAGAGTTGTTCTGATGCTCCAAATGATTATATAGAGAAGGCTTGTATTAGATAAGAGTATTCTTTTCGAAATGAGTTCCTGCAAGAATAACTTTCTTAGATTTCTTAATGAACTAAGTCTTGTAATACAGAAAATATACTCTGCAGTAGGTAAGGAATTTATGCAGTATCTTTTGATTGCTATTATATATAGCAAGCTTATTTATCTTATATGCTTTTCCAGCGCTATTAATAGTTGTAGAGATAAACTGCGCCTGCTAAGCTTATTGAGCTAGCTAAGCTTGTTGATTGGTGATAGTAGCATTCTGAGCTTGCTATTGTTTATACAGATTCTAAATACGCTGGATGAGCTAATATACCTGATTAACCAGTTCTTCCTGAGTAGGAGCGTATAAGGACGAAGGGATTCCTGAAGAAGCTATTATATTCTGTATTGCTCAAGAAGTAATACTGAACTATTCTTGAATAAGAATTATCAAAATGTAATAAGCACTGCAGCAATCCAAAGATTTCTAAGTATATAAGAAGATTTATGCTAACAAGAGCGATATCAAAGTATCAAGTTCTTAAATACAGAATTATATAAGTTCTAATAAGCAAAGCAAGTATTCACTGCTTTTGAAGCTACTTAGTATATAAGACTGAATACTTAGATTAATAACTAAAGAGCTATATATAAGATTTATCTAATAGGAATAAATGTATTCTTATATATTCAGCTCTTCATCGTAGCTTATCTAGCTTACTGTGATCTGTGATCTGTATTATGATGATCCGTGATCTGTATCGTAGTAATCCAGTAAGCAGCTCATCTATATTATTATGATTCAACTCTAATCCTTGCTTATGTAATTCCTGGTGGTTGTTCGATGTTGAGTCGTGATACCTGGTTCCTTGTCAGCGGGGCCTGTTTCGTGACCTGCATGTTGAATAGGTCATAACACTTAATTTTATTCTTAAATTTTTTATAATAATATTTAATAAAATTCTTATTTTTCTATAAAAATTATATAGTAAATTATTTAAATTTAATTATATAAGCTAATACTAATTTAATTTGCTTAAGATTTATTAATTATTTAGCTATTATATATTCTTTATTAGAATTATTAATAATATTCTTAAAAACTTTCTTAAAATTTTTAAAAAAATTAAATATTTTCTTAATAATTTTAATATATATATTAAAATTATTAGTATATTTTAAATAATTATAAAAAAAAGATTTATATTAAATAAGAATATTTTTTTTAAAATAAATTTTAATAAGAATAATTTTCTTAGATTCTATAATAAACTAAGAAATATTATATAAGAAGTATATCTTATAATAAATAAGAAATTTCTAAAAAAGTTTCTAAATATTATTATATATAATAAGTTTATTTATTTTATAGCTTTTATTGCTAATAGAAATATAATAGAAGTAAATATTATACTGAATTTATTTCTGCTGAGTAGCAATAATTCTCTGTAGCTGCAGCTGCTATTGCTCGAGCTATTCAATATATTTCTAAAGCTAAAGAAGCTGCTAAACTAGCTTATTCTAATAGATAGATAAAGAAAGAATTGCAAAAGCTATTATATTTTTATATTATTCAAGTAGTTAATACTAAACTATTTCTGAATAAGAGTTATTAAAATATAAAGAACTATATTATAAAATTCGAAGATCTAAAGTATATAAAGAATTTATACTAATAAGAGCAATATTAAAATAGAATTTATTAAATATAAAAATATAATTAAATAATTCATATAAATACTAATTATTTGCTTTTAAAGCTATTCAAATATATAATAAATAAATACTTAGATTAATAACTAAAAAGCTATATTCTAATAATCTATCTAATAATAATAAATATATTCTTATATATTTAGCTCTTTAGTATAGCTCTATGAATCTAATAGCAGATTTATAGATTCATGATATAAGAATCTGAAGCTCTAGAAGCAGAGTTGCAGATTCTTTCTTTATTACAATTCTAATTCTGAATTATATAATACTGCTTGTTATTCGATGTTGGATTGCAACATCTGATCTCTTGTTAGCGAGGCCTGTTCTGTAACCTGCATGCTGAATGAGTTATAATATATACTGAAAAGCTGAATATATAAGAATATATTCATTATTATTAGATAGATCATCAGAATATAGCTCTTCAGTTATCAATCTAAGTATTCATTTGTTATATACTTGAATAGCTCCAAAGGCGAATAAAAGCACTTGTATAAATTACTTGTTACATTCCTGTATTCAATTAGTTATTACTTTAATACTGCTCTTGTTAGCATAAACCCCTTGTATACTTTAGGATCTTCGGATACTGCAGTGCATCATTACAGTAGGGCAAATTGATGAACTCGCAAAGAGTGAACAATTGAGGCGCTCCGTTCTCCAAAAGCTGGACAGGCTCGGACTTCCTCCTGGACTCTTTTACATACCAGTACTACAATGCAACGTTTCAACGTAATCACGACCTTCCAGTCAACAACGCAAGTGAGTATTCTACCGACTTGGTATCGAATAAATCTCTGGAATTCTTGGATGAATGAGCAGCAAAGAATGATGGCACGCCGTTCTTCCTGACCGCTGCTCCTACAGCTCCCCATAGCGATGTTATCATTGGTAGTCACTAGTTGAATACTAGTATGCATCGTTTATTGTGAATATATCTGCTTGCTTATGGCTTATTATGCGTGTCCTCAGGACTCCACTTGCAGTGCATTGGCCTCTGCTCGAGCACCAACGTCCTGCAAACTATTGCGAGTATGAGTGCTAATTGAAAGCTCTATAGCCTATTACGTGGAGGAGTCGGTGCGGCATGCGAATATGTTTTCTGACGCCACAGTCCCAAGAACCCCTATTTTCAATCCTGACCAGGTGATTTGTGCTTCTTGATTGCCTCGTCTCTTACACACGTTGTTGATAGAGTCATCAAGCCCAATGGTATGGCCTGGATAAAAAATTTGACCAGCCAGAATAGTACAGTTGTCGATTACAACGACAGTTAGTATAGAAACAGGCTACGGACCTTGCAGTCCGTGGACGAAATGATCGCGGCCTTGATCAATAAAATTTCGGATCTGGGAATTTTAGACAACACATATATCTTCTACTCAACAGACAATGGCTTTCATATCGGCTAGCATCGCGCTCAGCCTAGCAAGCAATGCTAGTACAAAGAGGACTTTGACATCCCCCTCATAGTGCGAGATCCTGGTGTTGCCAGGAATACCACCACAGATCTCGCATCCTCGCACACTGACATCGTGCCGACCTTCCTACAGCTAGCTGGCGTTCTACTGCCAGATAACTTCGACGGCAGCCCAATGATGATCTCCGCAGCAGACTTCACAGCTGTCGAGAGCAATCGAATAGGTGATGAGCTCATCAATACCGAGTTGTGGGGCATTATTATCCCGGAAGGCGAGTATGACCAATTTGAGTATATAGATCATACGTACAGAGCCATGAGAATCGTGGCAATGGTTACCATTACCTGCACTCGGTCCGGTGTACTAATGAGCATGAGCTATATGACTTGATAGTAAGTGAATCCTGAGGCAAACCAAAATCTCGGCCACTTCGGCATTAACAAAGCCTACGCGCAGAACAACCTATACGAAACAAACAACTTATACTATCTACCACAGAAGGCAATGACTATCACCATATCCTGTAATATCAACACCTCCATTTGACTCAATAACCTATGCTGCAGACCTTACCACCTTCGTCACTGCTACTGCGTCTGCCACCGGGTCAGATAGTAGTGATAGCAGCATAAGCAACTCTTCATGCGCGGTAATATTCGACCGGCTGCTCCCTCACCTTGATTCTCTGGACCTAGTCTTGAAGACCTGCAAGGCAAATAGTCGTCGCAACCCCTGGAGCATTGCGCACCCAGAGAAGAACATCTACAGCCTGTTGCAAGCCCTGGATCCGGAGTAAGTCAAAGCACCCCCTTCCCGATCACCCTGGTCAACCACACCGCCTTTTCAACCCCTCGATATATTTTTAATTTTCTTCATCAATCCTCTTCCAATTCACTTCAAACTTTCATCATAGAGTAAATATAGTCCAATGAAGCAGTATACGGAATCTGAAATCGTTACCGCCCTCGAGGCTATCAAGACAGGCTGTTCTCTTCGCAAGGCCTCGATCGAATGGGGTATCCCTTATACAACACTTCAGAACCGTTTAACAGGCGTTCAGTCTCATCAGATAGGTGCTGAATCTTTTCAAAGGCTCTCTTCTATCCAAGAAAGAAAACTAGCTGAATGGATCCTGATTCAGGAAAGCCTAGGGCTTCCACCAAGCCATTCAGAGTTGAGATTCTTCGCACGGAAGATCCTCCTCATCAAAGGAGATACTGAACCTCTTGGAAAGAGATGGATCCAGGGTTTTTTGAAGAGGAATCCAGAGATACAGATCAGAAGGACTCGCTGGATGGCTTCTGAACGAACTAATGGAGCTACAACAGAGATAATACAGCTTTGATTCTATCTTTTCAATCTTCCTCGCATCCAAGCTATCAAGCCAGCTAATCGATGGAATATGGATGAAGCTGGGCTTATGGAAAGCCAAGGAGAGAATGGATTAGTTCTTGGAGGCTCCTCTTTACGTTCAATTGAAAGAAAAGAGCTTGGATCAAAAGCCTGGACCTCTTTCCTCGAGTATATCTCAGCCACGGGAGCTCACCTCCTTCCTCTGGTGATTTTCAAAGGGCAAACTGTACAGCAGCAGTAGTTTCCTATTGATTTGAAGCCTTTTGAGAGCTAGCAGTTTACTGCTACACCAAACGGATAAACTTATGATAAAATGGCACTTGAATAGCTAGAAAAGATCTTCATCCCAGGCAGCTTACTAGCGGATTCCTCAGAGACCAGACTATTAGTTCTGGATAGCTATAATAGCCATAAAACTGACGAGTTTATGTAGCAATGCTATCAAAACAACATCCTGTTGATCTACTTGCCTCCTCATACTTCTCACGTACTTCAACCTCTCGATCTAGAAGTCTTTTCATCCCTCCAACGGGCATACAGAAAGGAAGTTAGCAATATAAGCTAATAAGGGGATTCAACTATTGCAGGCAAGCGTTTATTCCTCAAGAACTATCGTCTAGCTCGTCTGGAAGGTCTTTCAAGCCAGAATATCAGATCTGGATGGAAAGTAACTGGTCTATGGCCCCTGAAACCCTTCAAAGCGCTCTTGAGCCCTCTTCTCCTCGAGAATAGTTAACCAAGCATTCAGAGCCAGTCAAATTCAGCCTCAACACCATCAACAGTACCTAAGCTTCCCCCAAAAGCTTCGTCAAGCCAGCCTGTAGTTTTTTCAATGCCTCACAAGGCTAAACAGCTATATTACCAGCTACAGGAAACTCGGCAGCATCTTTCAACAGACTCAGGCCGCCGTATGCTATTCAGGAAGATAAAAAAGGCTTATGACGAGAGAGATCTCGAGTTTGCAAGGGCATTGGAGGAAAATCAGATGTTGAGGAAGCAGATTGAGGCGCTGAAGCCTAGTAAAAGAAGAAAGGTCGATGTAAGCCCGAATTCGAAGTTTGCAGGGGTTGAGGATATACAGAGGGCTCAAAACGCAGCCAATCGAGATGAGGATAGTCTAGATGAAGAGAGCGGCCTTGAATTATCTACTGATGAGGAGGATTGCATCGTGGTGGGTGAATAGGATGAGTAAATCTATATGAAATATATATATATATATATACGGTGTGGTTGACCAGGGTGATCGGGAAGGGTAGGTGATCGGGAAGGGGGTGCTTTGACTTATGATTACTTCTACGAGGTGCAGCAGAACAAGGTACACTTCGATGCTTGTCTTGCTGGGTACCTGATTAACAATGAACTGCCTGTCAACGTAATTCCTTATACTCTGGACTGAACGTACTCTGGGCTGGTGCGATGATAGAATGGTATGATAGATTCAAGGGACTGCCCATCTGGAGAAGGATGTGGCTGAGGACTGAATTCTGCTGCAGGGCAACTTTCATGATTACTCTTTACATGCGCTATTATCTTTGAAAAGTGCAGGGAATGGTATAAGGTATATTGGGACACCAGCAATGTCGTTATGTTCAACGCAACTCTTGTCTGAGTAATTATTTCTCAGTGCTCAAGAAGGCCCCCTCCCCCCCTTCCCTCGCCGAGAATGGAGTGCGACAGCGCACGGTTCCCTGGAATGACTGCCAATGCCTCGAGGAGTATTTCTGTGGATTACAATCTGCGAGTGGGCATGAAAAGATCAGACTTGATTAGTATGCTATCATCAGTGCCACCGACTATACTTGAGGTGATCTGTCAATACTGTGTCTTTTTCTCAATCCAACTCGACTATCATGGCAGGGAACCTAAGCACTCACACAAGGATAATCTGCACCCTGTTGAGATTCGAATTCACCCTTTCCATTCCTCAAAAGCGTCTCCGTACATACTACCGTGAACATAGCATTGCCCAACAAGTCTATAGCAGCGATGCTTTGGATCCCTCTCTGATCAGATCGACCCGGGGTGATAGCGAATGAGTATTCGGGCTCGATTAACTCCCTGTCAATGTGCATGGTACTTGGGGAGTTGACTTTTACTAAGAAGTGAAACACCTCGTCAATAACACTTTGATCATATTCTCTAAATGGACGACTATTTCTGACGCTTCTTTGTAGATAGAGCTCGTTGGATCGACTAAGTGTTGTTTCGGCGTCTCATTTGCCTGGCCGATACCAATCATATCGATCCAGATTGTGCGCGTGTATGCTGGGGCTCCTCAGCTGTCGCAGAGGGCGGAGTAAGCTGGCCCAGATTTCTTTTGCAATGATTTTGAACAAACACTCTTCTCTAGAGTCGGCGACATCTCCCCATATATATGGTAGCACTTCGTAGACAGGAGCATCAATAATATTGTAAATGATCAGATCGCATATGGATCGGGGCTGAAGGCTGGCCAGGAAAAACGTTGAAGAGGCAAGACCATCTTCCAGGGGGTGTGAACTGGGAAGCCTTGTCTACTAGCGCCTAAATTACTGTCTTCAACGGCATAATAGAACTCGTCGAGGTCAGTGTCCCTAACTACTTGATGCCTCTATCATTTTGACAGACCCAAAGATCAAGCTTCGACCGTCGATGTACTTGTGATGGAAAGAAGTAGTATCTCAAAATCACATATCGGGCTGGTTAACCTAAGTCATTACTGGAAATGCTGGTCAGCCTACTTTGTCTGCAACATGGAAGACCAGGCATGATCTTCAATATAATTCAACGGTGGCACAGTCTCAGTACGGGTATGCTCCAAGGGAAGGAGTGGCTTTGTCCAGCTGTACATATGCATCTCGGTTGAGACTGACGACACTTGGGTTTCTGGTTATCCATATGAGAACTGCCACTTATCCAGAACCTGGAAGGGTGAATTGGTACTAGGTAGTTGTATCAAACGCTTCTGCCGTCAGAGCTTGGGCAGTCATGATGAGTTGTTCATCTTGAAACTCATTTCAGGCACGCCTCCATCTATAGCGTGGCTGGGCCAATAATGAACACGATCCACACCGTCACACCAGCCGAGTCCCCCGATATATCTGACAATGAAGTGGCAGCGTTTGGTGTTTCGAGCCTTCTGATACTCATAAACACCAAGGCTCTTCGCGTAGACCCTCACAAGAACCATCAGTGACAACATATGACTTAATATATGTTTGAGGAGGCCACGCTCCTTTGCAGTTTGGCTGCTTTACCCAGTGTCTGGCTTCGTTTCTGTTCGTGAGTTTGTACGTAATGACTGTATTTGGCGCCCTGATGGAGGCCCTTTCTTCGACAGCCCACGTTGTTCACCGTGCAGATTCTAGTTGTAACTCTATGGCTACCTGAGCACTTAGGCAAGTAATATTCAATGACCGCCCAATATCCTCCTTCAACATGCAGAAATACTCGTGCTGGACTTAAATCATATCGCACACGGATAGAGTTGGTCAACCAACCTGCCTAGTGCAGTCGCCGCCGGATAGTCAGAACTTCCTTTGCATAACAGAGTTTTCCTGGAGTGGATGCCACGATTTGCTACAAAGGAAATGTTCGTGAGACTGTCTGAGATGAAAGAAAGAGTGGATTTGAGTCATAAACAATACCCAATTCATCAACCGAAGACTGGGTGGCAGGACCAGTCAGGATAGCTCTAGCCCACCCAATGCCCGGTAATTAAGGCTCCCACACATATTGAATTTGGGTATTAAACAGTAATACACTTGGGACCATTGCCTCGACTTCACGGTCTGGTGTTCAAGACTATGTTATGCTATCGATGTCCTTCTTCTGGAGCATCTTGTTTGCCTCGACCGAGACCTGATGATGAGGACGACAGAAATATCATTGTGGAGGACGATAATACGATCAACTCGGATTGCTGCAGTATTGAGTTGTCGCATATCGACATTGGCAGAGTCTTTCTATATTTCCTGCAGTCTTCCGCAAACAGTGAGCAACGATAGTAATATTTGCTTACGCATCTTGAAGTAAAATAGCCTTGTAGCTTAGAAAAGGATGGTCCCATTGAGCCAGCCACCGCAATCTCCCCGGCCATGACTAGGGTATTCTCGCTACATTGATTATCTACCCGTATACCCACAGTCTCAGCGCAGGCACGTACACAACTACCGGATGTATTATGCGAACTGGACCACAACAGCCATGACTTCCTTTTTGAGTCTCAGCCGAGGGGCTTGGGAGTCTGAATGATAAGCTCGACCGCTAATGTGGCCCATACTTGAGTGTGAGGCAAATTGGACTTTCTGGAGGCACAATCTGTCCCTGCGCTTCGCTGGTCAAAGTGGTGGTGGTATCATCCTTCCAAAGAAGTAGCGCTCGGACCTCCATGATGAGGCGTGATTGTCGCTTTTGCTTACAGTCATCCACCCCAAGTCTTGTCATGATGACCAGAGTCTAGCCAGCTATTTGTTCCCTGTTTTGGAGGCCGCAGGACTGATGGTTGTGTAGGCGCTATTACTACTTTGTATGCAGATCAACTTCTTGATGATGGTCGAGTGCATCATTCTTTCGATGCAATTGCAACAGTCAAGCAAGCTCGGTTGCATTGCATCTGCAGAAAGAAGCTGCAGGCCTGCGGGGAGTGGGCGGAAAAGTGTACTACCTATTGTTACATGCCACATGCCTCCGAGGTCCAGAGCCCGGAATAACAACTTCGGGCGGACATCAGACGAGGTTGATAATATCTCCGGGCGGTCCAGTGGACTTTTGCAGGGGGTAATATGTATGTACTACTGTCGCATGCAGGAGTTGCTTGCAACCCCCACGCCCTATCAAGCGAGAGGAAAAATGAGAGAAGAGCACAACGTGCTGCAGTGGACACGCAGTAGTTGTTTGGGACCTTTTATCGGTCCCACACACATTGATCATTGACCTTCCCTTTCCGCTGAATTAGCTTGTCCCGAGTAAAGCCGGTTGTTCCATCTCCAACTGGAGCTGTTGAGTGCTCGATACGCATATGACCAATCAATCCGAAGAACTTGATCGACCACTCTGAATGCGCGATTTCATAGTCGTATTGGGGTGAACCTATCCCGCTCTCCCCTTTCCTTTAAAGCACTGCATGTCGGCACAAGAGCCCAAGGATTATCTTTTTTAAAGCTGCCGGGCCCGGTGTAATGAGGACTGGAAAGCCCTGCTTCAACTTCTTCAACCCCACTGATTGTTCGAGCCCAACTCGAGGAATACACATCACTTTTAATGCACTTGAGCATGCAAGATTGGATGGCCATATATGTGCATGATAGTGGCTGTGGTGGTGCGGCAACACAATATGCACACAACAGGGAACAACATTATCATGACAGGGTCTCGAGAGCATGAAAAAGTGTGGCTAATCACCTCATCTCCAGAGAAAGGTTGCCGTTGGTCAGCTCTGTCTGGCCTTTGGCGGTGCAGACCCTACCACGTGCCTACTGTGCATTTATACTATCTAGAATACGTACAGTAGTGTACCAGCCACTGCTGGGCTCCACCACAAACTCCTTCCAGCCAGTCCGGATAAGTACCCGGTCTCGGGACAAAAGCTTGGGCTTCACCACTGCCCCATTACCCACCGTGTTTGTCAATGTCTCCACAAGTCTTCCGAAAGTCGAGATGCTGAGCAACCCCTCAGGGTTGTGGACCTTCCGTGCCTTGCAGATACTACACCCTGCCCAATCAATGTTCCGGCCATCCGTCACTCCTCTCGGGGGCCCTTCCTCACGCAGACACTGCTAGTCATCGTCTGAACCAAGTCGGATGCCGGGTATCGCTGCATGATTTATGTCCACGAGAAGAGCAGGGATGAAGGGCCCCGATCTTGTCGTTCAGCGGATAGGATCTCCACGCCCATGTTCCCCTCTTCCAGGTGGCAAGCTTGGGCACTCTCACGGACCTCTCTGCTCGGCCAACATCTTGGATTTGGACTAGTCTGATCTGTCGATGTGAAGACTTAAAAAGTGAAGGTATTCTCAAAGAGGTCCTTGGCCCGTGCTGCACATGATGTCAGGTTGTTAGCACGCTGCGGGCTCGGGTCTCATTTCCGCGGATGGATGGCCTCTCTAATTCCCAGCAACCTTTTGGAGGTAGGCAGGCTGGTACGAACTACAGCAAAATCATTGTTGAGACATAGATGTGCGGCAGTCGATCATCATGTGTAACACTACTATAGTTTGTGCTGCGCGTGTGTTTGCGTGCATGCATGTGTATATGTCATGTGTATGTGTATGTGTGTGTGTGTGTCGATCATCGTCATTCACGTCAAACCCTTCCTCTTTTCTCCCTGCTGTGCCTAATGGCGTGGTGGTGTCTACGGCCTGTGCTTACTCTGTTTCAGAAACTTAAAGCACCCAATGCCTGGAGCTTCAATGCCACACATTCTCAAAAATTCCCCAGGTTGGCGCCACTAGCGTCAGGGGACCAGACTCCGACAATAGCCACGTAACACTGAAAAAGGGATGGGACTGACTGCGTGCTGCCAAATATCGTCGGGGATGGCTCCTCGGATCCGGCATAACTCGCCAGGTTTCTCTTCTCAGATTATTGTATTGATATGGCACAATAGCAGGACCCGCAACAGCCGATCAACCGATCTTGTTCACCAATACTGGAAATCGGCTCGGTTTCAGTCCCGGCAATGTCACATTGTGGAGAACACTGACGGGGCCTTCTGGCGATATCAGTCTAGTTCAATCTTCGAATTCAATCCTGTGGGCCCACCACCATAAACAGACAAAAAAAGCGAGCGATTTTTGCAATGGCAGAGGCGTCAAGTGGAGCTGTCTATTGCAGAGATGAAGGCAGCGTGCCCTGTTCAAGGCCTTCTACCGACACGAGAAGAGCTGCAAGAATATCTTCACTCGCCATTGCCACCTTCCTGCGGCGGCGTTAATCCCAAGTCTGGTAAAGGTTCATTTGGAACCCATAGCACAGGAGGGAATACGATGTACATTAGCTCTTAGTATATGATGGTGTTCCATATCTGCAGTCCCCCGCCTTTGGCCCACTCCCCCTTGGGACGTTGGTCCCTGCTGGGAGGGTCGCAAAAGAAAGCATGCAGGTCTGTTGCAGCTTTGATACATACAAAGATGTTCTCACTAAATGTTGTGCCTGGAAACCTCTCCTCCCACCTCCCCCCCCCTCCGTTTCAGCCCACAAATTTCCCACCGCCACACTACAGTACCTATGGCAGAGGGGGAGGCGATGGGGTATCCTGGACAACCGAAGTTGGATGTCGTCCGGAACCAAGACCACTGGCACGCCAGGGGCTAACCAGGAGGAAGAAGGAAAAAGGGAAGAAGACAAAAAAGCTTGATGCCATGGTAGTAGCACTTGAGAACCCTTAAATGCTGCCCAACCCCTGGAAGGGGAAGCGTTCGAGACTGCTCATGCGAGCGTTCATCCAGGCCTGTCTCTGTCTGTCTGCTTTTCCCCCTTCTTGGACGAACATCGTCGAGCCGAGAGCCAGAGGTCAGGCTCGGTGCATCTGCGATGCCTGGCATCAACCAGCTACCTGCTGGCGCCGAATTTGCAGCGGCGATTTCACTGATCTGGGCGTCGTCAAGCTGGATATGTAGCATCCTATTGCTGTGGTTGACATGGTCTCACCACGAAGGATGGTCATGTAAGCAGTTTACCTTCTTTTCTTCTTTTATAATTATGTTTTAATTATTCGATTCATCATGTGCCTATCTCCGATCACATGTACACGCCGAACACGATACTGAGCTCATATCCCAATCACAGACCTTGCCCTCCTTGCCATATCATCACTCTTCAGCAATACCTTTTCCATTATTCAACAAAGTCGAGATATAACTTGGTACATCGACACCGTAACCGAGCAATTCCATATCAAACAAAGACTGCCCGGAGACGACCCAGAACTGGCCATAGCTGGCGGGTCTTATGGTGTTGATCTGGTCCTGTACTACTTACGTACGTCCTGTATACTATCACCTGTACGATGCGAAGGAGGACCTTGTCGCTAACACAGAATGGCAGAGTATTATTCCTACAATGTGCAAGCGATGCTTGTCATGTTTTGGTGTGTTGCTTCTCTGATGCGCACGAAATACTGAATAATCATGACTCTTGTCTGACAAACGCCATCCAGGGCAGTCGAGCTTTGTCAATTGACGTATCAGGTCAGCGAGAACCGCAAGTTTCGGCGTATTTTCCGAAAGATTCACGTTGCAGGGAAATACGTGTCGTTTTTGCTGCCCTTGGTCACGATCCTCTGCCTACGTATTCCTTCTCTGAAACAGAACTTCGTGGTATTCATTCTCATAGCTGATCTACCCTGTGAGTCGAACCTCTAAGTACTGTTTGTCCCAAACCAGTATGCGCCATGATTTGGCTGATGTTTCAATTATTCTAGTAATGCTCAGCCTGGCCATCTCGAGCTGTCTTATGATAGCGGTTACCTTGCGATATGTCCGCTCCAGACAAAAGTTCACACAATGGAGCCCTCAAAGGTTCAACTCCGGCGGCAGTTCACAAGCAGGACACAGTTCGCAGGCAAGCTCCAAAGTCGCCAGCTCTGGGGGAAATAAGGGGCTCTACGACCGCTGGCTCCTGGTCCGATTCACGATTGCTTTCGTGCTCCTTGCGTGAGTCTGCTCATAATAGAATAAAATTCTCACGTAAACTTCCAAGATCAAAGCTGACAGCGATCTATAGCGTCTTCGAAGTCACGAATGCCCTGTTTCAAATCACGACACTGAAGAGCAACATCGAGGACTCAAAGGCTACGACCCCAAATTTGAGCACAGGGCGGGCGAACCAGACTTTGTTCTTATTTATGCCAGGGACCACACCTGGGATCTTTCTGTACATTGTTTTCGGCACCACAGCGGTCTCGCGACGGAAGGTGGTGGACTTGATACTGCCAAGACGGTGGCGTGAATCACGGTCCCAAGGCTCGACGAGGGGGTGTTGCTCTTGTTTCGGTCGCCGTCGCGCCACGCAAGATGCAGCCGCCCTCTCGGCTTGCGAGGGTGGCATCATCGTCGAGAGGTCTCTTGTCATCACGTCAGCCAACCGCACACGCACATCACAGCTGTACGAAGTGGAGGACTTCTCGGACCCTGGCGAGATCTCGCTGGGTGAGATGCCTAAGCGGTCCAGCAGCTTCAATATCCGAAACTCCGGCATGAAGCCCCTGCCAGTGGTCCCAAGAGCACCACCGACGTCGATATACACGACATCTACGACCCACGCGCACTCCTTCAGACCGCCGCGTGAGACCGCCAGCAGTCCGGTCCAAGTGGCCGCAGGACTGTCCGCCATCGTGGAGAAGAAGAGTGTAGATGGCGAGACGGTATCCAGGACGGACACGCAGGACTCGTTGCCAGTGCCAGATGATTACCAACGGATGGGCCCAGAGCACAGTGACGATTCTGGGCCGATATTGCCCATCCAGAGACCCGAAGTGCGGTTCTCTACAAGAATAGATGTTCTTGACGCCGCCAGAGGAGGCAAGTTATTTGGCAGACAGTCCAAGAACTTCTCGCGGTCAAGGGAATAGTTATCTCATGATTTTTTATTTTTTTTGTTTGTCTGGAAACGTTTGAGAACGGCCTCAGGAAAAAACAGAGTCGATCCCGGAAATGGGCGGTTATTTGATACCCTGTTCTACTAAGTTATTTTTTGTATAATATCTGGTCGCCTCATTGTCTCATAGTGCGATTATTATTTGTGTAGCCGAGTATGACAGACCTCATAGCATGAGTGTAAGATTAAAGTTGCCAAAATGAGGCCTCAAGTATTGTATGCAGCCTTGAGCAATCTCAAGATAAAACCAGACTTCTCGAGACGGTATAAAATATTGCGTGTCTTACATGTATGTCATACATGCTCATGCCCGATACACAGCGCTCCTCAAAAGTATGTACAATATAGTTGCTAGACTTCGGAAATTCCTTATCTCAGGCACTATAGCCAAGTGGTTACGGCGCTGGCCTGCTAATTACAACTGTAGTTAACAGATAAGCCAGTCCCTTCGGGGGCGCAGGTTCGAATCCTGCTGGTGTCGTTTTGCTTTTTTCACCCAACCTTTTTGCTCTTTCCCCTGTCTTCGTTTGCATTGCCCCTGTCTATCCTCATTAATTTTCATGTTCCTATGAATTTTTTGCCTCTTGTGCTTTGACAATTTTGGCGACTGTGTTTGCCCAGGGTCTTCCATTTCCGTTTCCCGTTTTTAGCCACTCCTGTATTTCCTCCCACTATATCCTGGATCGGGTTGCCCACAAGACTTCTGCTTTGCGAGCGTATATCTACATATGTGTTTGTTTTTGGTATTTTCAATTTTTAGTACTACTCTGATATATATCACGGAGGCTATGTTTGGCAATTTGTAGAACCAATGCTGGGGTTCGTTTTCAGCACATGGTCAATCATCTCATATTTCCAATATTTGCTGCTTCTCTATTCAATAATGTAGCTCTCTTGTATGCAGACTCACTCTGCGTCTGTACCTTGATGACCACTTTCGCGGCTTTTGTCGTTTGGCAGCGGCTAAGATTGTTTCTCGAGCTCTCACAGCACATCCTAGATATTTGGGTTGATCACTCCATATTTGCTAGACAACGAAGTGAGAGTTTACCGACTGATACTGGTATTGTGCCCAGAAAAAAAGGCTAGAGATTGTGAATTACGGTCCGCAAGTTGTACATGATTAGCTGCTATTTGTATGTATAGAGCCTGGCGTTGTCGTTCCATTTCCACACCCCAAGCATCACCAAGTTCGTCTCTACACTGTGTCTCATTGCTCCCTAACATGAAGATCACGGCACTGCTCCTTCTCGCAGCCTCTATTATCGCTGTGCCCTTGCCACAGGGGGAACTTTGTTAAGTCACTTCTACTGCTGCCTCTGGCTGGATTTCAAGTGAGACTCTTTCTAAGCAGTTTGATCCAGAGGACGCAAAGGTTATCAGGCGAGACGGATCGACAGAGTTCGACACTGATCTCTGCCTTCTTAGAAGGGACGAAGTGAAGCAAATCGGCATTGTCGGAGTCGGCATAGACGACTGTGACTCCTGGGAGGAAGGTTATGTGTCGAAGGAGAAGACTAGGGTGCGAGGTTGTTGAGGCCCCGGGGGAGGGGGGGAGTCGGCGCAGCGGAAATGGCGAAAGAGAGTGTGACGGTAGATCACACGTATTAGCTACTGCACTAACAAATGGCATCACTGGTAAATATGTTGCTGGCCCGTGATGATCAGTACTAACTGCGACCAAAGTCGTCCGGCGTCGTTGCAGCCCTGAAAGCGTTCCCTGGCAAACACCAACCCTAAGCCGTTTATTAATTACTGTATTCCGTTTCTTATTTCGCGTCTCTTGTCTTGTGTAAGTTTTGCTTTAAAATTTAGTCTCTTTGGGGGCGCCAGTTTGGATCTTGCTGTTCTCGTCCTTTGTTCTTTATGTTAAGAGTTGGCTGTCATCCTCGAAAAGGGTGAAACTGAGATTGAACTACCACGTACGAGAGACAACTTGCGGCTTCGGCGGTCAGAGTCGTGGTTCGTCTCACCCGACCTTTCTTGTTGGCCAGACTCTTAATTAATCGGGCCCAGAGCAACGAGACCCGGCCTCCAAGCTTGACTTAATGGGCCAGAGAGCTGAGACCGTCTTGGCGATCCTTCCACATTGTATGATCCTACCTCGCGCCACGATGGATCAGGGTGCACAGCCTTCCTGGATGGGCAGTCTTGAAAAGTTTGGGACAATGTTGGATCTCTTGCAGTTATATGTCCAATTTCAGCCTAGCCATAACAACTCACCTCGCAAATCTAATATTGACCAAGAGACTCAATTTGAAACCTTTGCAGTTCCAGGCCTTGTATTTGAACTCGAACTCAATGCAAGATCTTGACTTAGCTTGCACGAAGACTTAACTTAGGCCTGGAAGTGATGAAATACTCGGGGCTTGTAATGACATTGGCAGCAGGCATGACCAAGTGTACACTATCAAGAATGATATTTACAGTATAATTTATTGGTTAACTCACACTCAGAAAGAATAGATTCTTAACCTCGCTTGTCGTTTGGATACTCGGCATCGGTATCCTCGATAGCACTTCCACACCCGGTGGTCGGCTGCGGCGTGGGCCAAGTCAGTGTTTATGATCATTTGGAACTGTGCGTGCGACCTCTCTTCCGGCCTTCATAATGCTTCATCATCGTGTTTGCATATTCAACTACACCTGAAATTGACCAACAGCCGCCATTTGAGAAGAACTGGAAATCAAATGGGAGCTAATCAACAGTGCAAACACTGAGAATAGCAGGGCCTGTCGTCAGCCCTAATTTTCCTTAGTAAACGGCGGAGGCCAGATCTTAAGACGACGAGCGAGCAGCCAGCCGCCTCTCCATCCTGGGAAGCTCTGACGTTCTTCTTTAATTGTAGAAAGAGCGGAAGGCGGAAGAGGAGGAGAAGCCATTGTGCATACTTCGATCTAGGAGGGGAGAAGGGAAACAAGGATGAAAAGCTGGCTCGAAAGCTGCTTGAAGCTCTTTTGTGGCTATTGTCTATGATTCTGCCCCATTGGAACATCTGTGGACCATATGGACTGATACATACTCAATTACTCAATCAACTAAATGAGTAGGAGAATTGAGATACATTTGAAGACAAAATGTAAACTTTGTTCCCGCCAACCTAGCTATACCAACAACAGGACGGACGGCACCGGACAGCGGAGTCGGCCTCACTCGGTGGATATTGGTCCTTACCGTCCTCTGCCCGAGTACTCGCCGGCATCTTCAATTTCTGCCCTCGATAGCGTAAACGAGGAGCGTGACAATATATCTGTCTGGTGTATCTTCAAGGCCAACTTTGTTCAGCGGAGGCTGGGCTTCCGCCTTGCTCGCAATGCCTTGGATTATCGTCTGTCCGCAGACGAGTTCTATGATACTCGTCAACTTCTTAATTTGACACTGTGAAATCGTGGAGTTGGATGCAAGTAGAGGGTCAATTTTTTATATTTTTTTTATTGTTTGGGTTGTATTCTCCTTTTTTTCTCCTTTTTTCCTTCCGAGATGAATAAGAAAAAGCAAAACAAGGGCACCATCAGCGAATATGTATCGAGCATAGCGGTAACATTTTGGGAGAATATCAGCATGTGAAAGCGCGGGATTGGTGGCGTATGATTATTGACCAGGAGCAATTCTAAAAATGAGTGCATGTCACAGCCACAGCCTATCACAAGGCGGATACAAAATTATGAATCCTGACACTGACTGGGAATTTCCTAGTGCTGTGGGCGTCTTGGTTGTAAGCTGACATCCGCGACCCCGCTTGCGTCCAACAGGTCCCGGCCCTGTCGCTATACATAGCCTGTTCGGTTAATAATGTCACCCTGATGGTCTCCTTGGGTCGACCACTCGGTCAGGCTAAAAAAAAAAACCCACCCCCAGAGCAGCGAAAAAGAGTGTAGAAGGCAAAGGCATCGCGTGCACACACGGCTCGAGAGGATGTTGTTGGCCCGCACTCGGCCGTGAGTCTGACAAGATAGATCCATTTAGCTGGTTCCGTTTCAGAATGTTCCCCAGAATGGGAGCATATGGGAATTGCACACTCACAAGATTGCCATTGTGAATCATGTCATGGGTGCCAAAATAGCTGCAGCAGGAACAATCGCGACAGAAGGAAATACATATATGCACGTCGGTTGCTCATGACCACACTTTCTATCAACCACCACCACCACCACCACCACTCATCACCACTTCTCCATCTCCTTCACACCACCTTCTCGGTCTGCTTCACAGCTTAGGATCATCTCCACACTCAACAGACAATCTCAAATCCTCCAACCTCCTCTTTTTTCTCTCTCTTCCTCTCTCAAGATGCGTGCCACTATCTTCTTCACCGCTGTCGTCGCCAGCCTGATGAGCGCGACCACCGCCCTGCCCATCGAGCAGAGGGTGCACGGCATCGTCCCCCACCGCCAGGGAGCCCATGAGCTGCACCAGCGCGCCATCCCTCGCTTCTAAGTTTTCCGCCGCGAGTCACAACTCTTTCAACTCGAGAAATGAACACCATCTGAGCCGTCAGTCATTACTCTTGACGCTGATCCTTGTGCAACTTCCGTGAGATCTCCTCACGGTCCGACGAATGCTCTAGGCAGTCCTTGTGCCTGATGCGAGGACACTATGACCAAAGCCCAACCTGGACCTCGTCGGAAAGCTAGCAAAGACAGCTATTCAGTTTCGATTGAAGAGCAGTCTCTATGGCCTCGTCCTTTGGGATGGATCAGCCGGTGGAAGCATGAGAGGCTAGCCAGGCTAGCCTCTTTACCGTCTTGTTTTTTTAACTTCTCTTCTTCTTCAACTTTTTGTCCTTTTTGGGTTTAATTACATTTGTATCCTTAGAAAGACATTTTAGGATTTGGCGTTTGTTCTGGGAATCGTACCACTCACTGAGTGAGTACCCAGTGGTTGTTAGCAAGAGAGGGAGGGGAAGGGAAAAAGGGGGTTCTATATCAAAGAGTACACTGTATTTTCGCCTGTGAATTTCGCACTGCTTTTGGGAAAGGGCGATTGGGCGGTAGCTTATACAAGCACAAGAAACTTTTGAATTTTCAAATATTGAGATTTTGCTTATTGCGCTTGAGAATCTAGTAGTCTTTTATTTCTCATATTTTGCTGCCATGGCTTTATCTGTAAAATTGTGTTATTGACCTGGATAGCTCGATAGGTGTTTGCCTCTGCAAGGCATGCTTTCAAGGAAAATAAAACCAAGATGATTGCAATAGAAAATGAATGACGCTTACTGTGTACCACACAGTAACATGTGGCAGGCGGACGCCACGGCACGATCCGCTGGGTGAATAGACGCCAAGCGTTGGTGCCTCCGGCCCCGAAGGTCCGAGCCCGGGAGCATACATAGCGCTTTTTACAGGGCATGAAAAAAGTGGTGACGTCGTCTACAGCCAAACAGGCGGGCTGGAGTAGAAGTATGAGACGCATCTTGTTGTTCGGACTCGGCAAGATGGGATGTCCATGTACACCGATGTCCGAGTGTACACAGTAGTGAGGGCCGGGAAATGCAACCAACGTCTCTCTTATACTCCCTGCAAAGCCTACCCCGAGATAGTTGCCTCACTTTATAGCCGATCAGAACACCAGTGTGACGATTCGATGCATGAATGTCTCGTGTGACAGAAGCGCATGGAGGACGGAATTATAAATATTTGACCCCTCTCTGACCACTGTCGTGTCATATGGGGACCAGCAGGTTTCTTTTAATCATACTGCTTAACAATTCGACGAAATTTATCACTTGGCCACAGGAACTAAACTCGCAACGTTGACCAGAATCCAATACCGGCCTTCTCAATTTTCCCACCAGTCTATAACAAGTCTTAGCACATCTTCACCCTGCCATGGCTCCCCTCAAAGTCCTCATCGTCGGCGGCGGTATCAGCGGCCCAGCGCTGGGCTACTGGCTGTCCAAGCTTGACTGCGACATCACCATCGTGGAGCGCAGCCCAGATCTGCGCGCTTCAGGCCAACAGATCGACATCCGAGGCCAGGGGCTGACCGCCATGCGCAGGATGGGCCTGGAGCCAGCGGTCAGGGAAAAGGTTGTGCATGAGCATGGCCTGAAGTTCATCGACGAAAGGGGCAACGTCAAGGCCCTCTTCGAGGCCAATCTGTCGGGCAAGGGCCGGCAGAGCTTCACGGCCGAGTTTGAGATTATGCGCGGCGACCTGGTGCGAATCCTCTATGCCGCCACCAAGGAGAAATGCACTTATATCTTCGGCACAACGATCGAAGACTTTGAGCAGCATGGAGATGGCGTGCATGTGAAGTTGTCGAACGGGACCGAGGGCGACTTTGACCTCCTCGTCGGTGCGGACGGGCAGAACTCGAAAACGAGGAGAAAACTGCGTGGCCCCGACCAGGACGACGCCTTCCACGATTTGAAGTTGTTCATCAGCTACTTCACTGTGCCCAAGACAGAGAAGGACGAAAACTACGCGAGGGTGCTGTTGCTACCCCGCCGCCGCCTCATTGCGACCAGAGTCGATAATCCCAAGACCATGCAGGTCTATCTCGGCATCCTCGACCCCAACGATGAGCTAACGGAGCTGGAGGAGGCGATGAAGTCTGGCGACGCCAAGAAGCAGAAGCAGATCTATGCAGACCAGTTCCGAGGGGCCGGATGGGAGGTCCCCAGGCTGATGGAGGGAATGCTGCATTCCACAGAGGCAGACGACTTCTACAGCCAAAAGGTCGGCCAAGTCAAGATGTCCAACTGGGCTAAGGGCCGGGTGGTTCTCTTGGGTGACGCTGGCTATTGTGCCTCCCCCGTCAGCGGCATCGGTACATCTCTTGGGCTTGTGGGTCCCTACGTGCTCGCTGGCGAGATCTCGAGACAGCTCAATCACCAGCAGCAGAGCGGCAGCGCCACCTCGCAGGACCACGGACGGGCCATCGACGTGGCGCTCGAGTCTTACGAGGCGGTATTCCGGCCCTTTGTCACGCAGTGCCAGAAATTGCGCCCGGGTGTGCCCTCCATGGCGTATGCTGACGGCGAATGGGGAGTCTGGCTGCGACAAGTTGTCCTTGGCTTGATCTCAACCCTACGGCTTCATAAACTCATTGAGCGCTTTTCGTCGGATGAATTTGGTGGCGGGTGGAAGCTGCCAGATTATCCTGAGCTGAAGTATGAGTACGGGTCCACAACAGGGGCCATGAATGGCCTGAATCACCAATGAAGATGAACCTGGATACATCTACCATTAATTACTTGGCCAGGACAGATGATGGATTCGCGTTGGACGAGCGGGCTTGCGTGTGTTGGTTTTGTTGTGACTTTTTTTTTGGTAGGATATGAAGGAAATCGACCTACCTGGTCGCATATCTTTCATAATTGGGCAGACTATGGACCATAAAGAGTGCTTTACATATATAGCCCATGTACTAGGGATTTAGGAAGTTGTTTACCAATATACGAACTGTACTTCCAATTTACGGCCGTTGAATGTTTGTCTTGATTGAGGTGATTGCAGACAAAGTGACCGTCAAGTTTCAAAAAGCTCCCCAAACAAACTGAAACTAGGCTAATGACACATGAAAGGTGTCGGTGATTGTGGTTATATGCAGAGCACTGGAAGTTTGCTACAAGAAGGTCATAATAGTGGAACGGCAGCTTCACACCGTCTGGCCTTGTTCGCATGTCTCATGGTGGCTACCTTCACTATCATCCATGGATAATATTTGTACCCTTACCAGCTCTCATAGGTCTAATTTTTGTGACATTTTCTAATACTTGAGCGGAACTCTCATCGCTGCTGCTGCTGCTGCCGCCCTCTAAGTTGATTTCATACCCCCAACAATCCTTCCTTCCTTCTATGGCCCTCGCGCTGACAGTGCAAGACAATGTCACCCATATCAGCAACAAGAGACGATAATTCGGATGGCAACGGTATTGACCCTGTTTGGATCACTATTGCTGCAATCATACCCATTGTGTTCACCGGCGTCCTGTTCTGCTGCTTCTGCGGTTGCCAGCGACGCCGTGATGGGGTCCCAGCTGCTGTGAGGATAATGACTATTCACTGTTCACACAATTCTTTGGCACCACTTACCATGACTGATGTGTTTTACCTCTGGCAAGGAAGAAGAGAGGCGGCGCCAGTGGCCCAGTCCAAGGGGCGAGGTCGAGTTCTCGGAACGCTAAGCCTGGAAGGACTGGCAATACTGAACTCCTCAGAGGATGCAAGATACTTGGGTTCTGGTGAATGTGGGATACCTTCATGTAAATATATTGATTCCTGTCTTCCTTCCTTCTACCTGCTGCTGGATCTCTTGCTTTCATGGATCCTTTGAGCAAAGTTGACGTTGTCCAGTGTCATTATACGCTTATCAACATGGCAGTGCCATCGGGTGCATCGCTACTACCCCCAAGAAAAACATACATGACTCAAAGGCTCCCTTTCTTTAACTGTGGCACGGGGAAAGAACGATTCGTACATACATCTTCTGATAAGTCAAGCTTCGTTGGAAAACATGGTGCCCAAGCCCGGATCTCAACAAGCACCCAACTTCACAAGAGTATGACACAGCTTCAGCATTTCGCACAGCTCGGATAGCATTAATCCTTCCCCCGTTTTCCCTCTCTATAACCCATCAAGTCATCAATAGACTACCACTTATACCTAATTCCAACAGAACACATCGTTTTCAGCATGTCGACCAATCCGTTCAGAACTCCGACGAAAAGACTCGCGGGCTTGCGCTGCCCACGGAAGTCCAGCAGAAATGTGAAGAAGACTGCGCGCTCTCCACTCATGCCGACATCTCCTTCCAAGCTGAACACACGAAACGATGACATCTTCGTCAGACAGCAAAAGGAAGGCAAGGATTCGAACTTTCCAGCCGAAAATGACATTCTGAATATCGAGGTCGCTGCGCGCGCACAGCCGGAGAATCCGCCCCCGCCCACCATGAAGACCACCACAAAGAGGCAGCGCAACGGGATAGAGGCTGAAAATGAATTGTCTCGCCCCAAGAAAAGGAAGCAGCAGCAGGAGAGCCTAGCCGGAAGCTAGGAACAGGAGGACCCCAGCAACAGCAACAACAATGAAGCCAGCAACGAGAAAGGAACGTCATGCCGGGCAGAGGAGACAGACAAGCTGTCCAGTGGAGACCTATCGTCTATGATTGGTGATCTGTACCAGGTCTCTCACACGAGGCCACAGGGAATTCTGCGCACAAGTTTCAGAGAGGCTTGGATACCGCCTTCGACGCCGCCCGAGAAGGTCGTCCGTTTCACCAGGAACGTCTCGACAGCTGAGCAATCACCTGTTGCAGCTACTGGGCCCCCGGCGTATTCAACACATACACAAATAAGGCCTTCTACCAGATGCTCGGACTACGAGGCACCGTCCGACCCCATATACAACACTCTCGCCTACGGCCCACCTTGGGCTGTGTTTACAGAACAAGAGAACGTGCATGTCGAGACAGTTTCCCCACCTCCAGTATATGTCCCAAGCCCATCTCAACGCGTCCGCGGTGACATCGCCTGGGGCTGGCCCTGGGTTGATAGACTCTCCCCATCTAGCTCGGAGTACCATGCCTTTGCGGCAGATGACTACGAAGACAACGATGGCGACGACAACAACACAAATCTCGTACAAGAGAGCATCAATTCGGCGCTTCTATGTACTATGCCGCGTGCTAGGCAGTTAAAAATGGATCCGGCGATCTCGTGCCCCCAGCCGAAACTCGGGCCACGCCCAAGCCCGATGTTGACTATGCCAAAGCTTTGCCTGTGAAGGCTTGACAACTGGCGGTAGCAGATTTCTAGGCGGGTTTGGTATTCGAAGTGGACTAAGATGAGTTGCTAGAGTATGACAGTGGGAATCAGTAGTTGAATTATGGTGGGGAGTAAAGGTTGAATTGCGTTGTACGTCCTCCCGCTTTAGTAGCACGCATTTCTACAGGATCGACATCTGCACGATGGAGCTTCTCTAACAGCATTCTTACGTGGCATCACAATGGTTCGTGAAGAGAGCACAGAAAAACTATTTGGTGTGTCTCAGGTTGAGCTAGGGTATTGAGCGGTAGGAGGTGGTATAGAAGTACTGTAGCATCGTGGGAAACTAGAAGCTCTAGAGATGTGCCACACAAGGCAGGTATACAAAATTATTCGTTTTCGACACACTCACTTCCACCGAATTTATATTGTCTCCTCCGTGTCATGCAACCAGTCCCACGCATCCAACCCTAAATCACCTTGTAGCGGCTGGGCAAGAGTAAATACCACTACGACATTTCTCTGGCAGAGTGTTTGCAGCAGTGAGGGCGAGCTGGCTGAGACACAAGTTACTTGAGCCAGGGAAACTCCAAAACGGGCGGGCAGGGCATCCCATTCCTGGCCGCTCTAGGTTAGCACGAGAGACATGAAGACGTGGTTGGGGGTAAAAAAATAATGCTTTTCTATGCCCTACAGCTGAACTAACGCCGGCCCAATGAACCAATTTGCCGCAATATACACCAGGAGGAAAGGGCTTTTAAATGTTAATATACAAGAGCACTGCCGTGCTGCACCCTTGGGTCCCTCACTACGCATCAACGCCCCTCCCTTCTTGTTGGGCAGCCTGTGCGGTCAGCTGCTCCTCCTCATCGACGTCGACAAGCTCGTGCTTCCCCTTCCAAGCCTTCTTAGCCTGCTTCTCCAGCACGTCCCAGTCGCCGCTCATCTCGCACATGTCCTTGAATTGCCCGCTCTCCTTCTTCATGAGCTCCCATGGATGTCCAAATTCCAACACACTGCCCTTGTCCAGCACCAGGACCTTGTCGTAGTCCACAATGGTCTGGAGTCGATGGGCAATCGTGATGATTGTGCTGCTCTCCAGCTCGCGCAGCGTCTCCTGGATCTTGGAGTCCGTGGCATAGTCGATGGATGCGGTCGCCTCGTCCATGAGCAGGACTCTCGGGCTCTTGAGCATCGCGCGCGCGAGACAGAGAAGTTGACGCTGGCCCTGAGAGAGGTTGTTGCCGGACTCGGTGACAGGCGACGAGAGGTCCAGGAAGATGTTCTTGTTTGTGGCGACACGGGTAGATGAGGCTGAGGATGTGATGCTCTCGGCAGCTGTGGTTGCTCCGGGAGCGTCAGCGAGCGATGACGAGGGACGTGTAGACGTCGGGGTTGTCTCGTTCGGTCCGATGAGTTGCACACGGCGCAGGGCAGCAAAGATCTGCTCGTCGTTGTACATGTCGAAAGGGTCCAGATTGCTCTTGATGGTGCCCATGAAAAGGGTCGGGTCTTGAGGGACGATGGTGAGTCTCTCACGCAGGTCACGGAGGCCGATGAGGCCAATGTCGATATCATCAATGAGAATCTTACCCTCCTCGGCCTCGAGAGCACGGAAGAGCGCAAGAGCCAGCGACGACTTTCCAGCACCGGTTCGGCCGACGATACCCACCTTCTCCATAGCACCAATCTTGAAGGTAAGGTTCCTCAAGACGGGATCAAGATCTGCTCGGTACCGCGTTGTGTAGTTGATGAACTCCACCGAGCCTTTGCTAGGCCAGTTTTGAGGTGGACGGTTCTCCTCCACAATCGACAGAGCCTCCTGTTCGACATCCATATACTCCTTGATACGCTCAACCGAGTTCATATTCTGCTCGTTCATCGCGTACAGACGGACCAGCCAGAGCATGTTCTCGGCGAATCCAATAGCGTATGACAGCGAGATACCAGCGGAGCCAGGATCAATCGTACCAAGACTCAGAATGACGAACATACCAGCGAAGAAGGCGACCAGATCTCCCAGGAGGTCAGTCCTGAATGCGAGCCATCTATTAGCAGCCCACAGGTAGATGAACGGACGCAGTTGCGCATTGATCTTGTTCAAGTTCTCGCGGACAAAGCGACGTTCATCGCCGTAGGCCCGGATGGTAGTCACACCGCTCAAGGTCTCTCCGAATTGTTGGAAGAGTGGGCTGCGCTGCACAGATTCAAGACGCTTGAGATCTCGAGACGAGGCAAGATAGAACTTGCCGAGGAAGATGTACGAGACAGTGATGAAGAAGCCGGCTATGAGGAACCCAGGGGTGACAGTTGCGATCAGGACAATGGTAACGATGATGCCCAGTGCACAGGTCATAACTCCGATGGCGACGGGCGCGACCTCTTGATCAACACCCTCGAGGTCTTTGCTGAAACGATTCATGATCTGTCCGAGAGGAGTGACATCGAAGAACTTAAATTTGGCCTTGGTGACGGCTGTCATTAGACGAGTATGAAGCCTCCATGATGCCGTTAAGGAACCAAGGAAGATCCAGAGATCCCTGAACAGAGCCGCGGCTGCACCTATCAGCCCGATAATGGCAAGAACGGAGAGGTAGTAACCGACGTTGACACCCGAGTTGTCCGCGACGGACAATGCTGCTGCACCAGTGACGTTGCTCTGGAGCCATGACTCTGGTTTGACATAGGTCGCAATGGAGGCGAAGTAGGTTGGCGAGACGGAGCCTGTCTGGTAGTTCTGGGAGCTCGTGCTGAACTGGATCCTGGACACGTCCTCGGTCTGGGGATACTGATTTGCCCAGTGCTTGATCCACAGGTTAGAGGCAACACCGGTGACCTGCTGCGATATGAAGACAACGCTAGCAATGATCCAGAACCACCAACCACCCATTGAAGCCAGATAGAGCTTCAGCACCGGCCACTGGACTGCACCGACAGCCTTTGACTCGTCCATTGCCTCCTTTTTTTCGCCCTTCTTGCCACCGGACTTGGGCTTAGAGAGGTTGTCGCCGTCTCCAGCAGCATCGATCAATGTGTTTCCACTCTCCTCGCCAACACTAGACGGCACACGAGAGGGAACCCGCGATATCGAAGCAGAGGCTGTGCCGGGCTTGGCCTTCTGGACCTCTTCGCCCAACTTGCCCGAGTCTATCACCTCACTGGCGGCACCCTGAATAGACACTCGGCCGTTTTCCATGACAACGACGTAGCCCGCATGCGGAACAGTCAGCGGGATGTTGTGAGTCACCAAGAGGCAGGTCCGTCCGCTCATCAGAGGGCCCTTGAGGCAGTTGTTGAAAATCCATTGGGCAGTGTGAGAATCGACAGCGCTGAGACAGTCATCAAGGAGCAGATGCTTCGAGTTCGAGTAAACGGCTCGCGCCAGGGAGATACGCTGCTTCTGGCCGCCAGAAAGGGTGATGCCCTTCTCGCCGACCAGGGTATCATCACCGTTGTCGAGGATCTCTAGGTCTCGCTCGAGAGCGCAGGCGACGATAACCTCTCTATACCGCTTCTCGTCGAACGGTGCCGAGAAGATGATGTTCTCCTTGATGTTCGCGTTGACGAGCCAGGCACTCTGAGCAACATAGGCGCATGTCTCGGCTAGGTCCGTCTCGGGGTCGACAGGGACATCCTCGCGGCTGCGACCACCTGGCAGATACACCTTTCCGCCCATCAAGGTCATCTCACCAAGTAGAGCCATCAGCAGTGATGTCTTCCCTGAGCCAGTAGGGCCGGTGATGACATTCAGCTTGCCAAGCTTGAAGTCGATGTTCAAGTCCAGCAAGCGGAAGGCCATGGAGCCATCCTCGGCGACAGCATTGCTGCCCCCCCAGATGAAAGTCGCGTCTCTGAACCCAATGACGCGGTTGCCGTTCTCGTCGATGTTGTCCTCGCCAAGCTGGTCAAATTTTGTCGTCTCCTCCTCGTTCAAGAACTCCTCGATACGGTCGATAGAGACCTTGGACTCTTGTACATGGGCGATCATGTCGCCGATCTGGTCGAGTGGGAAACGTAGCAGCATAAACAGCGAGATGGCCGTGAATGCGACCGAGGGATACAGAGGCTTCTTCTCAATGAGTGTGTAAGACAGGAAAGAGAAGAACGTGATTAGTATAGGAACCGTGTTCCACACAGCAACAGCAGCTGCCCAGATCATGTACCGCTTCCGCAAGGCCTTGAGCTCTGCCTTACGCTTCTCATCGACGATCTCGGCGAAGCGGTATTCCCAAGCAAAATACTTGATGATCCTTATATTTTGAAGCACCTCGTTCGTCGTGTGAATTCGCTTGTCAGTAGCGGCCATGATCTTTTTCTGGCTGCTGTTGAACGCCTTTCCGAAGTAGATGTTGACCGGCAGCAGCATTGCCATAACGATGAAGCCCGGGATCGCGCTCAAACCCAGGACCTGGTAGAGGAGGAAAACGGAGACAATCAGCTGCGTCGGCGCATGCGCGACCAAGAAGTGCAGGTACGCGGTCACCTCGGACACCTTGAAGCTGTCGACGGACATAAGGTTGATGATAGTGCCGAGATTGGCCTGCTCATCGCTCGCATCCTTCTTGTCGGCATCAGGTCCGTCAGTTGACGCCGTGGCACTGCCATTCTGCTGCTTGTTGCCATCTTTGCCGAGTCCCAGCTTCTTCTTGAGCTTGGCCATCCAACCGGTCTCTGTCGCACCATCCGTCTTGATCTTCCCGAGGACAGCGTCATTGCCAGCTGCAGCTTTCCGCCTCAGGGCCTTGGCGTAAATATCGCCGATCAGAATAGCTCGGACGTTGATGCAAATCTTGCGACCGATCCACAATGCACGGTTGTCTGCAACCGTTCTGACGAGGTCCGTTACCGGCAGCAGAATGACATACAGCCACAAGACGTTAAGAGGGGCCTGACCGGGATGCTCGATGTACTCTAGGATGGCCTTGAGAAGCATGGTCGGCATGAATGTGAAAATCCCCGATAGGATGGCCCACCAGACCTGTGCGAGCAGCATCGTCTTGAAGTACGCGAGCAGATGATAGGACAGAGCCATGGTCTTCTTGGCCTGACGGTAGTGGGCCAGCACCGCACCGGCCTTGTCTTTGGGCATGAGGTTCCATACATGAGCGAGTTCCATAGTCTCCTTGTAGCCCTGCCAGGTGATCGCGTCGACCCATGAGAACGTGAAGCTGGAAAAGATGGATGCCAGGGGTTCCTTGGACGGCTGAATACCGTCCTCCCACTCTAGAAGCACGGTCCGGTTGCCCTTCCTAGTGGTGATGGCGATTGTGAACAGCAGGGTGGTCAGAGCGAACTCCACGATGACCAGAACCTGGGTCAGCCTCGAGCTGGGTCGGATGATGACAGAACGGCATAGAACCAGGGCGAACAGCCACTGAAGTGAGTAGATGGCTGCCGTGTGATTCCAGAGATGAGGAATGCGCCATTGAGTGTTTCGGAGGAACAATCGAAGGCTGGCGAGGGTCAAGACGTAGACCCAGGTGACGAGACCAACCACGGAGGGCAGAGAGGCCTTGCCCCCAAAGGCGCCAGTCACAAGTGCCGTGATGTTCACGGCGACCAGCCCGATGATAGTTAGCTCCTCTACGATAACAACGAGGTCTTGCGCCAGCGGCGCATCTGCCTGAACAATAGATCCCCTTGTGGTGGTTTTCACGAGGGCGAGCCGGCCACCGCTGATCTCGAGCGCCTCATCTTCAGAGTCCTCCAGCACCTCCTCCTCCTCGGCGGGAAGGTCGGTATGGGAATGTATCGCGTGGCCGTTGGTGTCTCCATCTTGTATAGGGGCGTATGCCTCTGCCTTTTCCCTCCTTGACCTGACTGTCCGTAGGATGTTCTGTAGTAAGACGTGCAAGAAGGATATTGATATTATCACAGCGGGGAAGACAACCTTGAGATAACTGCTCGGCGAGGCGCACTTCTGGTCAGCAGAGGGGATTGACTCGGTAGGCGGTGGGTATAGAAGAATAAAAAGAAGAAGGGAAAAAAGGGATCATAAGGGGGGTAGGGCGTGTGGCACTCACTCTCTCTGGAAGCACAAGGTAAAGTCGTCAACTCGCCATACTGGCCACGAGCATGTCGCGAACCCAGAATCGAATCCAGACACAGGCCCAAGCATTATGTCGCGGCGCCCCCAATCATTGACACCACCTTGCCGTGGCTGGCGGAACCCAGAGCTGGTCAGCCGATAAGCGAATGACGGTCGGATGTACTCGGTGGCAAGGGTAAGAGTCTAAGTGTGAGGTCACTGCGACAAGGTGGCGGTGCTGGTCGGCCGCAGAGGCGTCGTCGTCCTTTGGCGAGAGCAGCAGCAACAGTTATAGGCGGTGACGAATCTAGACCCAGGGCAGTAGCTACAAATTAGTATTAAAGGGAAAGAGAGGCCAAGAGATCTTGACAGTAAACAAATAGGCGGGAGGGGAAAGTAAAGAGAAGGTGGAGGACGGAGGTAGAGAGGGAGAGAGGAGAGAGAGAGAGAGAAAATACAAATTCCCAAAAAAAAAAGTTCCGCCCTCGGCAAGAGACAGAGGCAGGCGGAAGGGGTGACCGTTGAAGGTTCGTGGAGGAATTACTGGGCTTGCTGGGGCATATCATGTTACTGCTAAGTAAAAGGACTTGTCCGGCTAGTGGGGTTGACCCCTCTGCCCGCGCACCCTGCCATCTCTCTCTGGTCATACTGGGTAGTGCCTAGTGTTCTGCTGATAGTCCTGCAGCGCAGTCAATACTATTACTGCGTACGTACGCTATCCAGCACTGCGCTGCTGGTCGCTAGAGGCATTACTGCGTTATCGGTGGGGCTCCCCTGCCGACAAGTGAAGGCTAGACCAGGCCGGGGATGACTAAAGCACGCAAGTTACCGAGCTATCTTCCCTATCGCCAGGCAGCAAGGGCCACCCTCAGGGAAGTCGACCACAGGCGTGTATGGGAGACCCCTGCGTTCTCTGTATCCGAGATGGTCTTACTTTGACCATGGTATACCTTCTCTGTTTAACTTTTCCCGTCAGTTGCCTGCGAAAACAAGATCCAGAGACTCAAATGACGAGAGAACTCAATTCTGTGGGCATGGCGAGGTAAGAGATGCACAAGTAAGGTGGTTGCAGGTCCAGGTCCAATGGCGCGACCGAAATTGACCTAATACCCAGAACATTTCTCCACCACCACGGGACCCGTCCATGACGCAGACAGACTCGAAGACCTCATCGCGATCCCAGGATTGCCATGTCTCACCACCCTTCACCTCCGCGTCCCCCCCCCCCTTTATCCTCCCCTTCCAACATCCTCTTTCTCCGTGCCTCCCTCGCTCTCTCTCTCTCTCTCTCTCTCTTTCTCAGTCTTCCTTTCTCTAAGTACTCGGAAAAGAAATTAACTACTTGATGGCTGGCTGCAGCCAGGCGAAGAAAAACAAACTGCAGGGGTCCGACTTCATCCCATCCTCCTTGGTCGTCAGGTGATGTCCACAGGACGGGATGGCAGCTTGCATCATTATTAAGGTATATTGGGACACAAGGCTGGTGTCACGCATGTGCTAACACCATAGTACTACTGCTGAGAACTTCATTCTTTCCCCCCATGGGCACTCGTTCACTTAGCCCATGTCATCCCATGCAGCTCGGCGGCTCTAGTCCACAACGGTTCACATATCCTCCAGGGCCCTTTGAGAACTGGAGTCATGCGTGTCAGGAACTATCACTGCAACCTGCAATCCTTCACCACCCCACCTTACATATGCAGGGTAGGTACAACCCCTCACTGACCATGCATGTACATAGTATTATACATTCACAGTCCAACATCAATGAACCCATAAACCCGTCTACGTCGTGCCCCTGCCTTTCCTATAATCCTTGAGAACGTGGTGTACAAAGGGCGGGCTGCACGCACAGATTGGAACGCGTCCGCCCGTTGGGGGCCGCCGAGGGGGGGGGGGGGGGGAGGAGAGCCCTGAAGAGGTTGACTAACTCGGCGAGATTACTTTACTCACTTAGGCTTATCAGATCAAATCCTACCGGTGCCTTCACCGGAGCTGGTCTTTTTATTCCCGGATAGCCAAAACCAGGTTAGCAACCACCTTCCGAATCAGAAGGAATGTAGGAGGGGAGACCAGGTGTGCAGGTCGCGTGTTCGGACCATTCCTTACGCCTTCGTCAGGACGTGACGGCCTTTAGGGGGAAGCGTAAGTTATGTAGCGAGTTCTCAAGCCACAAAAGTGAGCCTTCACCTCGACCAGGTAAGGCTCGCTGCGGCTCTCCCTGTCCAGACAGACGGTCACGATGGATTAGTGTGTGTAGGTTCCTTGGGCGGCATGGCGCAGAGCGTTCCATTGAAAAGGAGCGGTGTGCACAGGCTACACAAGCGAACAATTCACCCGAGCTTCTACATAGTGGACAATCGCCCCAGGGCAGTCTTGGTAGATCCCCAAGCGTAATCCATGTTTGGGGGCCTACTTACCTCTTCATCCTCCTGCACAATCCCGTCCCTACCGAAACTCTGCCGCGAAGCTACGTAGTAACAGTATGTTACATCACCGTCACCCCCCCGAAGTCATATGATTGTTTACTTATTTGGAGACGATGTAGCAGAGTGGGCTTTTCTTCTTTCCCCCCCCCCCTTTTTCCTCTACTTTGGTCATTTCTTTCATCTTTGTCATGGAAAAAGAAAAGTCCCTTCTCCCTCCCTCTTGGTACTGTCCTCTTTTGCTCCGAGCAACATTTAAATTACATAATCACACAGTCTCCTACAAAATCAAAGTTGATACTTCTTCTATATTCATTTTGTCATAGGAGCATGGCTATTCATTGAACATGATCTAGAAGACTTGATGATTGAAGAGAATACAACTAATACTTGATGCACAGGGCTTCAGCTCCATCGTAGCCAAGGTTTTGTAGACATATAACAATGCTTACAAGAAAGGCACACGCACCCGTATTTAGCAGACATCTAAATACAATGCTAGAGCCAAAGTCTGTGAGGACGAACGTGGACGGACAAGGATAGTGTCAAGCACATTGTCGTTCTCGAGTTCTGTTGGCCCTGAAGTCAAGTAATGGCCAGTCTATTGTCTCTCTCAGTTGTGGGTGGTGAGGCCAATATTTCGGCCACGTAAGTGAAGTGCAGTGAAAGGGTTTCCTATCGAAACACTGCAATAGACGCTGTTGGCTTTCAGAGACTTAGCCTATCCTGATCTGTGCTACCCTTCGCTTTTGTTATCTAGGCTATATATTCCAAAGCCAAATTACTGAATGAGGTACAGAAGTTTTGTACAGCCTGAGTTGTGATACACCTTGAGCCTGATGAACGCTTTTTATCCCCCGCCCCCGGGGGCCCTTTTCTTCAGTGTAAGCCCCCGTTGTGCTTCAATTTCAAAAGATGCAACTTTATGTGCTGACATTTTACATGTTAGATTTGAAACATCAGTGTGTGGTCAGCACGACTTTCCTCGGCAAGGAATATGCCACAGTTCGTTACGTCTGGGGCATGGTTGCATTCCCCAAGTTGATCAGACAGAACGTGGCAGCCCTCAGCAGACCTGGCGCACTGAATCCACATAATCCGAATCTTGCAGTACATAGGGTTGTGAAGGATGCTATGATCTTGGCCAAGTCCCTTGGGCTTCGGTATATCTGGGTTGATAGTCTGTGCATTGTTCAGGACGAGGAACACGATTGGGAGTATATGGTCCCACTGATGGATCGCATTTATGGAAGCGGTGTTGTCAATATTTGTGCTGCTGCCGGCCAAGACTGCTCAGCCGGACTGCCTGGAACACCATTGAACACTCGCGGTGCCGTGCAGCCAGTGATCACTCTCTTTGAGATGAAGTTGTTGGCCGTAAGGGCGATCGAGGACGTCATCCGGCGGTCGGCATGAAATACGCGGGCATGGATTTCTCAAGAGAGGATCTTGGCCAGATGATGCATCATATTCGTTGAGGATCGCGTCTTCTTCCAATGTCGACAGTCAACGTGGTCTTGGTGCGGTTGGGAGGGGAAGGCTACTGTAAGCCACTTCTGCTCCTTGAGTCCATAAGTCGGTTACTAATTCAGGCCTTGCAATCAGTGGCGAGTGTCCATGATTGCAAGCTGTCTTCTCAACCTCAACGAGTGGTTGAGGGAGCACACGTGGGTCGTCTGGTACGTCTTGACGGACTCTGGAATGAGTCCTGTATGGAAGACGGAGCAGGTATTGAGTTACCCCGAACCCACCCGCCGGGGGGAGAGGTCGAATCGATGGGAAGGATACAACTCCACATTCGTGGGACCAGACGGCCGTCTTGCCCAGGATGGATCAATGCGTGAATTCAAAACCGACCAGATCAACCATCCAAGAACCCGAGAGAGGACGGCTCTATTTCTGGACGGACACTGCCTTTTTCAAGCTCTCGCTTGACAATCTGGCCAATCCCGAGTTTGCATCGAAGTTGAACCCAGGTTTCCAAAGGTATGGCCTGCTGGACAAGAATGGCGACTGATGCGGGACGATCGTGCTCGATCTGGCCTGGCTTGGTGAGTGCTCCATTGGCCAGGTCTTCGAATTTGCTGCCATCTCGGAGGCTAGGGGCTTTTCAATGGATGAGCTTGATTCCTGGAATTACTGCATCCCCGAGGACCGGCAGACGGCCGAGTGGTATCTGTACTTTGCGCTCCTGATCGTGTGGAACGAGGATCGCACCGTCGCAGAGAGAGCAGGTATCGCCAAAGTATATCAGAGGGCATTTGAAGCTAGGTCTTTCGGCCCGGGCAAGGAATGGAGGGAGATTACCCTGAGTTAACCAACCAGCGATGCTAAACCAAGGCAGAGAATAAATCACGTGTAGTGTCAGTACCGAGCGGCGGGAGGAGAGGCAGTCAGTCACGTCTTTCAGTAAAAGCCAACACTCTATTTCATACAACATCCAGCTCATTAACTCGCTTTGGTAGTGGCTGATGAAGGAGCCAACTTATCTACAAGCTGGATCAAGCCGTCCGTCTGAGCTTGCTGACATGAGTGGACTAAGGCTACACCGTCTTCGATCTTGGATGTAATTGCATCTCGTGCAGCACGATTTGCAGAGATGGACGCCTCGATCTTGTCGTGTGCTTGTTCCACCAGGGACGTCTCGATCTTCTGACCAAGCTGCAGCGTAGAGAGTGAGCTTTGATTCAAAAGTGTGAGGCGCCTGCAACCCCCTCCGAATCATCATCAGCAACGCAATAATAATGAAGTATGAAGAGGACAAAACTGTAAAGAAAAAGAGACAACCTCGCGTGGACATACGCAGAGAGCAGACTTAGACTGGTATCGAGGGCTATCTCCGCCGCGGTCACGTCCTCTATGATGATGGCTGCCCGTCCTTTATCCACGGCGGCCCAGTGGATCCGGCGGCGCGTTCGATGTGTGCTGTGTAGGCTCTTGAGGCTGTCGAGGGCCTCGATGTTGCACTTGAGCGAGCCCATGATGACCTCGCGCTCCGGGACCGGGAACAGGAAATCCATGCGGGCGCTGGTCAGCTCGTCACCAAAGGCCCTGATCGACTCGAGGCGCGACTTCATCAGATCTAGCTTGTCGTATACCCGTTGCACCTCTGCGGGGGCGTTGTGGAAGGAGTCGTGGATCTCCTTGGCCGCCCTGCCGGCTTTCAGGCAGAGCTCCAGGAGTTGGGCGATCGAAGCGGCGGAGCTGATGAAATCCATAATCGTAGGCTTTTTTGCTTCATCGGGAGGCAGGTAATGATCTGCCACAATAACGAGAGAGGATCTTCCCTTCCCAAAAATGATTAAGAGCAGGGAGAGGAAAAACAAGAAGTGACCATTCACGGCTGACGGAGAATAACCAGTGGTCTATAGAGATTGCTATGGGCGGCCTCGCAAAGGTCACTCATTTCGTCTCCAATGGTTATATCACGTCAGAGTCCAATTAGCTGTAGGAATTTCACTGCTCTCCAAGAAGGTTTAGATGGTGGAGGAACTAGGGTGGCATACATTACAACATACTGCATATGCGGCGAAATCCAGCACGAATAGGAATTGCAGATAGCACCAAGCTGCTGACCATTCCGCACTATCGGTCCTGCGCGATGTGGTTACATACAGTAGATGCTGGGCATCTCTGAATCCTGTCCTGTGACGTCGAATAAGCAGGATCCAATAACAGGGTTGTTTTCTTGCAAAGCTGAAGGTGATCTTCATGAACAGTATAGCAACTAATCAAATACGCTCACCCTTCTAATAAGACGCGGAGAGACCGAAGGCTTCCTCTGACTGGATGAAGTCCGGTGTTCATCGACGAATTAGTTTCTTTGAATCACTAAATATTCACGCAAGAGATATTAAGGGATTGTAACAAGTTTCAGAAGCCGTCAAGACGACGACCAGATTTTCATTTGGCGCACACCAGCCCGGCGCGCGAAAGAAAAGTAATCTGAAAATCTAGATCTATCATCCTGCAAACTCCTGTCTCCATCATTCGGTTGTGTAAAATAAAAATACCCATCAGTCAAGTCCCAAAAGGAGAAGACCATGCCCAACAGATCCAAAGATTTCAAAATTCGCAGACTCTAGCCCGCCGCGCAATCATTCCCACACGGTCGTCACCATGTAGGATCGAGAAAGCGAGGAGAAAGACCTTGCGAGAGAGTGGAAGAGAAAATCGGTGATGGAAGTTTGATGACACTCGGCGAAATTGCGAAGAGAGTTGAGGGTGCGTCTAGGTGCCGCGGCCGTCGAGAGGGGCAGGCCCGGTGCTCATCGAGTGTGTGTGAAATTGTCGGCTCTTATGGCGTGGCGCTGCAGGCGGAAGTGTATTGTAGAGGGCCATGCCCCGATGATGATGGAATTCCTACCATCGAGAGGTTGCTGTTGTCAGCCCACCACCCCAGCTGCAGAGCTGCAAAGAGGCAACCCGAGGGGTAGCCTCTTTACATGACAACGCAGTAGGAGTAGCCGTTGACTCCCATGGAGGAGTTGGAGGTCTGGGTGTTGGAAGGCATTTTGATGGTGGGTTGAAAGCGTAAAGCTTAATGATTGTGGTTTGAAGTGAATGGGTTTTTTGTTTTTTTTTGAGGGTTTTTCAGATGTGGATAAGGAGGAAAGGAAAGATCGATTATGGAAAGGGCGGAGGATGCTGATACTTATATTCAAGAACGTCCTCAAACACTTCTTGACCATCTCATTGCTCGTTATCCTGCTGGGCCATATCCTCAGAGCCCAGCCCTATCCTCTTCGAGGCTATGAGTGAGCCTTTGCCAGTCCAACCTTACGCCTCTTTGTGCTGTCCTAAATTTCGTTTGTCTTGAGAACAAAAAGTGTTGATCCATTTTCCAAATCCATTCGGGTACTTTAAGAAATGCTTCATATTGTAGTCCGAGGATTGTGGAATTGTGTAGGAAAGGAATCTTTGATGTTGGCGCCCCTGATGAGGGTAAAAGAACCAAACTGTAGCAATCACTAGAGGCTAAGAGTCGCACCATCTCATCGCATGGATCCTTGCCCAGGAAGTGCTTTTGCCAAAGAAGGAGTGACAGTAAGGACTTTGGTCCATAATAGTTTGGTGTTATGGTTGATTTAGCCAGGCCCTGGTGGTATTGTGCGTTGATATTGTTCTCACAGGTCAAAGGCGCCAGGGGTGGCGACAACAATACTGAACTCGGCAGATCGGGAGGACTTTGACAAATGCAACATGATCTAATATTGTACGTATGTATTTTCAACAAGGGTCAAATGCAGATTTCTTCTTCGCCTTCCTTCAGTTATGATGCATGAGGACCGGAAATGTGTCTACGGGCCTCCTTCAGCTCAGTATATTCAACCCGCTGTATCCCCGACAAGACGAACTTAGAAGCGCTTGAACGGCAACCTAAGGACTCGTTGTTAGCAGCTGAATCAACCTTTGCGAGAAAACTTATTCAAGAGCACAAGAACTCCAGGAGAGGCGAAGGACTCACCATTTCCCCCTCAGGGTGATAACAACCCACGGCGAGCCGTCCTGATCAACCTCCTTGTCGACCTTTGTGGAAAAGCTGATGGCGCTCATGATGCCGTCCCCAAACTTCTCGTTCAGGATCGCCTTGTACGCATATCCGTAGTTCTGGACAATCTCGTACAAGCGGTAGATGAGCGGCTCGACGGGCGGCATGGGCCCAGATCGGCCGCGGTCGGGAAAGCCCATGAGCTGCGGGGCGAGGATCTCCTTCTGCAGGCCCAGCAGGTCGCTAAGCTTCTCGACATCGGCCGCCGAGGCCTGCGCCTGGCCGTAGAAGAGGGCGGCCACGGCGACCTCGTCGCGGCCCAGGTGCTCACCGATCTCTGCAAAGGTGAGGTTGGCATGGGTCTTGGCCGCGAAGAGCTGCAAAAAAAAGAGGTCAGATATGTGCGATGTGTATGACTGAAAGTCAGGTGGGGTGAATGTGGCAGAGAGGGGCTGGTTCACGAGATTTATTCCATGTACTTACAGCTTGCGAGTGTGCAGGCAGGCGGTCGACGATAGAGCTCTACATAGCAGGTGTGATGATGTCAGCATCGCTGCAGGCGGGTTTCTGGCAGTCCTCACTCCAAAACGATTTATCTCTCTTACATCAAGCGAGGCGAGCTGCTTTTGAGCCATTTTGGGCGTAAATATTATGCGCGAAATTCGCCCGGACGGAGCAATTTAATGGGGGCGATTGGTCAACTTGCGACGCACAACGGAGACTGGCTTCTTCTGAAATGCTCAAAATGACTTTGAGTGCCAGAAGAAAATGTTGCTCGTGAGTTTGAAAGAAAGAGGTGTTGACAGAAGTCGCACGAGAAAGTTATTGTTTCCCTTCCCCTTCCAATTTGTTAGATATAAAAAACCAAGCTGTTGCCCCTCGATCTCAATCGAGACGTCATCCAAGCATCAACGAGATCCCACCGGGCCTGGTTCGGAAGTCCCTGGAGCCCCTTCCCCACAAACAACGAAAAAGGCCCTCGCCGAGGTCCGCCAGATCTATCTCCGCACCTGACGGAGTTTTTCCGGCATGCTCTCTGCTTTTGCTTGTGTGCCACGCAGACCCACTTCACCGAAGACCGTCTGGAGGATACCATGTAATTAATGACAGCTGCTGGGTTGGGTTTTCTCTTGTTTTTTCTTACCATTCAATCTACTCGATGCTGGCTGTATCTAACTGTATACCATGTATGGTGCTTACTGTAGTTCCTTATTTTGGTCAATCACTCAATCCGTGCTCGCAATGCTGTGGACTATTTGCAATCTGCGGGATTCGTGAAAGCCGGGGAGAGCTATACTTTTGTGAGGATAGCATCGTTGTTCCCCGCAGGCAGGCGCCATTATAATTCAATACTAATGAATCTAGTAGATTTCATACTGGAATAGTTTGTAATAGTAGACCACGAGGCCAACAGTAGATGGAGAGCTCTTCTCTCCACCACGACTCATGCTCTTCAGATCATGGGACTGCTGGTGCTGGCGCGGAATACGGGCCGCCTTCGATTTTGGCCCCTAGCCAGATGGCGACTTGTTGTTCTTAGATAGCGTGTCTTCTCGTCATTGGCATTAACTCTTTTCTCATAGGTCTAGACTATCACCAGCAAAGATGGTAGGGGACAATACACCCTCCATCCCACCGTCCCGCCTGCTTTTCTCTCTGGGTGTATCTAGTCGTACTCCATGTTCCATGACTGACATCTGACGAATGAGAAACAAAGGTAGGAGGGAAGAGGAGACAAAGATTTTCTCGTTTCAACCAAGGAAAATTAAAAACAAGCTTTCAAATAAGCATGACCAAACCATCGGATGGCCAGGCTATCTCGTCTCCACTGTGCTGTGCCGAAACCGGTTCGGGGTCAAAGTTGCCGTACGGTTTCGTCTCAACAACCTCGCGTCCCGTCCCAGGCCTAAGCGGGATGCATTTTGCCAAGGAGCGCGTTCCTCTGAAGAAAGACTGAAACGTTCACCCTGCACAGTCATAGATGCAACAAGCGCACCTCGCACCCACAAACACAGACATACACACAACACAACCATAGGCCTGGGGGCCATGAGTGACGGTTTGGATTTGTCTAGTCATCCTTCTATCCCTCGCTTAGTACCGCCATTCCCTCTTGGCAGCGCTCTTGAGGTCATCCGCGTTGAGCATGTCCACCCCTTCTTTCACCAATAGATCCCAAATGCGGTTTCTCGCGCTCACTGGCCACGCCGGCAGGTCCCAGTAGCGCACCTTGAGCCCCCTCTTGTGCGCAGCCCTGACCTGCTCGCGGATGCGCTCCATCTGCTCCGCGCCGAGGTTTCCCAGCCACGGGCTGCCGATGCTCGCGCGGAACGACACGCTCGCATAGTATGAGTTCGTCACATCGTACTGGTCATCAGCCGCTGCGCCCGAGGACACTGAATGAGAGTAGGCTAGCTTGTTCAGCGGCGCGTCGAAGAAGTAGTCGCGGTATGTCTCGTTGGCGATGAGGTCAGCGAAGGGCGTGTTGCCCGTGCCGACAACGGTGACGGGCCGCGTATGGACTGTGCCGTTGGCAAAGTAGGTCAACCAGTCGCGCTGACGGAGGGGTTCGAGCTGCTCGACGACCTTGGCCCATGTGGAGGGCCCGGATGTCTTTACGTCCACAAGAAGGACGAGGGTCTGCTCCGGGTTGGTGTCGAACACGCCGCGGTACTTCTCGGCGTAGAACTCGGTCTTGGGGTTCTGGCGCTCCAGGACGTCGACCAGAGGTTGTATGTACAGGGACTGAAAGGTCCTGTTTGGTTGCAGGGCGGCCTCCTGGTGGCCGATGTAGAGGGTGTCGCTGCGCTCTGGCTCATCAAAGAGCCACACGTCCGCCTCGACGCCTGTACACCCGTGGCCAAGGGCCGTGTAGAGAGGCACCTTGCGCCAGTAGTCGTTGTGAGAATGTACAGGTTTTGGTATTACGTCTTGTAGAAAATTTGTGGGGTACCACAACCTGCCATCAGCATTGGTACCGTTCCCGTCCCACATGTACAATGCTGGGTCGTTGGCGTCTTCTTCCTCTTGTAGCAGCCGTGCCCCTACGACATGGATGAGGATGTCTAATGCCAGGAGGATTGCTCTGTTGAACACATCAGCTCTGGGGAAAAAGATCGACTCGCTCACCTTCGATCAATAGACTTACATGATTGTTGTGCTGCATGTGATGAGGAATATTATCCACGGTCTCCTCCTCGGACGGTATGGGTATGAATCGTCCTCGTTGAGCTTGTCATCGACGCTTGTGTCGTCTTTGCCTTTCTCGTGTAGTAATAGCGATGAGCTCTCATCGCTTGTTATTACAAGCGTCTCATCGCTCTGCCAGCTCGCCGTCCTCCGGTGCGAGTTGAAAGGCCTGATGCCTCCTTCCAGCTCGAGGGATGGAGGTGACGGTGTACTGGCGTCTATGGAGGCTCCTGGCTGTTCTTGCTGTGCTTTTGTCTCCGTTATTGTTTGGTCCATGATGAGGGTCGATAAGTAGTTTGCCGAGGGGGAACAGCCAGCCATCATCCTCGGTCACAAAAGGGAGAGGGGGGACCCTCTCGAAATATATCTGAGGAGCTGAGATGAGTGATGAGGTCGTAGGGGTGACTAAGTAAGGCGGTAGTAAACCTCTGTTGTGGAAGACCCAGGGACCCTGAAGATCAGGCGAATGCGTCACGCTAGGGCGAGGGATCAAGACCAGAAGGGGAAGATAGGCCTGGGCTTCTCACAGCCTCCGTTGACGATCCCGGAATTGGACGCCCCAAGCCCGATATGATTTAGGTAGTAGCTCTAGAACAACAAGCCTCTTCGACGAGGTTGCGCTGGATGGGGAAGAAGAGGTTCGTGCTGAAGAAGGAAAGAGAAGTGGAGGCAGTTTGCACACAAAGAATGTCGTTCCATATCACGGGATATATGAGGTCGGTTATGACGACCCCGTGGCCGGTTGTCCATCGTGAATCAAAGCATAGAGCGGTAGTGGACTGGTTGGCGACCCATGACAGCGCAGTCATAATGACCATAGTAGAAACTGCCGAACCAATATTTGGAAACAGCTCGCATCTTCAGCCCCGACAGTGCTCGTCCTGACCAACAAGCCCGTCCAGTCCCTGACCAGGAGGAGAGCACCTGGTGAACCCCCCCCTGCTTGGGCACCGGGTCACGAACCGCGGCCATCATGGTCTGGCCTGTTTCTCCACTGAAGAAGCAATAAGCGTTGGTTTGTGGCCTCCACCCCAGAGTAGTGTGGTAGTATGGGGTAGACGGTGGAAATTACAGAAAGCCATGTTGTGTTGTACTGTACTAGAGACTGTTGTTCAACCTTGCGCGCCTGAGTTTTGGGACGAATTACTTGTTGCAGGTCGAGGTTCTACGAGTAAAGTAGCATGGTCATTGTTTGCGTCGGCTCTTGTTGATCCTGCTAAGTGTCAAATCTTGTTGGGTCGTCGCCTTGGGGGTGCAGTGTTGAGTGTGAAGAGGAGGATTAGTGTTACGTGAGATGTCCAAGCCAGACAAGCTTCTGCCACCTGGGGAACGAGGCCAAACAGACCGTCAGCATCACACACGTTTCAGGGTCTCCTGCCTGCCAGACCCGCCAAAAAAAGATGCCAAGCCACTAACGGCACCTACCGATGCATTTCTTAATCCCTCAACAGGGAAGCGACGGGGTCCAGCCCTTCCGCACGCAGCCTGGTACATAGTATATAGCGACTTCCTCCTGTTTTAGTGGTGTACTTGTAAAGTAGTAAGTACTATGTACTAGCATAGTACCATGCATGCTATTGTTATAGTGACATACTATAGTGAAGGGAAGATCGCTGCCCCCTCCCACACCCCCTGCGCAGCGATAAGATAAGTCAAGCGTAAAAAAATCTCCAATGACTGCGCGCCCATGCCACACGAGGTGTTTACACAGCCAACTCATTGGGCTTCTCCTACTGGCTGGGTCAGACGTCGACAGACTCTTTTCCCTCCTTCGATCATCAAACCTGCACCAAAAGCTTGCTCTTCTTCCCCTTCTTCATTGTAACCTCGTGCATCGTCGGCATGGTCATTTGGGTCCATCATGCCTCACAAGCACACGCGCAGAGATAAGGACGAGTCCACGTGGGTTACTCCTCCGCCCCTCCCAAGCACAACTCCCCCTTCTCTTCCGTCTCTCCCCACCTCCTCCATCAGAAATTCATTTGCAGCCTACCACAACTGCTCTATCTGCCGCGTTTGTTTGATTGATTGGCGACGAGATTTTTTTTTTGCGTGCCATGAGACACCCTGTGCAAGAGCTAACATGACACGACAGATACGACTTACCACCGACGCAGATCGCCAGGCCCCTACCCGTCGTCGCACCCAAGGTAGCGAGGCAAACACAGGCCAAAAAAGGCGGCAAGAATGGTGGCAATAATAACAAGTCCGCCCAGCCTGCCCAGCAGCAGCAGCAGACCCAGGGCGTGAAGCGCAAGCGAGGCGCCGAGAAGAAAGATGACGCACCTCGGGCGTTCAAAAGGTTGATGGCGCTCAAGGAGGGCAAGAAGGTCAGGGATGGGCTTGACGATGGACAGAGGGGCAGCAAGAACAACGCCAATAAGAAAAAGCAGCGCAAGGTCGCAGTGGCGGAGGGTTCCGACAACGCCAAGGTGGCGAGCGAGACCAAGAAGGACGTTCCCACCATCCAGCCTGGCGAGCGCATGTCGGACTTTGCGGCTCGTGTCGACGCTGCCCTACCGGTGATGGGGCTCGTGAAGAAGTCGACCAGCGGCAAAGATCCTCTCGGCCTGAAGGTGCATCGGACGAGGAAAGAGAGGCAGATGCACAAGCTGTATGATGAGTGGAGGAGGGAAGAGGCCGTGATACAGGAACAGAGACGAGAAGAGCTGGAGGAGGCCGAGGAGCGGGAGATGGAGGATGATGGGGCTGGCGTCAAGTGGAGGTTGGATATGGAAGCCGAGGCGGCCGCTGGGAAAAAGAAGAAGAAGGGGAAGAAGGGAACGTCGAGCAAGTCGGTGTGGGACGTTGATGATGGAGACGATGCTGACCCGTGGGCCGCGCTCAAGAAGAAGAGAGGGGAGGCCAAGATTGGGCTGCACGATGTCGTCAAGGCACCACCTGTGTTCAAGACTGTACCGAAGCAAGTGTTCAAAGTGCGCGGCGCTGCGGTCGACGTCGGCACAATTCCGAAGGCCGCAGGCAGCTTGAAGAGGAGAGAGGAGCTGCAGAGCGTCAGGGATGAGGTCCTTGCCACGTACAGAAAAATGATGGAGGGAAAACGGGCCAGGCTGGAGGCCGGAGATGTATAGATGCAGCCAGAGCAGTCGTCCAGGCAGACTATCAATAGATACCCTCGAAACCCTCTCTATTCTACCTCTCTTGAGCCACAGCTAAAGTCTTTCCTTTCCTTCCTTTCGTTACAGGCCTGTCTTTTGCGAGCTGACATTGAACCCCTGTGTAAATAAGTATGCACTAGCCGGCTGTCTTGCAACAGGCCCACCTCAGAGTTTCTACAGGGCTCTAATTGCAAGGACGCGTTGCGTTTGGCTCTACTGTGTTTCCAAATCAGTCTCTCCGAATACTTTACCCTTGGTTTCCCTTCTCTTCTTCATCTCCTTTTTTCTTTTGATGAATTTGACACATGATTTTGAAAGAAGAGAGAAAGGGAACTGTCATGATACCTCTTGGAAACCTACTGAACTTTCTTAATGTCTTCCTGAGCGTGTTAAGCTACCAAGCATTGATGCCATCATAGGGAAGGCTTGACCACTCACAACCCTAACCCTTTACCCACCCTGCCATGTTGTCACACAGCACCGGGGCAGAAAACCCCCGCCAGACCCTTTTTTTTTGTCCTTGGGCACTTTGGGCCACTCGCGCGCCACCAAAAAGTTCCCACCTCATCTCACCCACCCAAATCATCAAAAATCTCGAGGTCCTGGATTCGAACCACCACGACCCAACTATATCGATCGGTTTTCTTGTCGCTATGAACGTAAGAAAACATTGTCATCATGGCGCAGGGTCTGGACGAGCTGATTGACTGGCTCGTCGGGGAGGTTTCGTTTTACGGCGATGGTGAGTCGGTCTTTATTTGCAGCATCAGGTATCGAGTGTCACAAAAAAAAACAAAAACGCATAACGCCGATGCTCTGTGTGGTTGAGAGGGTGCGAGTCGAGCTTTCATGAGAAAAAGCTCGTCTTAAGTGTGGGCGTGGCTCTCAACATGCCCTCAGCCACACGGTTTTTGCAACAGCCCCGCCACCACTGTCCAGAATAATAACTAAGTAACATTTGTGGCAGGATGTTCGATGTCAAATCTGTTTCACGCTGTCAGGGAATTCAACAAAGCCGATGATGAGGTTTCTGGTGACGAGAAGCCTGCTGATGTCGACGACGAGTCCAGGCAGGGCGTCGACATGGCGGTTGAAAAGAAGCCTGCTGCGCCCACGGTGAAGAAGATGCAACTCAACGACGCTGAGCTGAAACTCGGTCGCCTCATCTGGCCCTTTGTCTTGGCTACCGGCGAGATCAATGTTGGTCCTGGTGGTGAATGGAACCATCTCACCTTTGACGAGTTGATGTCCATCCCCGAAGAACAAGCTCCTGCCGATGAGACCGCGGTCGCTGCGAACAACAGCATCGAGAAGCAGAAAAAGAAGTCGGACCCCCCCAGCGGCGGTGTCGATGCGGCTAGGCCAAAGAACAGATTACCCAAGCTGCGTCCATGCCTCCATGTCGGAGAGGACATAGTGTGGAAGACTCTCACCGGTCATGGCGTCGACTTCAAGCGTGTGCCACTCCTCGAGTGGAAGCTCCTCATTGTCATCGGGTCGACCAGGGAGGATGGAATCCTGCAGGGCGATTTGGTCCGGGCGACTGGGCAGGACAAGCGCTCTGTGCCCCGCCGCACGGATTTCCTTTCTGCAAAAGGCTACATCGCGAAGCGCACCCACATGGTTCGGGGCTCCAAGACCAGCAAGCTCTGGCTGGCCAGGTTTGCTCCTGAGCTGCCAGCCCCTTCGAATCCCCTACACGGCTTGGACATGTCTCCGGAGGCGCTGACAAAGGACATGGACCCTGTTCCCTGGGTACATCAATGGGTCGGTAACAAAAACAAACAAGGCCAAGAGGAGATCGGATACATGTCCCTTGGCTCGACCATGATGGCCATCATCAAGGCCTGGGGCACCTTGCGGGTTGCAGACCTGAAGAAGAAGCTTGGTATTCTCGGGCTCAGGTGGCAGATGAAGGTCATGTCCAGAATGCTGCGCAGATTCGATGTCCAGGGTAACATCAACTACGTTGCTGCCACATTCGTCGGCGACAGTTTTGTCTTCAAGGACTGTGTCAAATTCATGCGAGACCCAACGGACGAGGATTGGCGGATGCTGTTGGCAACTAAGAAGAAGTCAGCGTACTCTGACGACGGAAGAGGCCGGAGGCTCCTACTGCTCAACAAAAGGAAGAAGAAAAAAGCCAAGGGTAATAAAGGACGCAAACCAGGCAAAGTCGTGAAGCCCAAGCTTCGGGTCCTCAAGAAGAGGACGAGAAACCCGCCGAAACCCATCATGTCACTGTGGTGTCCCGAGAAGCCTCTGGCCAACACGATCGCCGAATTCGTCCTTACTGGGGGCGCCGAGGGATACACGTCACCAGAGCTCTCCAAGGCAATTACTGGTCACGACTTCTGCCGCTACTTCCTCAGACACCTGCAGAACAGCTGTGCACCAGGCGTCCAGCCTGCTACCCTCTCCGAGTACCAGATGAGCAGTGAGCTGATCCGCACGGGTAAGATCAAGGCGTACACATTTACTTGCGCTGGTGCGCGCAAATCGGCACCAGCTGCAGCCCCTCAAGAAGAGTCTGTCATCGACCCAGCACTGGCCAGCAGCAGTCGGCATGCAGCCCAACTGGGTCTGGATGCCGACATCGATGCCTTTGGATTCGCACCAGTCAATGCTGCCGCGTTCCAAGAGGGAATATCAGATCTGGACGGCTTGGTCCGGATAATACCCGACAGGCCAGGTCGACAAAAGAGGCCCTACAACAGGCGACAGCAGGGCGCAGTTGCCACGGCGCAGGAAGGAGAGATAATAGAACCGACTGTCAATGACCCGTACGCAGACTTGTCTGCGGAAGCATCTCCTCCACCAGGGCCCCGTCCAAGAGGCAGACCAAGGAAGCGCAAAGAGCAGCCTGAGAACAACGGCAAAGCAGATGTCCCGAGTGCGGCAGATGCCTCAGGCCCAAGGCCACCGAAGAGGCGCAAGGCTGCAGAACGCGTCTCCTATTCAGAGCTTGCTGGAGAGGATGAAGAAGCTGAAGGGTCTGGCCCTACTGTTGCTGCTACTGGAGGAAGGGGACACAAGCGCAGAGCGATTGAAGCGACTCAGACGACAAAGGACGCTGGAGTTGCCGAAGCAGAGCACCTGTTGAGCGAAGAGAGCGATCAGGAGCAAGACCGGACGCGGCCTGGAGTGTACTTTGGCAAGCCTGGATCGCTGAATCCAGATCCTCACAAAAAGGGACGACCGAGAAGGTCAATTGTCTTGATATTTCGGTCCGAAAAATTCAGGGACCCGAATTTTCTACCTGGTTGGTCAGAATATTCGAAGCCACGAGCCGATTCTCCCTCGAACGAGCCTGTGCGGCAGCCTGCCCCTCCTCATCCTCCTCCCGAAGTTTCAACAGAGTCTCTAGCAGCAAGTCAACTCAATCAGACCGCTACCACCGAACAGCAAGGGGTCAAGGAGCAGGCTAGAAAGCAGGCTCAAGGCGTGGAGGCCCAGGCGAGTCGATCAGGCGTTGAACCTCCACAAGAGCTAGGGCAGCCTTCGGTCGAGACTGTGCGAGAAGGAGTTGGCTCAATTGTTGTGCATGCTGCCAGCATCGAAGATAAGGGCATCGAGGCGCGCGCGGAGCCACCTACTGCTGCAGAGCCCGAGAATGACCATCAGGATGGCCCTCCACTAGCCACCGCGGGCACATCAGCAGCCAACTCTCCATTCGCGGACAAATCCAAAGCCGGCGCGAAACGGGGCAAGAAGTCGAAGAAAGTCAAGCTTGACAAGTATGTCTGCGAGAAGTGCGGCGGCGAGTGGGCAAATGACAATGGACTGCAATATCATCTTGAGAAGGGCAGGAACTTGTGCAATCCTTACTACGCGGAGCATCCAGAAGAGATGGAGAGACCAAAGCCGAACCGCGCCGGCCAGGCGTTGCTCGCTGGTCCAGAGCGAGATCTAGATACTGAGAGCAGCAGTCAGAGCAGCAGCCGTGGCAGCCTGGTCCCCGAACTTGCTTCCAGCTCGACTCCCAAGAAACGCAAGGCCTCTACGAAGAAGCACTCGAACCCACAGCCTGTTGCCGAGTCAAGTGAATCGGAACAAGACCAGCGACCGGTCCTCTTGCAGCGCAGCATACTCAAGAACAAACGTGTCGGAGGTCTAGGAGTGGTCCCTCGTGGTGTGCAAGCTTCAGAGGCTGTGGCGAAGGAGACTGCTGCTGCGAAGCCTGCCCACCTTGTGCAGGACGTGAGCATCGCCGAAAAGGGCTCAGACCCGGCTGCCTCTCACCAGAACGGAGCGACGCTTACGCCAGAGGAAGAAGAAGATGAGGATCTGCCTTACCTTAGACAGATCCAAACAAGGACGCCAAAGCCTTCCAGGACCCTCAAGCCAGAGGTTTTCAAGAAACAGGACATCTTTAAGGAGAGGGATGGCCAAGCCGGCCATGTCGAAGTAGTGCCAGAGACTATGGACATAGGCTCGCCTCAGCATGAACCTTCCCTCCTTCCCAGCGGAACACCCAATGCCTTGGACCTGTACCCGGCCGACGTATTGGGCCCAGCCGTGCAGACGGACCACGTCTACGACATCATCGATGGAACTGCGCCAGTGAACGGTGGACCATCAGTATCCCCGGCGATGACCGGGCCGGCGATTGCCACGGCTAGGCATTCTTTACCTGCCAGCCGTAAGAAACCTCTAGTCGAGTCTCAGAACACTCCAGCAGCGCAGATTTTACGACAGGTCGAGGTCGACGCCGACGGTCAGCCTTTGGTTCGTATGCCTGTGGAAGACTACACTGCTGAGGGCTATACCGATTCAATTGATAAGGCTCTCCCCCAGCGCTCTACCAGGATTCAGGAGATCATCAAATATCTGCTCGACATCAATGGGGTGTTCCCGACGGAGAGGCCCTTGTTCTGGGCAGTTCTCAAGGTTTATATCGCAACTTTCGAGTGCCCACCTTACCCATCCCTATCTGGCTGCACTCGCGCAGTCACCACGCTCGCTGGCATGGGCGTGATCAAGCAGGCGACTGTGGCTATTAGACCCCGTGGGCAGTGGAAGTCTTTGAATTTTATCATGCAGCCTGAGATAGATGTTACCCATGCGTTATGCGTCGACTTGAAGGAAAGGACCAAGAACGCTGATCCAGAGATGTATATCCCACCCCCGTTTGACCCTACAGAGGAGGAGAAAGTCCATTTCCAGGACCTGGAGCGACCTCCAAAACACCGCAACAAGGGCGTGGGTCGGCGAGATCATAAACTGGCCGAAGGAATCGAGCAGCTCACCGCACCATTCTACGCTGAGAAGGGAATGGCTGGTGTGCGTCCTGGTCTCCGCGGTCGTGGCCGCATAGAGTCTGACGATGAAGATGATGAGCGATCCAACAAGCGACGCAAAACCAGATCGGTACAAGATAATGCCATCATTCACCGCCGCAAGCGAAAACACACTGGTACCGATGAGGGTATGGACTCTTCACCGGCCAAGAAAGGCAGAAGGGGACGAAAGCCGCGTGGCGACCTCGAAGATGACTTCATCGTTGAGCCACACAAGCTCAGCATCAACGACAGGCAAGAGGAGAATCCCGGCCTCTCCTCTCTGCCTGCATCTTTCTTCTCTGGCACATCCCTCCCCAGTACCAGTGGCTACATCGCACCGACTGAGATTCAGTTCCTCGAACCGAACACCCAATTGGAGGATGACCACATTCCAGAGCCGGAAACGGAGGCCAATGCTCCTTCGCCCTCGAATGAATCTACGTTAGAAGAGGAACCGGCTCCGGAGCCGGTAGTGGAGCCAGGAACATACTCTAGAGCACTTGAGTTGAAAGCTCACAGCAAGGGCGTGTGGCCCTATATTCCTCTGGGGTGGTTTGAGAAGAATGAGGGTAGCTTTGCCATGAAGGGCTGGCTTCCTGGTCAAATCGACATGCTCATGGAGAACCTGCCCAAGACTATGGAACAGATGGCCTTCAAGATTACAAGCCACTCCAAGACGGAGAACTGGGCCGATCCACAGTACGGCGTCTTCTGCACGAGTGTGGATGGCTGCCGGGCGTGGGAGTTGTCTGAGCAGGGCACGCGCCAAATGTCAGGCTCCATCGCACCGAACTACCTGTTTATGAATTTCTGCTCAACAGAAGACGTGAGCAGCATGGCGCCCATCGATCCACAATGGCTTGATGAGAACGAGTGGACGCTCGAGACCATCCCTTATGAGATGCTCGAGGACGATGACGAGGAGCCCAGCTTGAGGTTTGGTATCATTCCAGTGGAGCCTGTCGAGAAGCGGAAACGAGGCAGACCGCGGACCAAGCCAAGGCCACAACCACCGGTTGCACCACCACCGGCGGTCGTGGCGGCGGCGGCAGCGGCGGCAGCAGGAGCAGCTCCAGCACCAGCTCCAGCTCCACGAGGTCCATCGACGCGGACTCTCATGAGAAGACGGCAGAGAGATTCGACTCTACGAGAAGTCAAGATGCAGCGCGAGCTTACGCCCTACCCTCAGACGGCGGGCGATTATTTCCGGGTAAAGGGCCAGGATTGTCTCGGTGTCGACTGGAAGGCCGAAGACACACGCATTGCAGCATATGTCGCCGTGTCTACATTGACGGGCGGCATCAACAAGGCCATGGATTGGGGCCTCATGATGAGAATCTTTCCAGAGTCCAAGCTGTCCAACCTGCGCAGGTTCTGGTCTATGATCAAAAAGGAGCGTGAGGGATTCATCCTTACCTTGACCGCGAGATTCCAGGAAGAGTTTCTCGAGGCCTACGAGAACGGTGACTTGCCTCCCTTCGACTTTGACAACCCTCTAGACTATGAATGGCCACGCCTTGTCAAATGGACCCTCGCATTAGTGGTCAGAGAGGGCATCGACCTGCCAGCGGCCCGGGAGCAGTTCGACGAGGAGCTTGACCTGATCTTTGTGGACAAGGCTGACTTTGACTGGCGCGAGACGTACCATAATTGGCAGAGATCTGTCTTCAACAAGTTCCAGGACAGCACCTCGGAGCCTGCATCGGCAAGATTTGAGCCGAATAGACACAGGATGGAGGACAACGACGCCATCATCGCACGGTCTTGGGTCCGCGCCCTCTGCTGCACCGATGCGGACCAGTACACACCATACCAGATCAGAGACAAATTCCTTGCCCTCTCTCGCAACGGCCATCGCAGCGAACAAGAGGTCAGCAACCTCCTCGAGACGACCATCTTCGACCTCGAACATCGACGCATCGCCATCAAACAGAAATCCAGCGCGCTTGCCACGGGCCGTCCGTATAAGCTCAACGAGCACTTCTGCCGCACGCTGGACCGCTACTCGAACGAAGACAAGTTCACGGTGGCGGCCGAGTTCAAGCTCAAGCTGGACAGGGCCTTCCGCAAGGGCGAGCCAGTCGAAATCCCATGGCGCACCGAGGACGGCATGATCGTTGCAGCTCTCAACATGCAGGCACACGGGCGCGTGCGCATCGAACCGGTCCGCAAGCTCGACATCCCCTTCGGCTTCAGGCCAGGCTTCTACGAGTCCCGTAAATTTCCCAAGAGCTACTACCGCTTCGATCTGCAGATCGTGCCGACGCCGAATTATCTGTATAACGAGGACATCGGCATCTTGCCACGTGCTACCAGGCCCGACAACATCCCCCTCGGGACCGAGGACGGCAAGCTGCCCATGTGGTGCGACTTCTTCGGCCGGCCCGACCGCAATCGGTGGTTCAAGATGCTCGGAAGTGTGCTGTTTGTCCTGGCCACCCGCGGCGCCATGACAGACGAGTTTGCCGCTTCGGCGCTCAAGCCGTGTCTTGAGGAGTTCGAAGTTGAGACGGTGCGGAAGTGGGGGTTGAAAGAGGGACTGCTGACGGAGATGACGGTGCCTGGTGGCGCGGTTACCGTGACGGAATGGTGGTGGCTCGTCCTCGGCGTCCCCATGCTTGAGATGAGTACCACCGCTGTGCCAGAGGCGAGTGGGGATGGTGGTCGTCGCACCAAGGATCAGTATGCGGAATGGGCTTCAGGTCGGTCCAGGCGGCGGGGCAAGTATCGCGTGATTCATTAATTAGGAGGAGATTATCTGTGTATCATTACGCTGGCAGGAGTTTCGTGCTCTGGTTTCTTACTTCTTCTTCCATAAGACTCGGGTATTTCGATAAGGAATGGCTGGCGTTTTATAGAAATCGGTATGAAGAGTTCACACAGTTTGACGCTGGCCCGTTTTTGGTTCAGGGCTGGGTAGGATTTGCCCTGTGAGGTATGGCGTTAGACACCTTATATGTATGGATTCATCGCAAGATATTAGGCACTATTGATGATCTATCACTGAGTGTATGTTCATGGTCTGTATGGTGTGTGACTGGATCTTAGCAACGCTCAGAGTAACAATCACGACCATGTGCTACTTTACTCAACAGGTGCTGATATGACTGCCTGAGGTAGTAGTAGAATGACTACACGTCTGCCTACCAAGTACTTGGACACTTACGCTGCCAAGGTACTTGGCAAACAATTTACAAGAAGGGCTCCTGACCAATCAGACTTAGAAAGTTTGTGTTAGAAACCCGGATCCCTTTCTCACTACCGGCCTTGCATCACTCACTAACACCTAGTCTGTTGATTGGCCATAACTGTACCGCCTTGTATTTTTCTTGGCTTTCATCTGATGGGTAATTACTTGTTTAATGATATCCTCGCCCACCCATATAGCCTTGACCATTTTGAAGATGAATCATGCCGTCGAAGCCTCGTAACTTGGGGGTTTTGCAAACATCGGTATCTTGAACTCAAGCTTGGGGAGCTCCTGTTCTGAATCCTCGGTAGAAAGAAGAAAAGTGAACTTTGTGTCTGGCAGCACGGCGAGCGTCCCGTCCGCGCCCACGTGTATTCTCAGCTTCCGCGTCATTGTTCCAAACGGCTTTCCCTTGGTCAGCTCCCGCCAGCCGTAGACGTGTCTTGCGCCCTCGATGTGGCCGTGCACAACCAGCCGGTCGTTTGTGGCGCTGCGGTGGATGAAGACGACTGCAGTCTGGCCGGTGCCGGTGGTGATTTGTATCTCCAGCGGGCGAGACTGGTCGCCAAGGCGTGTGCAGCCGTCGGGCTGCCATTGCGCGCGGCTCTCGTTGACCGAGAGGAACAATGAGGAGAAGTGGACTTCAACCGCGCTGTGGTCGCGACAAATGACAATGGTATTTGGGTCGTCTTTCGACACTGTGCTGATGTCCCAGTGGCCCATACCTGGTTCTCTCGAGATGCTAGGTTGAGGCATGGCAAAAACCAGATTGTATGTCTGTGCAAGTGTCTTTTAAAAGCAGAAAAGAGGAGAAAAGAAGGCTTCGTCTCGGATGAGATCCGATTTTATTTTTCCTCCTCACGAAAAGGAGTACTGAATGCGTACCAAACTGAAAAAAGAAGGGGGGGGGGGCGGCGAAGGTTGAAGGAAGCGGTCCATGTTCATCTCAATATCCTTTACCTAATGGTTTGTGGGCCATGTGAGGGGAGCCTGTGTGCCTTGTGACATAGACTTGAACGACATAGTACAAGGCAGGTGGTGCAGAGACATCAGCTAGGCCCCTTTAGGTTCTTAATGGTCTGACTGGGGGGATTAAGCCGGTTCTGCGGCCACATTCATTCTGGCCAGTTGATAATAACCATTTCTGACTGATGTTCTTTGTCCAGCCATGATTTCTTGGGCTAATCTGTGAAATTCAGCCTACTTCAACCATGAAGGTCTTGTCTCTCGAAGTATGAACGACATTGGTATGAGCACTTGTACAGTTGAACTCAACAGGAAGAACTGCTGATGGTGGATAACTAAGTCATGGCATTGAGGCAGAAACTGCAAAATGAATTCTCATCTAACTCGACAGTTGGTACAAGACACAACTTCCCAAGGACTTTATTGATAATTACTGAAGAGGATACATCACACGACACGACATGACTGGTGATTATTGGGTATTATTAGGAGAGGAAATAAGTAATGTTATACAAAACTGACACAGGATATCATTAATGCGAGAAAGCAGTGATGGGTCCGGGCTAGGTCGAGACAGCCTAATTATGTCCTATCCTCTCCGTCCTCCTCCTCCTCCCCCTCGTCCCCCGAGGCACATGTAATCTTGTAGTCCGGCAGAGGCCAGGTCTTAGTGTCTTCGTGTCCAAAGAACTTCATCACAATGTCCAGCCTCAGGAGACCAATGAGCGTAATGAACCAATACAGGACCCGGACGCCAAACGGTGTTGCGACAATATTGTCGAAAAGCTTGCGAAGCCATGACTTCTTGCTCGAGATCCCATGCTGAAGCCGGTCAATAAAAGGGCGATACTTTTGGTCGTAGGCTTTCAGTGCGCTCAGAAGATCAGTGTCGGATTGGGCGTGGCCGATCTCCCCTGCAAGAACGTACGCACCAACGAGGCTGGAGGTGACGCCCATCCCTGCGTTTGGCGTGGGACAGTGTGCCGCATCGCCGACAAGGACCACGCGGTTACTGGACCACGACGGCATCTTGACAACGCCGATACGCTCACAGTAGAGATCGTCTGTGTCCCCCAGCGACTTCAAGATACCCGCAATCTCCCAGCCTATGCCCTGGAAGATCCTCTGCAGGGCCTTCTTTTCCTCTGCAACATCACCTTTCTTGACGTCCTGCAATCTCACTGCGTCGCAGCCCAGATATACCTGAAGCCGGTGTGGATCGTTCCGTCGTGTGAGAATCCATCGCTTGCCAGTGCCGAAGTACCCTTTTGCCGTCCATTCTTCCCCTGGCTGTGCTTCTCGTGCAATGGTGAAATAGGATATGCAGACCCCGATGTAGTCGATCATGTCGGGCGTTCCAGGGCCCAGCATCATCCTTCGAGTACGTGACGAAATGCCGTCGGCGCCCACTACCAGGTCGAACCGATCCGTCGTGCCATCCGAGAACAGGACCTCGACAAAGTCGCCCTTGTCGTCTAGATTCTGTACAGAGATGCCCCACTGGAACTTGACGCGAGGCCTCGCCACATTATAGAGAATCCGACACAAGTCTCCCCTCATGATCTCGAACTCGCTCGTGAAAGCCTGTGGGCCTTGCCCCGTCCTGTTCGCCGGAAAGTATGCTCTCGACTTGCCCGAGCTGTCCACGAGCTCCATCCCCGGCTCGTTGACCGTCTTGGCGCGCACAACCTTCTCGATACCCATGCGTTTCATGACCTCGACGCCATGGCCCCGTAGGTCGACTTGCAGCCCGCTTGCGCGCAGGCTTGGGAATCGTTCGATGACAGTGATGTCGTGGTCGAGGTTCGAGAGCCAGCCGGCGAGGGCATTGCCTGCTATGCCTGCACCACAGATGAGGACCTTGAGTTTGGGCATACTGGAGTTCTCAGAAAAAGAGTTCAAAAAGAATCCGATAAGTAGTTTCGCAGGGCTGTTAGATTGAGTTTTTCTCCTTATGAAAGAGTATACAGAAATTCATCGACAGCTGGAAAGAAGATAAAAAGACACAGGCCGCCTTTAATATTCGAGAGTGTTTCGGTCTTTTCATATGATTCACCAGGATTAGCCGAGATCACTTACGGCAGCAATTGGTGACTCTACGGTGTCTCCCGAGAAAACCGTCTAACCATCCTTCAAAGGCTGTGCTTACGGCGTGGCACTGCCACCCGACCAGACGCTTCACGCACGGCTCTGTCCTAGAAGTAAGCAAGGCGGCAGCAGTTGATCCGCCCTTTGGAACCATGGATCTTGAATGGTCAATCATTCATTACAACATCCCGAATTCACCGCGCAGAATGTGATCACTCATGTCGATTGTCCCAGAAGTGCCATTCTACTGGTAAGTCCTCGTCACATTTAAAAGTGTTACTGTTGAATGGGTGACAGTACTGTAAGTATTCCTCCTTCGAGGTCAGGTACCCGGATTAGGTATCCTATCAACTATCTGTCGGTTTTGGAAGTAGAGGTTCATAGTGATCAGTTGACATTTAATCATAGAGAAAAGCCATTTTCTTGTACCTAAACGACTTGATATGCCAATGACATACAAGATAATACCACAAGTTAATCACTGGGTAAGTAATTAAGCATAGATGTACAAATGCTCGTCGTTGTCAACCAGCACAGAAGTAACAATTGGAGCCCGAAATTACTACAAGCAGAACGGCCAAGAAGAGGTAGAATAGAAATCATTTTTAGAAACGGGTTGCAAGCCCTGGCTAATGGTCAAGTAGCATCTGGGATCAAGACAATTCCTTAATTCACCGGGCGGCTATCACTGTTGCAGATGGTTGTTGCCAAGGTCGTGAAAGGTTCCCAACTGCTTCGGTTCAATGTTCCGATTGCATTGATTCTTATGACGACACTGTGAGAACCTCGGTCAGACTAGATGACACATTTTTGGAGTAGGAGAATTGATTCGACAGCTTGGAAGTTCTAATAGAGCATCAGGCAGAGGAAATGATTTCTATCATTCAACGAGTTGAGCTGGAGGAACGAGATGCAGTGATTTGCGACTAGCCTTGTAAGCCGGGTTTTCGATCGGGCATTCGTCGGTCTTTTGTCAAGACTGTATTTCATCTACTAAGGCCCTCGTAACTATCGTCAACTCATACGAGAAGAATAGCCCTGACCAGACCCAACTCCATACTCTGGTACAAGTACCGAAGCCTGCGGGTCCATCGGTTTCCTGATGCCTGCTCGGACCCGAAAGGTCGCTTCATCCTGCATCGGATGCGGAAGGGCTACACCGTGACCCGCTCTTCCTGGTTCTCGGCCCCGGAGTCTCGACAATAATCAGAGAAATGAGCCGAGGCGGTCGTCGTGATGAAGATACGGGCCAATGAGCTTCATTTTCTGTCCGTCGGAGTACGAATCAGTTGAACTTCTACCTTGTGTTCGGTATTTCCAACACTCGCCCCCCGAATATACGATGTTGAAGACGTAAAACCGCAGACTGTCGCTGAGTTCAACGTTTTCACCGTTCCCAACTTGCCCTGTCCTCTCTTTATCCTTCTGATTAACTAAAGTTGCGACTTGACGACGAGGTCTTTTTTTTTTCTCTTTACGATTCCACATGGACAACTCAGAGTCCAAGTCGCCAAACTGCGGGAATTGCGATGTAATTAAGTGCGATTTCAGTGGCCACTGAGAATAGTGGATGCTGGTGCACGCTGCTGCCTATACTCCCCGGATAATCGATTCTTGAATGAGATTATACTGTACTGTGCACTTTTGTCCAATTATAATTATATCATAAGAAGTGAGAGAAAGTTGAAGAAGAAAGCAAACCTCTCTTTCAATCCGGCCAGCTGCAGTATCGACACAGTACTGCCCAATAACGTAACATCTTGCCGTTGGCGGGCTCAGCCGTGGCTTACCAAGCACATTGCGAGTACTTCCAGGGCACAAAAGAAGAAACGCCACAGCCGAAGAAGAAAAAAACAAAGAAAATGGATGGACAAGACTGGTATGTATCACAAAAACCAGCAAAAAAACCCCAGAGCTCGACGTTGCTCATATTGCGTGCGTCGACCGGGACTCGAACCCGGAGCTAGAGAAGTTCCACGGTTGGGAATCTCTAAGGTTACCCTTACCCCATCGACGCCAGTTATCCTCGCGCCTTCCAGAGCGTTTCTGAAGAATTAGCGTGATTTCTAGACTTATATACCATGACCATTAGTAATGGTACCTTTCCGCAGCATCAAAAACACCCACTGGAGTCCGATAAGTACACGCACGTGCACACAAATATATATACATATTCAAAAGGGAAGATATAAGAAAGAAAGAGAGGAAAAAGAAAACCTATGGTTTTTTTTTTTGGTTTTTTTTGTTGTCATCTGAACGTTTAACTACGCCTGGAATCTATCGAAAAGGAAAGAACGTTTCCTATACTTATTCAGCAGATCTTGACGATTTTGCAGGTGTTACTCGACCAAGCGGTAACCTCGCTTGTAAAATAAGTGACAGGATTTAATATCCAGATGTCTGCACTGGAATGGGAGAAAACCTATACTAGTTTTCTCGTATGACATAGCAACATTCCTTTAAGTCTTGCCTTTGAGTATCGCCCAGAGTAAGATAAATTTTTGAGTGGCTGGATCAAAATACCCATTTTCCCGCTGAACCGCCCCTTCTTCTGAGGAGAGCTTGACATGGACTTCGTTGTGATGCAGAGAATGTGTGCGGTGGTGGTGTTAAGGAAACCTTAGGATCAGGTGTCTTATGATTTAGCCCCTTCCAAGGTCTAGGTATTCTGACTGTTGACTATTTGAGAGAACTGATCTAAAGTGGGCGCGTGTCTTTGGGAGGAACACGCACACAATCGGTCGAGAAAAAGTCACCCAGTCAAGTCTAGTTGAGTGCACAAGCAATGAGCCCTTCTGCGGGGTTCCTCCATCACCGAGCCATCCCACTGGACGAGAGGCCCTTTCTAGAGACCATGATCTGTTGCCCCCCTCCCTCCCGGCAAGAAATGCATTTATCGATCCCGCCCAAGAGCATAGAGCATCACTTCTGTGGGCAAAGGCCTCATACTCGCGCACGACACCCAAAGTGCAGCTCATGTTACTACCCCAAGGCCTTTATCGTCTAGTATTGTGGCACCGTTCACGACGAGCAGCCACCAGTCTCCTAGTCCTCATCTGCCACCTTGTCCTTCACCATCTCCGCAACCATGTTGATCACCTTCTCGGGTCGCCTCTGCTCGGCAATGGATCCCTCTGCAGGAGTCGACAGGCCGGCAATGGGACTGAGTTGCCCACTGGGCGGCATCGAAGGCACGGGAATGCGAATATCCTCGGGCGAGCCGGGGATCATCTTGGGATCGAGACCGGGAATATGGATGCGCTTGGCTTCGTTCTGGTACGCGGCTGGGATGATCTCAATGATCTCGTCACGTGGGAACTTGAGCTTGGGAATATCCATAGTGCTGCAGTGCATCAGGTAGGCGTACAGAACGCGAAGGACAGACTCGTGCGCAATGATCAAGAGGTCATTTTGTTCGCGCTCGAGCTCGAGAATGATGGGCTCCAGTCGGACAGCGAGATCGTGGTAGGACTGCAGGGAAAGATTAGAAATGACACCATACCAGACGCAGGCATACGTTGTGAGAAAGGACAAAAGGTCTTCGTGGGGTGGCTCACCTCAGCGCGCGGGTATCTATGATGGTACGGGTCTAAGTCGTGCTTCTCGACCTCGTCGGGATACATAGCACGGATAGCCCGCTCTGACAGCTTTTCACAGACACCAGGGTTGATGGAGCTCATCTGGGACCGCTGGCGGACCTTGTATCCCTCATCCTGTAGCGGCTTGGCTGTCTGCACGGTCCGCAGCCGTGTCGAAGTCCACACCGTCAGTGGTCTCAGTGGAATGTCAGGACCGCCAGCTTCGATAGCTGACTGCCGCTCCTGTTCACGATGCTTTAGGAGAGTTTCGGTCATCTTGATGGCGTAGGCCCTGCCGGCCTCGGAGAGGTCTGCATCACTTCTGTATGACTCCTCCTCGGCACTACCGGCTCGTACGAAGAAGGTGGTCCTGGATTTGATGTGCAGGTTGGTGAGGTAGAAGACAATGCGATGAGACAGATACTGGGAGGCGCATAATGTCAGCGTAAGACCAAAGACCTTATACAAGAGCGAAACCACCCCAAGAGAGGGGGGAAGGAGGGGGGGGGGGAGAGTGGAATTGGTGGCGTGGAAAGTTGAGCGTGCGTACGTTGAAGCTGAGGTTGTTGTAGAAGAATGCCCGACCGGCATTGATCATCTTGACGTAGTTGAGTTCCTTCTCATTCATTGTCTCGAAGACTGGGATTTTCATCTCGATACGCCGGAGGTAGAGCTTGGCAGCCTCGTCTGGATCCATACCATGAAACTGAGGCAGCAGTGAGATAAGGACAACCCAAACAGCCATGGAGAAGGTTGGGAGAATGGAGGGGGGGGGGAGGGGGGCAGGACTCACGTCAGGAGACGAGATCTTGACATTTCTGGCATTCTCTCTCAATATCTTTTCGTCGTCGACGAAGGACTCGAGGAAAAGCGTCTGCAGGTAAGAGTCAGCCGTAATCGGCCAGCCAACGGCCCTTGACAAGACTGACCTGAACATCGTGCTTGGCAAACTCCTTGGCAAGTGCACGGCGACCGGCGGCAGTAGGGTTGACCGCATCGTAGATGGCAACTTGACCATTCTCATGGTTCAGCCAAGCATAGATATCCTCACGGCACTTTTTGAGGATCTTCTGCCGCAGCATGACGGATGCTGGGGAGGCGTTGGGGAAGAAGTAGTCCTCTGGCACAGTCTCACCAGGTCCAACTGTAGCTCGACGATAGTCTCCAAGGTGGAAAATTCGAGTCTTCACCCCGAGCCTATGTTATACGTCAGCACCATGCCCCGAAGTATCTATATCTGGCCGTCTAGGCAATGAGTCTTACCAGGACAGGTATCGAGCCATCGAGACGCATATATGCCTTAGTTTTGATCAGCGAAATGAGGGCACAATGAGACATTTGTTTCCACAAGAACTCACGTCTTTCCACGTGCTGGCAGGCCGACCATGACAATCGCTATCCTACCCGAGTGGAACAGCCTTCCAGACATGGTGCTGTAGAGCTGGGCGGGCGCCAGGTTCTGGTCCTCAGAGATGTCATGAATGGCGTCGATGAAGGTAGAGCTCTTTCGACGATAACGCGGCGCGTTGGCCGCGATCTCGGCGGTACTGGAGCTGAGGTTAGCGAATTGAGTGTCCAATGTGTCGTCATCGTCGGTGTCACCGAGCTCAGGACGGGGCCTGGTCTCCTCGACAGTCTCTTTCTCCTTCTTCTCCTTGTTCTCTTTCTTCTTCTTCTTGAGCCGTTTGTGAAGGCGAGCCTTCGCTCTCTTGAAGACGAGCCGCATGATGAGACGTGTGGTTCAGAGAGACAGCTATGACAGAAGAATCCGAGTGGGTTGGGATGGCCAGGAAAGTACAGCTTAGATGGAAGAAGGTATGATGGAAAAGAAAAGAAGGATTGTGCTCACAGAAGCGTGTCCATCTTGAAGGAAGAGAAATGGTAAACAAAAGTCGACCCTTTACTCCACTTGCGGTGGTTGTATCGATTCCGCTGCAGTCTTCCGCTATATGTGGATGGGTGTTTGCACTGCCGGAAGGAGGATGGGCACAATGACTAGGGTTGCGATGTTTGAGGGCTGGCCACAATTTTCGGCTTAAGTGATCGAAGGTCTCAATCAGTGGATTGAAGGACAACAGAACAGATTGGCGTGGAGGTTGAAATAGAGGAGGAGTCCAGGGATATGCTCTGGGGCAACTGTTGAGAGATATTGTGAGAGATATCGTGAGGGATGAAGGTATCGTCACTGATATTTGAGGCCAGGAAACTCATGAGCCTCCTTTTCCCTTCTCCTGCGGACAAGGATCAGAGTGCCTCACAAGATCTTGTTCAGCACAGTCCAGAAACAAAGAGATGCGAAACAGGCAGATGCCCACAGAATTTCTTCGAGATGTGACTCCTTCCACTGTCGCTGAGCCCAAAAATGGCAGATGTCACCAGGGCTTTAACCTGGGGTGTTTGCTAAGAGGTTTCGTGAGAGTATCTAGAAGCTAGGAGAGGTGATGATCAGCTTGTGAGACCCGAGGTGAGCACTTCTTCCTCTCATGAGAGAAGTTGCTACCTGTGAGTTGAAACTGTGTGGATGGGTTGGGTCCCGAACAGGTTGATGTCTGAGTCTTGGGTCGGTCTCCGGGTCTTGCCTTGTCTGTCCCGGCTCCTTCTCCAGCAGCCGAGAATGGGATGGGGGTGGGGTGGGTGTAGGAAGAGGGGCTCATTCAGCACAAGCCCTGCTCGCCGCCAAGTACTTTGGTATTGTACATAGTATCAAGGTGCGTACTCTGAGGAACACCAATATCAACCCAATGTCTGGGGGTTGTCTTTCCTTTTTCTTTAACTTAATTTTGAACTTTGTGACGAGTGGTATGATCATTTACAAAAATTCTCCTGCTATCCCATTGCAGAATACATGGCTGTACTCGTTGAATCCAGATATACTAAGCACACCCTGGGGTTGAATACACTTGCCGTACGGTATTATGGCCCTAACGTATCTTTGTGTACCATCCCACGCTGAGGCTAAGGTGCACGGTCCAGGCTGACTCGCTGCCCTGTCGTCAGAGATCGATCAACCTGGACCCAGCAGACACAGCAGCAGCGAGGAAGAGAGCTTACCACGAAATTTTTGGTCCTGTGCCTCCGAGGTCTGGAAAGACAACCACAATTGAGGTCACTTTTACCCAAGCCGCGCGAACCTCACGGAGACCTACGCCTTCACCCAAGTTGAGGACCCCTTACATTAGGGCCTATATCTTCTTAGATTCTGCATCCAGCCCCAATTAGCCTCATTGAAGGTGTTCCTCCTCATCGCATCCCCTGCCGGCCCGTCCCAGTCAAATCCTCTCCTTCGTGACGTCTTCGTCTTCGAGGCCTGCAGCCTCGACCTCATTCCCTCCTCCACGACCCAGATCCCAAATCGCGACCATGGCCTCCACATCAAGCCATCCTCTCGCCTTCGTCGGCAGCAACCCTTTAGTCAAGACCGTTTCCGATGCGCTGGGCTTATTCCAGGAGCGACGCGCAAAGCTTGGCCTGTCAAACCCCGGCACCGTCGAGAACCTGGCCAAGGAGGTCCAGCGCGATGTCCTCCTCAACAACTACATGTTCACTGGCCTGCGCGCAGACCTCACCAAGGCCTTCAGCCTGAACCCCCTCTTCCAAGTCTCACACGCCTTCGCGCTGGGCGAGCGATCAAACCCTTACACCTTCGCAGCCCTCTACGGTACCAACAAGGTAAGCCACTTTCTCGACACTGCTCGGTGATTCTCTGGTGGCGGTATCGAGGCTGACTTATATGCGACAGGTTTTCTTGCAAGGGAACATCGATAATGACGGACAGCTTTCCACGAGAGCCAACTGGAGATGGTCGCCCTCGCTCGTCTCCAAGACCCAGTTTCAAATCGGCACCGGCGGCCAGGACATGGCGCAGCTTGAATCCGAGTATACTGGCAATGACTTCACCCTCAACGTCAAGGCCCTCAACCCATCCTACCTCGAGGGCGGCCTCACCGGTATCTTTGTCGGACAGTACATGCAGGCGGTCACCCCGAAACTTGCTTTGGGTCTGGAGGCTATGTGGCAACGTCAAGCCTTGAGCCAACCCCCAGATGCGGCGCTGGCGTACTGCGGAAAGTACAGGGCCGAAGACTGGGTGGCCACGGCGCAGATGGCCGCAAACGGTGCCATAAACACGACTTACTGGAGGAAGCTGTCCGACAAGGTACAGGCAGGTGTCGACATGACCCTGACCCTCTCTGGTGGCCCTGCGGCAATGATGGGAGGCCCCCTGCAGAAGGAGGGTGTGACGACCTTTGGTGCCAAGTACGACTTCCGCATGTCCACCTTCCGCGCCCAGCTGGACTCCAAGGGAAAGCTGAGCTGCCTGCTCGAAAAGCGCGTCGCCGGGCCCGTCATGATGACCGTGGGTGCTGATGTGGACCACGCCACGGTATGGCTACTTCTTTTTCATAACAGTTCACTCATCCATTATTGCCAAAATTTGCTAACAGAGTAAATTACAGCAAACCGCGAAGCTCGGCCTGGGCATCTCCATCGAGACCGGCGGCGAGGAGTTGCAGGAGCAACAAGAGTTGCTCGGCGCCCAGCCATCTCCCAACATCCCCTTCTAAGGGGTTATTTGAACCTGAAAGCGACAAGTCCTCTCTGCGCTCGTCCAACGACTCTCCACTCTGCTCCGATGACCCTATATCACCACATACCATTTACACGCCCAAAATCTGAAGGGGCAGGCGAGCGCACCCAATGAGACACATCAAATCGATACAAGAAGGATGTTAAATGTTGACTCTTGTTGACAAGAATGTGTTCCAGAAGGGTTCAGGCCATGAATCAACTCTGATGGATCTCCGTTGCCTAGCCGGACCAGAGGTACTGCCCCTTTCACATAGCATATTTTATGATTTTCCGAACATGTTTTCCGCCTAAAGTGGGGATGTAGATGTGTGTGGCTCTCCAGGTAATCGAGACGGCTCGTGGATCTCGGGGAGGGGAGGGCTGAATCAACGGCGCTGGGCAACGGACAGAAACAACGGTTTGGAAAGCCTCAGACGTTAGTGAATTGGGATGATGACTTACTTCATCTCAGGCTTCAAGAGTCGCAGAAAATCAGAAGGAAAATGAGGAGTTGTTTCCAAGTCTTTACCTGGAGGAAGAAGAGAGGGGAGGGGATACCGTGATTGCCGGTGAGACCAGCAATCTCTGATCCCCAACCAAATTTTATTGTAAAAATAGTACTAGTGCCATACCCTCCATTGTAACTACTATCTCCAGTCATATGCATGCATGGTGCTTGCCTTTCTACCTGCCCATCTCTCAGCACATGTGTGCAGCAAATGATGCTCAATCTCTCCATATCAGAGAAACTCACTAGCCACACGACTTTCACTATGTCACTTTTTTCCCTAGCTGACGCCACAGTGCACGGATCACAAAGGGGCGCCGACACCCTAGAAGCTGCTGTACTATGATGTCTTTTTCAGTGGTGGCAGGTGTACAGGCCCTGCAGGCAAGGCACTTAGGCACGCTAAAACTCTTTTGTGGGGCCGACTGGTGGGGCTGCATGTGATCAAGGAGAATTCAGGGCAGGCAGGCAGCTGAGCGTGGGGCCTTAGATCTGATCTGGGCAGCCCCCAACCGGTCTCATCATCACCCCTTGATGGCTGCTCAGGGCGTCTGGGCTTGTAGAGCCGGGCCAGTGAACCGAACCAAAATCCTCACTCGCTTCCCATCCTCACCTTGGCTTTCAACTTTTCCCCCCCAACCTGACCCAAGTCGAGGTCCAACCCAGCCTCCCAGGCACTCAAGACATTTTATTTTTCTCTTGCCCCTCCTCAACCACGATTGGGGAGACTCGACAAGGACACAGCACCCAGCAAAGCAGCCGGCAACCTGCTTCTGTTGTGTGCCTACCTGCCCAGTTCGACCTTTTTTCTCCCTCTTATGTATGCTTGCGACAACAAGGGACCAAGCACACTTTGTTCGCTGCCCGCCCCCCTTTACCTCTAGCTTTTTGTTCTTCTTGACCCGCCAGCTTCTTGCGCAACCACCTGAAGTCTCCTGCGACAAAGCAAACAAACTCTTTTGGAGTCTGCCTGCCCAGCATCACTGGAAGACTGGCCCATTGACCTAGGGGGAGGCACCAAGGCAATTTCCCAGTCGCAGCCTGCGACGCCTGCAGGCCCAGCCCGCCTCTTCTCCCTTTTCTCTCATCAGTCGCGTGCCACGACGCGCCCCCCCACCACAACAATCGACTCCATTTCATCACGACACATATGCATGGTGTTCATTTGTCTCATTTGCCCCGTGGAATATGATGGTTGGAGGAAGGTGGAAGTGGTGAAAAGAGTCCGTCTACACCCATTGCTGCTGTTCTGGACACGATGACCCGCCCCTCTAGTGCGAGCTTCGCCCAGTTCTTCCCTGCTGCTCCCAGGGCTGCTAGGGACAGGGCCATGGAGCGCGAGAGGGAGAGGGCAAGGAGGGACACACAGGACTTGTCATCCTCAGCAGCAACAACCACACACACAGACAAGCCCGCGCTCAACGGCCTATCTGGGCACGGCGCGACCGACGATCATCACACTGTCGCGACATCTTCCTTCCGGGATACCTCAATATCTGACCCAGCGCGAACTCCCGCTGATGATATCGACTCCTTCCGTGCGGACCAGCCAGCCACTGTCGGCTCTGAGAGTTCACATGCCAGCCTCGCGTCCTCTGCGACCAATGCTTCCTCGATGCGCAACAGCGCTGCTGTGTCCAAGAACAACATCTCATCGTCATACTCGCTGGTCACCCCGCTCACGACCATCGACTCGCCTTCCCCCTCCGCCGGCTCTCATCCACCAAGGCTGGATACATCCAATTCCTTATATTCTGAAAAGATCAGCGCGTCCATGCCCAAGCCTGGTGGCTCCCTTGACAATGTCGCTGCCGTGAACACATCCACTATCTCACACCGCATACCGGCTCGAGACCCCTCACTCCGTGTCCAAGTGATCAAGGCCATACATGATCCATCCATCGACCGATCATCGCGAGATAAGAAGAAACCGAAATACAAGGAATATGGAATGGTACGTTATATATATATATATATACTGAATACTTGAAGGTGGAAGGCGGAAGGGAGTAGGGGGGAGCGTCATCATCTTTTTTTTCCATCTCGGTGAACCTGGCTAATAAAATCGCTCTGTGTACAGGAAGATGACGCTCCCCCACCAGCCGACCCTCGACTGGCTAAAGGTGGTCGCCTCGACTACATCAACGTCGATTATCACCTGCCCAAGTCTCGCTTGCGCCAATCGCCGTATAACGTGAAGCCTTATGCATGGGACCCAAAGACGTCTGTCGGTCCTGGACCCCCAACCCAGGTCGTCGTGACCGGCTTCAATCCTCTGATCACCTTTGCCAAAGTCGCAACCATATTTAATTCCTTTGGTGAGGTCGCCGAGAGTAGCAACAAGATGCATCCGGAGACGGGGAGCTTCCTGGGGTTCGCTACCTTCCGCTACAAGGATTCGAAGCCCAGCCGGTCAAGGCCGCTTCCAGTCCTGGCAATCGATGCTGCTAAGCGCGCTGTACGCAACATGAACGGCAGGTCCATCGAGTCCCATCGAGTCCGCGTGGAGTTCGATCCAGATGGCAAGAAAAGCCGTCGCATGCTGGAGGATGCCCTAAAGACCGAGCGTGAGAAATCACAGCCCTTGATCGCCAAGCCGATTCCCACCGCACCGCGACCGAAAGAATTTCCTCCAAGAGCACCTCCAACTGCACCTCGAGGCCCTGCTGCCTTCCGACAGCCCGCGATTGCAGAGGGCCGTCCGCTGTCCGTGGCCGCGCGGATCTCCAGTTTGATTGAGCAGATCCCCGTCTCGACCAGCCTGAAGAAGGAGCCATACATATTTGTCGCACACGAACACGTCCCAGTCATGCCCACGACGATCGCGCATATGAAGAAGCGGCTGAAGAACTTTCGTTGGGAAGACGTCCGTGCTGACCGCACTGGATACTATATCATCTTCCGAGACTCGACTCTGGGGCGCTCCGAGGCGGAGAAGTGCTATTCTTCTGCGCACGCGACCGCATTCTTCACGTACACTCTCAGGATGGAGCTCCATTTGTTCGGCAGCGAAGGCAAACCCCCGCTCTCCTCGACCTCCGTGACCTATCGAAGACGTAGCCACAGCCCCCCGCGGCGACCGGCACAAGTTGAACCTCCCCCGAAGCGCGACGATAAGGAGCGCACCAGGAGAGAGGACCAGAGGGATCTCGAGGAAGAAAAACGTGAGCGTGCGAACAATTTCGACCCGGTCAGGGAGGCTGCTGAGGTAGTGCGCCGGGAGATGATCGAACACCTGATCAAACACATACGCCAGAAGGTTGCTGCGCCGAGTCTGTTGACGTACCTCGAACCTTCGAACCATGCCGAGATGCGTATCAAGCTCAATATCCAAGATCCGCTCGCGGTCAAGACCCCTAGCTTTCTCTTTGACGACAGCGACAAGTCTCCTGCGAGCACTCCCAACTCACGAGCCGATCCGATCGAGCGCCGTACCAAACATCTCGACGTTACGGCGCTGCCCCGTATTCGCAAGGTCAAGAAGGGCACAATCCCTCGCAGGTCCGGTTTTGCCGATCCTTTTGCTCGAGAGCGACCAACATCCCACCGAGCAGCCTTCCGATCGCTTCATCACCGCCTGCAGCATGCCGACAGCGATGCCGATTCCGACGATGAAGTCGAGCACAGGGACTCTCTTGCGAGAGATACCGAGGAACCTGAATCTCGCTCTCGTAGCCGAATGAGCCCCGACGAAGACTTCAAAGACGACTGGGGTCCGCCGGAGGACGACTCCTTGACGGAAGCCAGCTTTGCTCAGGATGGTATCGTGCCTCACGTGAAGAAGAGGAAGCTTGACCTGCAGATAGAAACAGCAATCAAGCGCCAGAAGAAGAGCGACGAGGAGCTGTTCGGGGTGACCATCGACCGCATCGAGACCGGGTACCCTCTTCGCGATGCTTCCGTTGACGTGCTCATGCCCGACGCCACTGAAGACAACGAGGATGGAGATTCTCAGCTGCCCACACCTGCCCTGGGTGCGAAGGGCGTCAAGAAAGGCGCGACGAAGTCAAAGAAGAAATCCAAGAAACAGCTGTTTGAGGAGCGCGAAGCACTCAAGAAGCAACAGCAGGACATTTTTGAGCACGAAGCCGAGGAGAAGTCCGAACCGCTCAAGCAACCCACGCCGCCTCCTGAGTCGAAACCAGAGCCAGAGGTGGTGGAGCCAAGCAAGCCTCTACCGGACCGCAACTTGTTCCCACATTTTGTTACCAAAGCACTCATTCTCCCACCCAAGTTCAAGGTCGATCCAGAGTCTATGCAGACCCTCGACCTTGGCGAGAAAGACAAGCCCAACATCGCAAAGCTCAAGAAGAAGTTTGGCGTGGAGGACATTGGCGATCCTCAAACTTGGCTCTGGAGACGGAATCGTATCAAGGAACTCAATTCTTGGGATGGCTCGGGCGACATCGTGGGTATTCAAGGCTACTATGTGCCCAATTCTACCGGGTGTGCAAGGACAGAAGGCATTAAGAAGATTCTCAACTCCGAGAAGTCCAAGTATCTCCCGCACCACATCAAGGTACAGAAGGCTCGCGAAGAGCGCGAAAAGGCTGGCAAGGGTGGCAAAGTCAAGTCCATGGCCGAGGTCAACATTACAAGGGTTGCGCCCGATCATGTGTCCTCGCAGAGCAACGCCCGCGACACGCGTGCCAAGCAGCGTGACCACAATTCTTCTCTTGAGAAGACGCAGAAGGTCTTTGGTCAGGCATCTGATGTCTTACGCTTCAATCAGCTCAAGAAACGCAAGAAGCCTGTTAAGTTTGACCGGTCAGCAATCCACAACTGGGGTCTCTACGCGATGGAGAACATTGCCAAGGACGACATGATCATCGAGTATGTCGGCGAGCGGGTACGCCAGAGGATCGCAGATCTCCGTGAAATCAACTACACCAAGAGCGGGATAGGGAGCAGTTACTTGTTCCGTATCGATGATGATGCAGTCGTTGACGCGACCAAGAAAGGAGGTATCGCTCGTTTCATCAATCATAGCTGTGCGCCAAACTGCAAGGCCAGCATCATTCGCGTGGAAGGAACTAAGCGAATTGTCATCTATGCCGAGAGGGCTATAGCGCAGAGTAAGTGTCTTGTGTGCGAGGACTTTTCTTCTTCTTTTTCTTTCTAAGAACGTCACGGCTGACCTTGCTTTTTTCTTCTCTCAACACAGATGAGGAATTGACATACGACTACAAGTTCGACCGCGAGATGCGCTCCGAAGACCGCATTCCCTGCCTCTGTGGCACACCCGAGTGCAAGGGTTTCCTCAACTAATATTAACCTCGGTCTCCAGCATCAATCACTCATATAAGCTCTCATCCTGTTTCGCGTTCACCAAAATCGGAGTCAGTTGCAGAGGTGCCAACGGTGTTATAGACGAGCAAATTCAGGCGTGATCTGATTGCCTACTCAAGGTTTCTTCTTGTTTCTTTTTTTGTTTTTATTTTGTTGTTGTTGGCGGGCCCACGGCGATTGGTGTTTGGATTCTCATTTCATTACGATGATCAAAGTTGGTCACGTCACGGCTGCTTGGGACCAGGTACGGCTTTCTTCGCATCCAGGGTTCGTTGTGCAGGTGTTGCGGGCAAGGGAAAAAGAAAATTACCAGAACATATCACCCCGCCTTTGGGGAGACAAGACCTTCGAGGGACTGGCGTGCAAAGGGAAGCGCGTCACTCAACGAGATGGCGGTAGAAAAGGGGGTGAGGGGTTTGGAGGAGAGGAAGCGCGGAAGGGAGCAAATAATATCAAATTGGGCGGGACTTGAGCAATGCGATAGCCTCGTGGGCAAGAGAAGATTAGGTCGGCCAGTCAGATCGAGGCGGAAAACGTGGTTAATGTACTTGGCCCATCTGATCCGGTCGGGCAAGAAGTCGTTGGCCCGGTTTATGATAGGGGGAAGGGAAGGGGAACATGGAGAGCGGACATGGGTCCGAGGTCTCCAGATATAGAGGCGGCTCGAAAACTTGATCGAGAGGCAGAGGATGCCAAAGACCTTGAATGAAGTGAGCATCAAAAACGGAGACAAAGACCAAATCAAAGCCTCCCTACCCAATGTGCTTCCTGGAGAAGGTGAGAATGTCAAATACCGCGTGCAGGAGACATGTATGTGTGTGCGTGTGTTGGACCGACTCTTTAGAAATATCGCTAGCCTAGGGCAGCCAAGATTGGGAATAGGACCAGGTGTTGATAAAAACTCAGTAAGCTATTTGTACACACGGCTCTCCAAGGAGAGAGAGGCATAATCTGCGTCCTGCTGGAGTCCAGTTCTGGCGGAAATGACACGAGTCCTTCTCTCAATGAACCATGAACCAAAGCCCAAACCCTCCAGTAACTCCTCACAGAGGGAAAATAACACATCCAGGCGCACTGCCGATCCCATTATTCCCACCTCAAACGCCATTCATCATTGTTGATTCATCATACATCGGTTTCAGGTTTCATAGGTCTAATTGCAGACAAAAATCATCCTCACCGTCACCAAGCACTTCAACGGTATCATCGTCCGTGCCAAACAGCCCCTCATCACCACCACCTGAGAAGCCGAACAGCCAATCGTCGTCTTCCTGGGGCGGCGCGTCGAAAATCGACACGAACTCGGGCTTTGCCGCCTGCTCGCTCCTCGCGTGGCTTGCCGGAGTGATGGTCGCGTCGGATGCGTTGGACGCGACTGACGCGATGGATGTGGTGGTGTTGGAGCGGGCTAGTGGGCGACGCGCGGGGGCTTCCGACTTGTCACGTGCGTGTAGCGCGGCCGAGACGGAGCGGCCTTTGGTGTAGCCCAGCGTGTTGCGGGAGGCAGCTACGCCGGCGCTGGCGGATGAGGACGGGATGGCTCTCGGGTAAAAAGTGAGAGCAGGGTTGACTGCCGGTTGTCTTGCCTTGGTGGGTTGCATGTAGGATGGGACTTTCGCAGTGGCTGAGGCGGTCGGCCTCGCGAGAAGAGGCTTGCGCTGGGCCGTGGTGGAGGAGGTGTTGCTGGCTGCCATTCCTAGTGCTGATGCTGCGCGGCGTGAGTTCAGCGACGAGGACGCCTTCAGGGATGTGCTGGGTCGGACAGCTGCCTGGTCTGTCGGGTCGGCCAGGGGAACAATCTTCCTGGGAGAATCAAGTGCCAGATCCCAAGTGGCGTCAGCCAGGTCCTTTCTGATCCGCGCATCCGCCTCCCTGAACCTCTTCTCCTGTGCAGCCTTCATCTCCCTGTCAACCCGCGTCCTTCCATTCTCGTCCCGGCGGTTGTGGTAGTAGTCATAGTAGCCCTTCAGCCGGTTCTCAGGCCTGATGGCGTCGAAGGTCAGGACACCGGCCGGGAAAACGTCAGACACGTAAGGCTGCTCGGGCGGAGGTGGCGGGTTTGTGTCGACCTCGTCAGACAACGGATCCGAGTTGTCGAGGAGAATCTGTAGCTTGGAAGACTCCGACTTGGGCGCATGACTTTTCGGGCGGGCGGCGGTGGTAGGCCTGACCTGACTTTTCTCGATTTCACGCACGGCAGGTGTCTTGCCGTTGATAGTCTTGCTTATCGCGGCTTTGGCGTTGGTAGTCTTGTTTCCTAGAACTGCACGACCTGTCCGGGGCTCTGAGTAGATGGTGTGAGTAGTCATGTTGACTATGCTGTGGTGCGCTGTGCTGTGTTGTGCGCCGTGCTATGCAGTTTGGGTGGGAATGATGCACGTATCCTGTGCTGGAAATGCTCACCTGCAGGTGTCACCCATTGCGACCTGTCCGTCTTAGCTTTGGCTTCCAAAACGCTCTTTCCTCCCAGACCACGTGCTGTGTTCTCATCATTGAGAGGGATTTTGAGGGGTGTCTTGGGATATCGTGCACCGGGCGTCTTTGGCTGAAGTCCTCGAAGGGTGCCCTGGTTGTGCTGCTTGTTGTGCGCAGCAGCCTGGTGAACGGAGACCAGATTCTCCTGATCGCGTGCCGCAAACATTTCTCGTTCCTTTCTCCTTCTCTGCTGGCCTTGTGGATGGTCGCTGCAAATGACCGATGGGTGCTGCTAACCTCCGGAAGATACGACGTAATCTCCTGTACCCTCAAAAAATAGTCGCTTGGATATTTCGAGGCGTCGCTTAAATCGAATACGGTGGACTTCAGATAACGAGGCCCCCGTCGCTGTCTTTATTGTCGCGGCAGTAGGCGTACCTCCAGATTTTTTAGAGAGGGGGATTGATGTTGGCTTGTATTATGTAGGAATCATGGAAGTGGATGAAGGAAGGTTGATAGTTAAGTGGCAATTTAGGCGTTCGTAATGCAGGTATTGACTTTGGAATGTTTGGTGTTGACCGAGCAACAATGCTTGACCCTCACGCTTCACAAGGGTTGAGACCGTTCACCTGTTTGCATCCCTGCACTGGAGAAAGGAAGACCCCTGCCATTCTGAACGCCAGTCACTGTGCTGTACTATGGTAGGCTGCAGATGACTGGGGCCCATCATTTGGAGGGGTGGAGGGAGGAAGGGGTGGGGGGCATTACAGTATGGCCAGTGCACTGGTGAGCAGTCACTAGCAGTCAGCTGGTGATTCCCCAACAGCAGCAACAACCCCTGAAAGAAGAACAACCTGACCCCTCCCCCTCCCCCCTGACAAGCCAGCAGGAAGGCCAACGAATAGGCTGGGGCCATAATTAGAGAGGGGCACTATTTCGAGACCTCCACCTCTGGGAGGTGAGAGGACGGGCCCAGTCCAGAACACCTCATCGTCGCCAACTTGCTCTGATACCCAACTTGTCATTGTGTCTCCTTTTCTCTCCAACTTCCTCACCCAAACTTCTTCACCATCCAGTAGACAGCTGTGTCCCAACATCGCCTTTTGTCGATAGACCCATTTCCTTCTTCTTGTTCTCGTTGATCTCGATAAAACTAGTCCACCATGGATCGTATCAAGGAGGTAAGTCAGATCACGGCAAGGCCAGATCAGATCAGAGAAAGGGGCCATGGAGCACTGGTGTTGCTCGATAGCGGCGTTTCTCGTCATCCCTTCTACCCCGCCAGGGTCTCTCTATCTGCTTGGCTCAGCTCAGCTTTGTAACGGCTGCCTGCTGTTGTCTTGGTTCACTGCAGTCGCACCTGTAGCACTGCAAGAGACCAAGGCGACGCAATCATCACAGCTGCAGTAGCAGCCACAGCCGCAGCAGCAGCCTGAAGTCCACCTAAAACTTCGCCTACCACAAGACCTCATTCACCAACTGTTGATTCCCCCATCATCTTGAACCAAACACCCTTCCTCCCTCCTCTCTTCGTATCAAAACGCCAAGTTACACCCCAGTCACACAAGTCATCCCGCAAGAAGGAAAACGGTCAAGATGTCGATGCTGAGTACAGTCACGCAGAAAATGAACCAGCTTCGCCTGGAGGCCGACGAGTCCGCCGCCAAGCTTGAGGAGATGCAGACCAAGATGAAGTCGCTGGAGCAGGACAACCTGGCCAAGGAGCAGGAGATCACCTCCCTGTCGCACAGAAACGGTCTGCTCGAGGCCGAGAACGAGAAGCTCGACACTGCCATCAAGGACTTCAAGAAGGCCGCAGAGGATGGTCAGGGCCACTCTACCACCAACGAGGCCCTCACCCGCCGCCTCCAGCTGCTCGAGGAGGAGGCTGAGGAGGCTGACAAGACTCTCCGCGAGGCCAACGAGAAGTATGTAGAAGTGCCGCTCACTTACAACTTCAAGTCCGAGATCTATCTGACTTGGAGGTGCTTGCTTTCTGCCCTGTCTCTTTTTTCCCTCTTTACCTCCTCCTCCCCCCCTCTTTCCAATTTTTCTTTCCTTTCTTCTTCATGCGGTCCTCCTCGAAGATCTAAGCCACACATCTCGTTCATATTGCAAGACCGGAAGCTGACATTCTCCGCCCTATCCACCAGACTCCGACAAACCGACGTTAAGGCGGGCCACTTCGAGCGAAAAGTTCAGGCCCTCGAGGCCGAGCGAGACCAGTGGGAGGGCAAATACGAGGAGATGGCTAAGAAGTACGCCGATATCAAGAAGGAGCTGGAGGAGTTCCAGGCAGAGATTGGCAATATCTGAGGAAGACCGTGTACAGAGGGGAACAAAGGATGTTGGCATGGCAAGAAGGTTCTTGCGATTCTATAACAGGTCTTGTCTCTTAGGAGACGAGTGCCTGACGGACCGTCTCGTCTGCGCATTCCTCTACTGTCGACCAGTCTTAACTTTGTGGAAAGGAGCATCCTTGGTGGTGGCATTGTTGCGATTCGAGTTGTTCTCGCGATTGCAGCACTTTTTAGAAGGCGGTCAGACCTATGATTACAGCAGCACATTTCGAGAATGAAATTTGTTGATGCTTCACCGACCATGTATACATTTGATTTGGGTATCATTGTGGCGTACGGGGGCCATGATGGACTGATAACAAGATGTGATGCTACTCTAAATGCCCCGACTCCGACTATCTTCCTGCTTTTTTGGCCTTATTCTTCCTATTTGTAGCCTGCCTCTCCAACTTTGACTCGTACCGGAACTTCTTCTTTTTCTTTTTGGGTTGTTCCCTTCTTGCCTTCTTTTCCTCACCCTCTCTAGACTGCGTCTTTTTTCCCTGCACCTCATCTCCTGTCTCTTCTTGTTCATCCTCAGCCTCCAATTCGGCCTTGTTGTGCAGCCCGTCTCTGTCCACACTGACGGCCTCGACTTTAACTGTCGTATAGAGATCTTCGTCGATGTACTCCTCTTCGTGATCCACAGGTTCCAGAGCTGGCGCAGGTGCAGTGTCCTCGATCCCACCCCACTCCTCACCGTCGCTCTGCTCAGAGCCTGTATCTGTCTCTTCATTCCCCGAGCCCAGTCCGGCGACCTGGGACTCCTTCAGCATAGCCTCGACATTTTTCACATGATCTTCAACAGCTTGCTTGCGCTCGTCTCTGAGCTATGGCAGAGGGAAAGAAACATCAACCGTCAGCGAAACTTATCACACTTTTGCAGACAGTCAGTATAGATACACACCTGCTTTCTCATATCGATCCTCTCCTGTCTCGCTCTCTTGGCCGCTTCCTCCTGTGCATGCTTTTGCCTCTGCACCTTGCGCTTGTGAAAACCCGTCAGGTACTCGGCGCGGGCGCTGTTGTCGAAGGAGATCTCTTCGATGGCGTGGATGGCCTTGCGTTTCTTCGAGGGCGCCGGTGGGAGGGGCGATTTCTTTGGGCGGGGTTTGGCGAACATTTTGTCGAGAACCTCTTTTCAAGCAAGCTCTTGGCATATATGTCTGGGGGTAGATCTCCCGTACAATAAATAGCAACAGCCTGGGGGGTTTGGCTTCCCTTTCGCTGGTGGGAAAAAGCGAAGGTATTGTCACCGTTCTAACGAAGATACTGACTGCAGGACTATACAGGCTTGCCTGCCCGGGGCTGGTTTTGAACTTTTTCCGTTCGGAGACCCCTGAACGCGCTGCTATAAATTTAGTGACGTGATGCGCTAGCTCCGCTAGGATGGCACCTGAGGCATGCGGCTCAGGCTAGGTCAGCGGAGCTTGCCGGCGGCAGCGCTGTGCTGTAGCTTGGGGCGGTTGGGATTGGCCTGGTGCAACGTAGAGCTTCCTATCATCATCGTCAGCAATCGCCTGCCGTTCTTGTGCTTGACCAGCGTCCCAACAACCACCTATCACCTGCAAACTGCCTGCTTCTTCCACAGTAGAAGCGTGAAGACCAAAACCCACATCATTTTCAGAATGCGGTATTCGATAGCAGCCGGCCTCCTGGCCTCAGGGGCCGCGGCATTCAGCGACTCGTCGCCCTTCTTGATGTACTCAACATCAAAGTACGCCATCCCAATGACAGTCCCTGAGTTGATGACTACCGTACTAATCAAGGGTTTTGCAGGCTCTCCGTCCCTTCAGAGCCCTCGCAGCTCCAGTCTACCGCCTCCGTCCTCTCAACAGCCCATGCCCTTCTCTCCACATGCCCGACATCCCTCTACCTTCTGCTCACGCATCCAAACGCCCACGCTTCGGACCTGCGGGACCCGGCCACGGGCGCCTGCTTGGCCCTGAACCTCTGCGGCCGCACCTCTGCTGTAGTCAACAGCAGCAAGGTCGCCACCTCCCACTACGGTGTCGCCGAGGTGGTCGGGCCGGAGATCTCCGCGACCGACCTGCAAGCCTATATTGAGGGTGCTTGTTCCGAGCAGGGCAAGGGAGACTTAGCTGCTGTCGTAGTGAAGCAGCTCGACGGACTGCCTTTGCACGATGAGGTGCCGGGCGATAGACGCTTCGCGATGGATTGGGAGGACCGGGAAGTGGGCGAGCTGCTGGACAACCAAGAGCAGATTCGGAGGGGCGTGCCGGGAGATGACTATACTGTGATCTACTTCGCGAGCCCGCATGAGCCGCCAAGGAGGTACGAGGCGGAGTTTGGCGAGGCCGGCGGTGCGGAGATGCCGCTGGAGCTGAGGAAGAGGGAGTGGGAGGTGAGAGCGGCGGACGGTGGGAACACCGTTGGGTCGGCGCCGCTGTTTGTGAAGTATCAGTTCTTCACGCCTGGTGAGTCTCATTATCTCATCCCTATTCGCGAGAGCTGCTTTGGGTGGCGTTGACAAGCGGCTGAGATTGCTGACGGCTCAATCTGCAGGTATCTTCATGGGCTTCGTGGCCGTTTTCCTCATGCTGGCTATGCTTTACGTTGGTCTCAACGCCGTGGCGAGTCTACAGGTTTCGTATGGCGCTTTCGATAAGGAGATGGGCCCTGCTGCCCAGAAGAAGACTCAGTAAGCTCACAAGACAGGACAAACCTTGGTGTGTGGTGTGATAAAGGAGTGGTGGCCGCGCCGGTGTGATGTGGCAAGCAAGGCTTGGTGTAGGTTTCGTGCATGTGTACCATACATATATTGGGAGTTTGGCTGGGTCACTGCGTGGCTTGTTTGGTATTTCAGCAGAGATGCAATGGATTTGGTATTTTTATGTTGTAGGTGGTAGTGTCAATACAATTCCAGACACGACAGTGACGTGTGTTGAAGCAAAACACTCAGGGCGCAGTGTCTTTCATGCAGCATAAGGCGCAACAAGGCCTACCTCCTGAAAAGGTCTTCCCCCAATGAGATCTACTGTCCTGTCTTATCCTTCCTCCTCCTCCAGGTATCTCAGCCGAGATCACGATCATATTTTCCCTCCTTTCCTGAACGCCGTGCAAAATCATTCCTGGTACCATACCATCCTTTGCTGGTTCCCTATCGACTCTTGCCTGTCATTCTCTCCTACCGAGTCTGTTTGGAGTCTCGCTATCTTATTTATGAAGCCGTCATTCTCCACAGCCAACAGCCTGCATTCGCCACAAGCATCGCAACCTTCTCCTCACTTTTCCCAACCTGTGCCGCCGTCCATTCTCATCCCTCTTAGACGAGGTGGCTCGGTAGCAGGAAGTTGGCGATACCCTCCTTGACGTGGTACTCATGCCCGCAGTTACCACACACAAGCTTTCCCTCCATCATCTGGGTTTCGACCAGCAGCGAGTGCAGCTCCTTGAGCATCGTCTCGTTGCCCTCCAGGTCCTCGGCGGTGGGTGCCTCCGCTGGGAGTTGGGGGAAGCCCAGCTGAATTCCATAAGGTGCTTAGTGTTTCCATTCTCTTCAAGCAGTATTTGGAAAAATTTTTTTTTTTTTTAAAAAAAACCAATCAACAAAAGTATAACATACCTCTGTCGTAGTAGTCTTTAATGCAGCCCAGTCCAGTCTGGGGAGCAGGTTCACGAGGAACTGCGGGTTCACCTCGATCTCGTCTTGCGCCAGCTCCGCGTCCTTGGGGCGTAAGGGAAAGGACGCCGATGTGGACTTGCAGGCCTTGACGGCACAGGTCAGGAAATTTATGCTGAGGACTTTCATTTTCCCTTCTTTGAGATACTCTGGCGATAATGTGTTATTTGGGATGCTTTTTGTAAGTCGACAACAATTTTGCCCTTCACTGCTTCGGGAAATTTTGCCAGGACATGGCAACCCTAACCCTTGGAAGAGACTGACCAAGATACATACCGTAAGCACTGCACTAAAGGGAGAACCAGGCCTTCTGCGCCTCTAACAGTATACTTAATCATTCAAGGCTCTTCTGAAGAAAAGAAAGAAAATTGGATAGAAGAACTACACACTTACCCTGGTGTCAAATCAGGCAGAGAGTGTCCTGGACCATCTAGCCATTTCTCAGGTTGCTCCCAAGTTATCATTGGCATTCGAAGGTCGCACGACAACTAGTAACTGGGGAGTGGCTTAGAGGTGCATACTCAACCATTGCAACGCATTGTCCGTGGCAAGATAATGTGGACTCATAAGGAGGCTTTGAGAACTGACTCTACGTAGAAAGCATCGAGTACAGTCACCATCTGGATATCTATTTGGGTGCCTATGAAGACCTATAATTGCAAGGGCTGATAGACGGAGGGGGGGGGGAGGGGTATTGCAGCAGTAAAGGTAAAACAAGAAGGGAAGAGAGAACACAGAGGGCAAAAACAGAGATTTGCTTTCCACACCGCTATTAAACTATGCACCAACCATCCGAGCCGTTCCAGCCGCCCCGCTTGAACATGGTGCACATCACGTTCTTATGCCATCGTCTTCTCGTATCCAATGTCCTCCCTCGAACCCCGCCTCCTCGATATCCGCATGTACACAGCGACGCAGCCCATGATGACGATGAACAAGACGCCCTTCTGAATGGTCGACCACTCGTCGGCGTCGTAGGTAGCCGGAATATTCTCGCTGAGCGCTTCCCCTTCGACTTCTCCCTGGATCTGCTCGACGGGCTCGCCATCCGTGTAACCAGCGGCCCAGTCAGCCATGCCGTATTGAGGTTCTACAGGGGACACAAGACAGGCGAATCAGCAACGGGAGACGCAACATTTGTGTTTGAAGCCGAAAATTGAGAGACGTGGACACGTGTGAAAAGAGAGAATGGGAAAGGAGAGTCAAAACGACACATGCATTCTTCTCGTCTTGAATTTTTTTGGTTCTCTAGGATAGATCACATGCATATGTCTCGTCATGGTATGTGTGGAATCTTGGGTCTCGGTAGTGTGGTACCGGTGTCTTGATCTGGGATGGAGGTAATGATGGTTGTTGTGGTGGGCACAGAAGCACACTCTAGAGCTCCACGTGGATACCTTCTTCGGGCACAGGCAGCTCTCCGCTCTTGATGATCTTGACGGTCTGCTTAGGCTTGTCGCCGGGGCCCTTCTCAATGTTCTCGATCTTCTCGACGATGTCGTAGCCCTCGAGGACCTCGCCGAAGACGACATGCTTGCCATCCAACCAGCTGCGAACGCACTGTTAGCTTCACAACCAGGCCAGACGACTTGAGTTAACAGAAGTCGGGGGTGTGTGGGCACATACGAGGTAACAACGGTGGTGATGAAGAACTGCGAGCCGTTGGTGTCCTTGCCGGCGTTGGCCATGGACAGGAGACCCTTCTTGGAGTGCTTGAGCTTGAAGTTCTCGTCGGGGAAGCGGTCACCGTAGACTATTCAGAACAGCTCGCGTCAGTTTCTCCTGTTCTGTTCCCGCTCTTGAGAACACTCCACCTCCATTTTAGGCTGGGAAGAGCTGCTTACTCGACTTGCCACCGGTGCCATCGCCCTTGGTGAAGTCACCGCCCTGGATCATGAAGTTCTTGATGACGCGGTGGAAGGTAGACCCCTCATACCCGAAGCCCTTCTCTCCTGTGGCGAGCGCACGGAAGTTCTCCGTGGTCTTGGGGGTCGTCTTGCCGTAGAGACCCATGACGATGCGGCCCAGGCTCTCGTCGCCATGCTGGATGTCGAAGTAGACCTTGTGGGTGATCTTGGGGCCCTTGGCAGCCGCGGCGGTGCTGCTGAAGAGCAGCATGCTCACACCGAGGAGCAGCGCGGCCGAGACGACGAGCCGCCGAAGGTTGAACATTTTGGGCTTTCTAGGGATGGAAGGGGTTCAATTGAGGTGAGGTTTGGTCGGAGGAGATGTTGGAGGAGAGAATGGAGGTTTGGGTATGGGAGGGTCGTAGGTGAAGGAAAATGGAAAAAGGAACAGGGAGACACGTTTCACCACCAAGACCTCGAGTCGGGGGTTTGTGCTGTAAACTGGTTGCCAATTGCCACATGCATGAAGCTACTGTACCATAATAGGCATGTCACTCTCCCCGCAGCAGTGCAAGCTGGAGCCCCCCTCCCCACTTTCAGTGACCTAGGACTTGTGCTAGGGGCCTATTCTGCAACCAGGTCCAAGCTCAGGGGTATCCAGGCACTAAACCCCAGTGGGGTCTCCGATCTCCTGTGTCTTAACATACAAGCCATTAACTACGTACCTATGGTGTACATGGCATATGATCCCCCTACGTTTCCAAACTGCGATTGCATAAGCCAGACAGCCAGATAATAACAACACCACCATTTTGTCTTTCCAAAGGAAGCATCACTGCCTCTGCACCCCCCACGCACCTCTTCTCTCTTCATCTACGTGTCTTATACTCTCCAGCTGATGGCCCTTCGATTACGATATCCGCATCTACAATGATGTCCTCAACAAACGAGGAGGACCCCTTCCTCCAGGTCCAGCAGTACGTCCTGGCAAACCAACCGTCTTGGAAAGATATCAAACTGTGATACTCGACGCTGACAGTCAAGCTTCCTCCCGGACCAGAGATGTCCTCACTCAGATGGACGCAACCCGCCCCCTCTTCACATCCTACCTTCGCATTCGCTCTCTCACCACCGCCCAGACCTCCCCAGAGCTCACCTCGGCGCGGACAGACCTCGAGTCCGCCCTGGCCGCGCTCGCCGAGGACCTCGCCGACCTCGTCGCCTCCGTGCAGGCCGCCGAGGCCAACCCGGCGCAGTTCGGTCTCTCGACGCATGAAGTCTCGCGCCGGAAGCGGCTGGTTCAGGAGGTTGGCGGGGAGGTTGAGGATATGCAGGACGAGCTGGCTAAGGGTGGCAGCGGCAGCGGGGCTGCCAGCGGTAGGCGCAAGGGTGGTGGTGGTGGTGCTGGGGCCAACTCCGATCTGCCCGACCCGAGCGCGTTCGCCGTTGGGGACGGGGATGGCCACGACGAAGAGGACTACGCAGCTGAGTTCGAGCAGCAGCAGCAGCAAATGATGATGCGGGAACAGGATGTCCATTTGGACGGGGTATACCAGACGGTGGACACGCTGCGTAGGCAGGCGGGAGACATGGGCCGGGAGCTGGAGGAGCAGCGGGAGATCCTCGAGACCACAGACAGGCTGGCCGACCGTGTGGGCGGGCGGCTGCAGACGGGCATGGACAAGCTCAAGTACGTGGTGAAGCACAACGAGGACCGCCTGAGTAGCTGGTGCATTGGCCTGCTGATACTGGTATTGTGTATCCTACTGGTCCTACTATTGATTCTATGAAAGGGAGGTTGTTGTTGCGGCGTAGAGAGCGGGCGTTTGGATGTTTTTGGAGCTATCACATAGGAAAATGGGCTTGGGGAGGGCAGATGGCGTTTCGGAATCCCGGAAGAGGACGGCAGTAAAGCTGGATCTGTCTAGAGCATTGTTCATCACATTTTATAACGTTAAATCTCAGATTATTCTCGTTGTCTCGTTTTATTTTACCTTCTTACCCCGGACAACAGCCCATGTATTGACTCTCATGCTGATGGGAAACTACCCAACCAGATGCTGGCACCGGTTTCCATCTCAGTTCAATTGCAAAAAAATACATCATGTCAGTGTGCATACCACAGCCGCACACTGCATATCCAAGCCAAAACAGGCTCTTGCATCTAAGATATCGCGACCAATGAGGACGCATTTGGGTGAGTCTCCCTGCTTCCAACCACCCGACCCCCACTCCCCCGGATCCTTTCTTCAAGCGGTCTTCCATGAGGTTAGTCTCCACTTGTCGTTTCGATCAACTATGCGAGCGCAAGACCGTATTTCGCCTTCAGACTCTTTCCATGCACAATCAATGACTCCACGGCGACGTCTCCGCGACCGGCTGACTTGGCATTGGTTGGGAAATCAACCAGGGCCAGTCGGAGGGCAGCAATGGCGGCAGTACCATAGAATAACAGGAACCGATGCTCGTAGTGATCAATCATGGCCTTGAGGACGGTACAAGACGTGGTCGACATCTCGGCAGGAGGCGTATTGACGATCTGCGCCATGGCTGACCAGTAGTGAGACATTGGGTACGGGTTAGCCTTCTTGGATCTCGAAAAGTCCCGAAGAGAGATGGCTGCATATCCCGCGCCCAGGCCCGTCTGCCTGTTGTAGTGCTCCGTCTCCGGGATCCAACCATTTCCACGACGCTTCCAACCAACTCGTTCTCGTCCCTGCTCGGTCTTTTCGAGGCCTCTAGCACCGAATAACACTGGGCACACAACGTAGAACTTGGCAATCAGAATGTCGATCAGAGGTTTCCCGCGCCAGTGGAAGGCTGGATCTGCGAAGGTGGCCGCGACCAGGATGCCGATAGGGTCAGCCGTCTTGGTGTTGGCGCTCGACTCGTCTATGAACTGGTTGATGACGCATTTGCCCAAGTGGTTGACCAGGAACAAGAACAGCGAGGGCAACTGATCATTGTGAGCGGCGCCGTTGACTGGCTGCCTCTCATCGAACACAAAGTGGCTGGGGTCCACCAGTTGGGAGTTCACCTCGTTGAGTAGACCCTGTTGGAGGACATTGGAGACTTTTGTAATCTGCGCTGCGGGTTAGCTAAGGTACTATTAATACTCGTACCAGGAAGAAAACAATTACCACTGCGGCGTTGCCCTTCTTGTCAAAAGACAGCTGGCCAACACACTTTCGAAGCTCCCGACGCAGATCTCCAGCTTTGCTCTTGAGGGCTGGGTTTTGTTTAGCCTGCACGTCATTGATGGATTTGCGAAGATCCTTGAGGTTTTTATGTATGAGCAGAGCTCGCTGCTTCTTGGGATCTGTCTTCACGGGTTGCGTAGCCGGTGCTGTCGTCGTGGCGACAGGAGCAGCCGGTGTAGGTGTAGATGGGACGGCAGGGGCCGTGGCTTTAGGAGGCGAGAAGAGGGAGGAAGCAGCTGCTTTCGTTGTCGAAGTGCCGTCAGTCGTGGCCGGCGCAGGCTTTTGGGCAGGGATCGGCTGAGTAGTTGACGCTGAGGCCGAAGACGGCGCGACTGCTGCCGTCTGCGCGGCGACTGGCGGTTGGGCTGGCTGAGGCTGTACGGGAGAAAGGGGGGCAACCTTCGTCGCCTTCAGCTCTCGAAGCTGTCGCTCTCGTTCCTTGGCCTGCTGCTCAGCCTGGATGCGCTTCCTCTCGGTGAGCATGGAGTCCTCCATGAGCCGCTTCATCTTTTCTGTGATCTCCAGCTTCTCATTTTCTCGACGCGTCTTCTCGGCGAGCACGTCGGCCTCCTCTTCCTTCTCGTGCATCCACAGCACATGCTCACTATGAGGAGCCTGGAATCAGCATTTCACCTTTCTCGGGTGATGTTGGAGGGGTTGGGTGGGGATCAGGTAGACTATTTACGCTCGTTCCCTTATCCGCCGGTGCTCAGCATCTGCGAGGGCAAGTGCTTCCTTGTGGGATTTTTCTGAGTTCCGATCTGGGGAGATCCAATCAACCAGCGACGAGCTAGGAGGGCTCGAGAAGGTGGTGCTCGCTCGAGGGTATCGCGACACGCGCGGGGCGGGCGACGAGCTCGCCATCTCTGCTGGGGAGCCTCCAGGGCTCGCTGGCGCGTTCTTCGTGGTCGGGTGTATCTGGTGCTGTTGCAAAGGAGGTTGTAACCAATAGAGCAGGAGGGTTTTGGGGAAAAGTCGTTACGATCGTAGACTCGGGTTGAAAAGGACAAAGGGGGTTGGTGGTGTGGTCGTTCAGGCGATGAACTCAGACCTTCTTCAGTTTTGATGGAACGGGTGGGAAAGTCAGCCAGTCCCTTGCATCTAATCTCAGATTATCTGGAGTACTTCGGGGGGAACCCCAGCTATGCATTCTGCCAGCAGAAATACTGACCGCCTTCTCCACGTCATTCTTAGTGGGCGGTGTCTGCCGGGACCTTTACCGGCGCATTGTTCTATTACTTAGTATTAACGATAGTGACGCGCAATGGTGTGAACGGAAACGTTCCAATACCTTTCAATTCAGTTGAAAGACAATTTCACTTCATAGCAATTCAATAGCTCAGTCGTGTTCTCAATTCTCATGCGCACACTGCTGTATCGTCAGGTCAGTTGACCAAGGGAGAGGACCACCTTCCACAGCATTGCACTGGTTTTTCTTCCCTTGTATCTTGACTAGCCTTCTTAGCCAAATAGACGCTGGGGCTATTGCTTCAATACGAGCCGATCCGCAACTGGTGCCCGTGCCACCCAGGCGCACCGGAATCAATCAATGTCCGCGCGTGCGCAGACGAACGCCATACCAAGGTTTGCAGTCGCGAATTGGGTCCACGAGGACAGAGTTATGAGTTTACCCCAGTGTCTCGAGTTTGGGGGAGTGGAAGAAGGGAGGGGAAGGGCCTCTTTGGGAAAGACTGGGGTAAAGTTGTCCTTTTCGCCGTTGCCAAGGAGTATGGGCTGGCTACGATGGCGATCCTTCCTGCAGAATCCATGGCCATCATAAAACGAAAATCAGCCACTTGATTGAATTACCCCAACTTGATGTTGATGATCTCGTCACGAAGCAGGCAGTCCACCCTCAATGTTTTGGAGTGCCTGCTGTCGAATTAACAATCACTTTCATCTTGTCTGCGCACAAGACGATTGTTGTACCATACACAGCAGAATAGATCTCTTCAAGTCATGAATGAGAGAAGGCAAGGTGGCTGTAGATTGATCAATACTCAATCCTGCCATGTTATGATTATATGTAAATAAAGCAATACTGTGTGTGACCCAGAGCAGGCAGCGGGTAGGGGCTACGCTACCCATAGACCCCCCCCCCTATCATCAAGGCTCCCCACCTAGCAGAACCAACAAGGGTCGGGTGGGTCAGGCCCATGCTGTTCTCTGTTGCCGCTTGCGGTTCACTACGTACAGCACATGGGGTTCCCTGTAAGTAGTGCCTGCTGTGATAGGTTCTCCAGTGGAGTTTCTCCCCCAAGATCTTTTTATCACCATCCACCATGGTACCACCGCACCAGCATTGCGAGCACTGGGGAGAAAAGCCAGACAGCATCTGGTTCACCAAGATGTAGTAGACACTGCAGTGTAGGGTTACAAGAGCAGAGCTGGCAGACCGAGCCCATTGGCAACGTAGTGGCACACGCTGTGGTTGTTTCACCTGAATCACAGCGGGGTGGTGCTGTTGCATCATCAGAGGAAGTGGGCCTGGAGCTGGGCCAGCTCCGCAACTGCTGCTGGTGGTGCTGCATGCTACATAGTACTATGCTGCTAATGCTGGTGGTTGTTTTGGCGCTGTAGACTGTTGCTGCTACGAGTGCTCTGGTCTCAAGTAGTTCGGTTCAGGCGACTGCTAAAGTACCTGGGTTGCTAGTTAGGGTAAGGAGGTGCTGAGGCACGTCAGAGCTTCCCTCACCCTTTCGCCTCCTGTACGTACTTTCTAACCAGGTACGTAACAGCTGTACCATAGTAGTAGCTGCCTGTGGTCCGTGTTCAAACAGACCTCCAAATCCCCATCAAGAACGACTCCTCTCTCCTTCCTTCCCCCCCTCTCTCCTTCTTTCTTTCTCGTCTTTTGTTCTGCGCCTCCGCTGCTCGACCCTGCCTGACGTCGATTGTTGCCATCGACAAACCTCATGGCCACCGCTTAGAATTGACAGCAGTCCCTCCTCTCCCATACGGACACATTCCTTGCCACGATAAATCGATTCAGATCCTCTCATTGACCCTCCTTGGAGCTCTGTCTCTCCGCCTCGGCCCGCAAAGCCAACAAAACCAAGTCCACGTCCCACCACCACAACCAGACAACATTACAACCAACGCAACCAGAACTCCGCACAACGCCAAGGCAAATCCAAGACATTTCGGGTCGACGATTTCTCACTGTCTTTCCTATCCAACATTATACAATTCTTCGAAGCCCAGACTTCAGCATCCCAAAAACCACAACAAGCTGAGCTGACATACCATCAAAAAGAAAAAAAGAAAAAAGAACTCCTGATATCCATCGCCTCAGCAGCTCGCTCCAGAGCCTCGCAGACCTCCAGGAAGATCATCCTGCAGAGCTTGGTCTTGCAAGACAACGAAACACCACCACATCCCACCCCACATCGCCACACAAGGCTTCAATCATGGAGGGGCAGCAGCCCCAGCAACAGCCGCCATCCGGCGTTCCGGGCCCAACTGGCCGGAGGCTGCACATCGCCCATCGTCGGACTCCGTCCGAGATGACGCCGTTGGTGAGCATGTTTACGGCCAATCCAAACAGTAAGTGCCCTTATTACGTCTCTGTTGCTCATAGACCCTGCAGTTGACCCGTGCCTCTCCGCCAAGAGCTGTGAGGTTCCGGTCTGGTTGCTCCGGCCCTTCTGAGGGTTGCCTTCCTCTTTGTGAATTGCGACCTTATGGCTGACCATGTCATCTTGTCGACAGTCGACCAGCTGTCTATCCAGCAGCTCCTGGCCGCCCAGCAGCAACAGATCAACGAGCTCAACGCACAGGCTCAATATGTCCAGAACATGAGCATGATGGGTGGCCATTCGGTCCCGGGCTACAACATCGTTCAGGGTATGCCTGGAATACAGCAACAGCCCAACTTCCAATTTCCCAATCAGCTGCATCAGCAGAACATGGCGCTGCCAAATCAGCCGCTCACACATCGCCGTAATCAGTCGGCCGTCCCGAACATGGGTATAGGACCGCCTCCCGCCCCTTCCTCTGGCGCTGCCGGCTCTGCCTTCGGCAACTTCGAGCTGCCCCAACAGCCGCAGGGCCGTGAGAATGCCGGTGGCTCACGGGGAGGGCGCGGTGGTGGCGGTTCTGGAGGTGGACACCAGAGGCGCCACTCGCTAGCCCTCGCTGACGCTAAGAAGGCTGCTGAGCTTGCCCAGCAGAAGCGCACGACATCCGGCTTCCAATTTCCGGCAGCGCCCGCCCCCGAGGAGGAGTCCAAGACTCCCGTGGCTACCTCGCTCGATTCCCAGCCTCCTCCCCCTGCGCGGGCAGGACGTGGAGGACACGGTCGAAGTCAGAGCATGGCCGTAGGCGCCAACGGCCGTGGAGGTGGTGCCCCCAGCGGCCGTGGTGGCACTCATCTATCAGTTGAGTCCAGCGGTGATTTTCCGCGCCGTGGGTCTGGACACAATCGTTCATCGTCTCGCAACTTTGACTCCAACTGGCGCACTCCGCAGGCGCAGCCTCAGGACCAGGCCGCCGCTCAGACCCAGGGAGCAGGGTTCCAGCCTGGCCACCGCTCGCGTGGTTCCGTGAGCCAGTCCGTGAACTCTATCGGCGCTTTCCAGTACACTGGCCAGCCCCAGCTGGTGCAGATGCCCAACCAGATGATGATGCCCGGGATGTATAACGGACAGCAGCTCAACGCCCAGCTGGCCCAACTCCAGGCCCTCCAGGCAGCCCAGATGACTGGGCAGAACTTCATGGGTCTGCAGGCGAGCCAGCACTCCGGCCAGCTCCAGCAGCAGCCACAACAACAGCAGCGCAAGACGCTTTTCACTCCTTACCTACCACAGGCGACGCTGCCCGCCCTGCTGGGCGAGGGGCAGCTCGTTTCCGGCGTTCTACGTGTAAACAAGAAGAACCGCAGTGATGCCTACGTTTCTACGCAAGATGGACTCCTCGACGCCGACATATTCATCTGCGGTAGCAAGGATCGCAACCGCGCCCTTGAGGGTGACCTCGTCGCTATCGAGCTTCTCGACGTTGACGAAGTTTGGTCGCAGAAGCGTGAGAAGGAGGAGAAGAAAAAGCGCAAGGACATCACCGACACTCGTTCGGGCTCCACCAACGCTGGCAGCCAGAGTAATCAGAACAACGATGACAACAGCGCTGCCGACGGAGGTATCCGCAGACGCGGTAGTCTGAGACAGCGCCCCACGCAGAAGAAGAACGACGATGTTGAGGTGGAGGGCCAGAGCCTGCTCTTGGTTGAGGAGGAGGAGATCAACGATGAACAGAAACCCCTGTACGCTGGTCACGTCGTCGCCGTCGTCGAGCGTGTTGCAGGTCAGATGTTTTCTGGCACGCTCGGTCTGCTACGCCCTAGCAGCCAGGCGACCAAGGAGAAGCAGGAGGCTGAGCGAGCTGCCAGGGATGGCGGCCGTCAGCACGACAATCGCCAACAGGAGAAGCCCAAGATCGTCTGGTTCAAGCCGACCGACAAGCGTGTGCCTCTGATCGCCATCCCCACGGAGCAAGCTCCCCGTGATTTCGTCGAGAAGCACCAAGATTATGCGGATCGTATTTTCGTTGCATGCATCAAGCGGTGGCCCATCACTTCGCTCCATCCTTTTGGCACCCTGGTTGAGCAGCTCGGCAGGATGGGCGACCTTAAGGTAGAGACCGACGCTCTCCTGCGTGACAACAACTTCTCCTCCGATGAGTTCTCTGAAGCTGTCCTTCGCAGCGTTGGTCTCCAGGACTGGTCCCTCGAGAAGGAGGATGAGGCCGCCATCAGCGAGCGTCGTGACTTCCGGGCTGACAAGACATTCACTCTTGACATGGACGGCTCAGCCGAGCTCAGCAATGCTGTGCACGTCAAGAGACTCGATGATGGAAATCTTGAGATTGGCATTCACGTTCCAGATGTCACTCATTTCGTCAAGCCCAATTCCCTCGTGGATCGTGAGGCCAAAAAGCGTGGCACTGCTGTGCACCTGGTGAACAGGACCTGCGCCATGCTCCCACCGAAGCTTTTTGCGGAGGTCTGTTCCCTGACGCCTGGCGAGGAGCGCCTTGCCGTCAGTGTTGTGTTCTCTGTCAACTCCCACACTGGAGCCGTCGCTGAGGATGGTGCCTGGGTCGGTAAGAGTATCATCAAGAGCGGTGGCAAGGTTACAGTTTCTGAGATCGATGCTGCTCTGTCGAGACAAGCTGATTTCAGCCACCCGGCCGTGGAGTCCACAGATCTGCAGATTCTCTATGTAAGTACAGGAAGCGCTGAGCGGGCTATTTTGTTGTTACAAATACTGACCAGATCCAGATGGTCGCCCAGAAATTCCGAGAGTACCGTTTGGGCGCCGGTGGTGAACCCATCGCACCCCTCCGGCTTCTTCACCAGCTTGACGATGAGAACATTCCTATCAAGAACAATCTCTTTGATTCGACCTCCGCGATGGAGCTCGTGGAGGAGCTTATGCACAAGGCCAACACATACGTGGCGCAGCGTATCGCTGAGGGCGTTCCCGAGAAGGCTCTTCTCCGAAGACAAGCTGCTCCCAACCCTCGCAGGCTGCAGACTTTCGTTGATCGCATGAATGCCCTTGGCTACGAGATCGACAGCTCCAGCAGCGGTGCGCTGCAGAACAGCCTTTTCAAGGTCGACGATACTGATATCAGGAAGGGCATGGAAACCTTGCTGCTCAAGTCCATGCAGCATGCGAAATACTTCATCGCTGGCAAGACCGCCAAGCAACTGTGGCCTCATTACGCCCTCAACCTGCCTCTATACACTCATTTCACCAGCCCGACTCGGCGCTATGCAGACATTCTGGTTCATCGGCAGCTCGAGGCCGCCCTGTCAGAGGGCAGCATCGAATACAACGAGGATATTGAGAACCTTGTCAAGACGGTAGAGAGCTGCAACACCAAGAAGGAGTCCGCCCAGAATGCCCAGGAGCAGAGCATTCACATCGAAGCCTGCCGCACGATGGATAAGGCGCGACAAGAGGCGAACGGCGATCTCATCAGCGAAGGCATTGTTCTCTGCGTCTACGAGTCGGCTTTTGACGTTCTGATACCCGAGTGGGGCTTTGAGAAGCGCGTCCACTGCGACCAGCTGCCTCTCAAGAAGGCAGAGTTCAGGAAGGAGAAGAGAGTTCTCGAGCTGTACTGGGAGAAGGGTGTCCCCAGCTCCGCCTACGTGCCAGAGGATGAGCGGCCGAAGGCTGCAACCTCCGTTCGCATGTCGAACGCCATGGCGGCGGCAAAGCAGGCCGAGGAAGCAGAGAAGGCAAGAAAGGAGCGCGAAGAAACGGCTCGCAAGCAGACCGAGACCAACACTATCTCGACCAACGACGTCGATGCACTCTTTGATGACGACGATGACAATGGCTCGGATATCACGGAGGCCATGGCAGGGGCTTCGCTCGCCGAACGCCCGACCCAGAGCGTGCCAGGCTCTCCTACACGGTCCTACAATGCGGCTGGTGTGTTGCACCGCACGAAGTCCGATTCCAAGGTCCCCCAGGTTGACTCCCCGGAGGACCGCCTGACAAACAAGGAGAAGTATCTGAGCCTCTTCAAACTGCGAGAGGAAGGCGGGGAGTACATCCAAGACGTCACAGAGATGACACGCGTGCCTATCATCCTAAAGACGGACCTCAGCAAGAGCCCACCGTAAGTTGCGAACCCTTTTTTTTTGGGGGGGGGGGGGGGGGTTGAAAACTTTGACAAGGAATATGACACGCGCTGACAACATCTGCAGATGCCTGACCATTCGCTCGCTCAACCCCTATGCTCTCTAGGTCCGACATCGACAGGCGTGGAGACGACAGAATTGGGAAAATATTCAATACCCACAGGTCTTAACATATACCAGAGAAAAACACCAACAGCGTCATCGAACATGGCCCCCCGGGGGGGGGGGGCGCGGGGGGATTTAACCCGGGCGGAGCCTCGTCGGTGGACAACGATGACAGATTGATCAAGAATCAGATGGATGAGGAGACTTAACTTTGGGAGGAGAAGCAAGCAACCAGCGTGGTGTTCCCTTGTAGCTTAGGTTGATACCGGAATTTGTCTGTTTAGAAAAGGGATGCAAACATAGATCAGCCGCAACGATGCTCAGATCCAGCATTTTACAGTGAGCTCCGCGTACCTGATGGTCTGAAATGTGTGAGATTTGTTGTATGTGGCCATCATGTTGAGTTAGTGTTTGGTTGGTGGGTGTCCATGTGCTCCTATACATATACATCAGAAGAAAGATATCGGCTGTCGGTACTTAAGTAGAGAACAGCATCGGATGGACAGGGTGATGAGTATTGGTTTAGTACAACCCAACATCAGATGAGGTGAAGAAAATACATGGGCACACATGCGTAGAGCCCTTGCCTTTTGCACGCATGGCATTGCAGGGAGCTTCATCAGGCCAAGGCGTTGCTGTCAAGGACGAGGGGCAAGGATTTGGCTGGAGGGCAGTGCGACAGCTCGCAGGAAGATGAGCCTTGGGGGAAGGGGAAAACAAAGAAGGAAAAAAAAGTGACAGATTGGCTCTTGTTTTTAGTTGAGATAGAGTTGCTAGATGACAAGGTAAGGGGTGGTAATGAGCTCCACACAAAAAATCAGATAGATGCTGTGGGAGGGACCCCAAAAGGAAGAAGGCGGCGGATGGGCGTGTGGCCGGCGGGCTGGGCTCTTCGAAACGTAGTTGAGACGTGGTGAGGTTAGTCCCGTGTCACGAACCCGTGGGTTTCTCGCGTCGATCATCCTCCCTACTGAAAGAGAGAGAGTACTCCTTCCTTGTATGGGATAAAATGGCTTAGAGTGGAAGCAGCTACTCATCTCATGTACAATGTACTTATGCTTAAGGAACAACGCACTAGCACGACGCGGTTGTTCTTCCCTCCCAAATGTTCGGATGCAGCCATGTTGACAACATTGGAGGGTGGCCTGGTCGCTCGCTTCACGATCACACCCCGTTTCATTTCTTTTTATCCAACTCTTCCACTCAATCATTCACAGCAACTAAGCTGCCCACTCCATCACATCAGCATTTTCCTTATCTTTGCAGAATCTTGTGCTTGTTTACTCTGGGCTATGCAGTGTCCTTCGAAACAAGAGACTGGAGAGTTCGTCCATTGACCAAGAGGGCAAACCTGCTTCACGGAGGTGGTAAGTGGTAAGATGAAAAAGCACAGAGATCAGCTAGTGGCTCTCTCCCTTCTACCTTGTTTTGATCTGCCATCTGATCTGCCTCCTACCAGGGACGAACACACACATAGAACCTGCATAAGCCATCCAGGCAGTGGATATGTCCTAAAGCTTCTTCTGTACTTAAGGCATGCTTGGCACTCCTGCATTATGTCCACCGGGACCACGGCTGGCAGAGTTCCCGTGAGGACCTCTTCGTCTATCTCCGACTCCCTTCCGTGCCTTGGCATCATCCACCCCTGAGGTCGATCAGGAATATGGAGGTTTGATCGTGTTCAAGCCGGTGGTGTCTCCGGTCCATCACATTCTCTTTATCGTGTCTCCGTGTCTCTCTCTCGTTTGTCACAATGATTATGATCTGATACAAAGCGAGGCGGTGGTGCTGGCTTTTTCTGGGAGGAACTCAAGTGAGATTCTCTTTCCCTCACTTCTTTCTTCTCTTCTCTCAAGGCTTGCCTTTCGTCTGTCTTTTATGTTTAACTTTCCTTAATCAACATTGTAATCACACGCAACGGCAGGCCGACTCCTCTTCTATTCATTATAACCCAATCCTTACATTCATTCATTTTACATACAAGTCGCCGGTTCGATCTAACGAGTTTTACTCCTTACCCAAAAAAAAAACCAAAAAAACCTTAATCTCAATAAACACGAAAGAAAATGGCTGGCATAACATTGAAGGGTGCCATTATGACTGGTCTGGTTGCTTTTGCATCAGCATTACCGGCGGCTCCCAGGTTGACTGCCCGCCAGCAGAAGATCTACGAGGTCATGAGGCGACAGAGCGCGGCTGAGCAGGCACTGGGCATCAACGATTTTGACGTGTTGCAGTTGTGAGTATTTAGAGTTGTTCCCTTCGGGATCAGAAGCATGGCTCACACATTCTACGCAGCGCCCTCACCCTGGAGAATCTTGAGACGGCCTTCTACCAGCAAGGTTTCGCGGCCCTTCCTGCACAGCAGTTTCTGGACCTGGGCCTGACTCAGACCCAGGTGGACAGCCTGGTGACGATTGGGCAATCCGAGGCAGCTCACGTCGAGATCATCCAGAGCACGCTGGCGCAGATGGGCATCCAACCCGTCGTGCCGTGCCAGTACAATTTTGGCGGCGCCTTTGCGTCGGCGCAGGCCATGGTACAGACCGCCGCGATCCTGGAGCAGGTCGGCGTGTCGGCATACCTGGGCGCGGCGCCCATCGTGTCGTCCCCCGTCGTCCTGGGCGCGGCCGCCTCCATCTTCAGCATCGAGGCCCGCCACCAGAGCTTCATCCGCACCGTCTCGGGTATCGCCTCCGCCCCGGACTTTTTCGACACACCCCTCAGCCCCAAGCAGGTCTTCTCTCTCGCCGCGCCCTTCATCAGCTCCTGCCCCCAGGGTAGCAATCTGATCCTCACCGCGTTCCCCACCGTCTCCATGACCAATGCCAACCAGCAGATCATCGCCGACCAACAGCTCCAGCTGCAGAGCGATGCTTCCGGCCAGGCCACCGCCTGTGCTTTCACCGCTGGCGGGTTCCCCACGGGCTCTGTCTTCACCGCCTTCACCAATGGCGCATGTGCCACCCCCCAGGGCTTGACTGGTGTGGTCTACCTTAACCTCGTCAGCTCGACTCCCGCCACTGGCAAGATCTCGGACGACATTATCGTCGCTGGGCCAATGGTGCTCCAGGTGTCTTGAGAAGTGGATGGGGGATAAGGAATGAGCACCGAGACTGAGAGACAAAGAGCGAGAGAAGAGAAAGAGAGAGGGGGGAGGGCTCTCAATTCCCAAAAAGAACCTTTTCTTTCTTTTCCTACCCTCTTTCACGCCTCCTCTCTGCTGGGAGAGAGATGATGGATGTTTTACTAAGGACTGGCCAGGAGTCCTCCCTATAATGAAGCTTATTATTACCTACTTGACGGTCGTTGTCTACTCGCACTACCTGGGCTGCGTTGGCAAATCGCAGACAAGTGGATGGAAAAAAGAGAGAAAAAAGGAAGATGATATATATAATTAAGTATTCCCTTTATTGTGTGTTCTCTTCCGCGACGAGGACTTAGTACGGCGTTTTGTCTTGATCAACTTCAACGACCACCACGGCTGGACATGAGGAACCCCCCCCCCCCCTTCTTATTTCCTTCCCTTTTTCGAAAGTGCTGGGACCTCCAAAGATACCACGAGCCTTAAAAGTCTCATTTCTTTTTATTGCTGTTTTTTCCCCTTTCATCTTAGACTACTCAGGCTGGTGGCTTATGGTCCAACTACTACTGAGTTAGGCAGTTTGGAGGGGGGAAAAAAAATAAAAAAATTACAATATTTCGTAAACCCAGAAACATCATTGGCCCCATCTCATTCGCGAGTGACGGACAATCTATCCACGAAAGCTAGGGTGCTCTGCACCATTTGTCCGAAACAGACAGCGAGGTGACCTCGGGATCGACGTCTACACTCTGGGAAGCCGACCCTCGCTCGGAATACCCGGCCGATCAAACGTGGTGAGTGCGTGGCCCTGCCTAGGCCGGAGCAACTTGGGCTGCGAACTGACGTGGGATGTGAGAAAAAGTGTGATGTTGCCCTACACTTGGGAATGCATAGAAGGCAATGCACCGGATGATATACCGTTCCGTTCCTCCGTACTCAACATATTATTCAGGACAGCAGGGCTTTGGATCCGGTGTGGGTGTGGATGCATATGCGTGCAAATAGTCCGAGGTGACACAGGTTTACAGCGTCAAGTAGTTTCAGGTGAAGTCAGGAGCACTCGTGGGAAAACGTAAACTGGTATTTTGTGTTGTCGCTATATGATGAAAACGCCCCATGAATAAAAAAAATAGAACCATTTGTGGAAGGAAAACCAGCCCTAGCAAGAAACATAAAGGAGAAATATTGAAACACTACCGGCTCGGCACCTTTTTTGGGGGGGTTCGCCAACATCAGGCCACTCCAACATTTGTGGAAATACAACAATCGCAATCAGAACTGTGTGTTTTCTACCACCAGTCGCCCTGGTCCTTCATGGCCTCAGCGACCTTGACGAAGCCGGCAATGTTGCTGCCGGCCACCAGGGAGGGCAGCTCGCCGTCCTTGGCCTCGACGTAGGCCTTGGCGGTGTTGAGGCCGTTCTCGAAAGCGCTCTTCATAATGCCGGCCAGCTTGGCATCGACCTCCTCGCGGGTCCAGCTGAGCCGCTGGCTGTTCTGCGCCATCTCCAGGCCGGACACGGCCACACCACCACAGTTGGCCGCCTTGCCCGGTCCGTACCAGACGCCGGAGGCGCCCTTGGTCCGGCGAGTCTCCTCGAAGATGTGGATCGCCTCCTGGGTGCAGCCCATGTTGGACCCCTCGGCAATAAACTTGCAGCCGGCCTCGACCAGCACCTTGGCCTCCTCGGGGCTGACCTCGTTCTGCGTCGCGCAGGGAAGCGCCACGTCGACCTGGCCAACATGTGTCCAGGGGCGGGCACCCTCGAGGTACTTGTACTTGGCGGCACCATCCTGAGAGGTGGCGACGAAGTCAGTCAGCGCGCCGTGCTTGAGCTTGAGCGCCGCGATGGCGTCGATCTCCTCAGGGACGAAACCCGCATCGGAGGTAGACAGGAGGGTTCCCTTGGAGTCTGAGAGCGAGACAACGCGGGCGCCGAGCTCGATGCACTTGAGCGCAGCGTACTGGGCGACGTTGCCAGATCCGGAAATGGCCACGCGCTTGCCGCCCCAGCCACCAGCGCCGGCGTACTCCAGCATGTGGCCGACGTAGTAGACAAGACCATAGCCAGTGGCCTCTGTATAATGAGAGCAGATAGTCAGTGCATGTTGTGGAACAGCTAGTATCTTTCAAAATTCTTTCTTACCAGGTCGGATCAAGCTGCCACCCCAGGTCAGGCCCTTGCCGGTCAAGACACCCTCGAACTTGTTCTTCTCCTTGCGGTAGCAGCCAAACATGTAGCCAATCTCGCGGGCTCCGGTACCAATGTCTCCAGCAGGGACGTCAGTGTCGGCACCAATGTGGCGCTGCAGCTCGCGCATGAAGGAGACGCAGAACCGGCGGATCTCGCTGTCAGACTTGCCCTTGGGGTCGAAGTCGGAACCACCCTTGCCACCTCCCATCATCACTGTTGTATTTTTGGTGTTTGTCAGTCTACCAAGAAAATCCTTGACTCTAGGAAGGGGTGGGACAGGCAGGCAGGTACATAGATGGACTACTCACAGCCAGTCAAAGCATTCTTGAAGATCTGCTCAAAGCCCAGGAACTTCAGGATGGACAGGTTCACCGAGGGGTGCAGGCGCAGGCCGCCCTTGTAAGGACCCAGAGCCGAGTTGAACTGGACACGGAAGCCCCTGTTGACCTGAACCTCGCCCTTGTCATTCTCCCAGACAACACGGAACTGGATGATGCGCTCGGGGATGGAGACAATCTTGAGCGCCTTGCGGTACTCGGGATTCTTCTGGAAGAGCGTGCTGTCCTCGAGAGTCGAGGCAAGCTCGTTGTAAGCCTGCTCGAACTCGGGCTCGGAGGGAAGGTTGGACATCTTGGATGATGAAGAGGGAATTGTTTGGTTTGAAGAGAGGGGAGGAGGAAGGTATGAGTTGTTGTCGTCACGTCCACACAAGTTTATTCCACCTTTGCTCGACAGCGGGAAAATCACAGAAAGAGAGAGGGCGAGAATTGCAAGATGGGATGAGAAAAATGGACGGCAGGAGAGAAGAGGTCGTCTTCGAGGAGGAGGAAGGAGGGGGAGGGAGGGAAGTAGCAGGTTATATTTATAAGGCAGGAAAGAGCGACGGTCCCAAACAATCTACGTGCTGAATTCAAATGGTCAAGCGCCACGCCGAGCAGCGATGTAGGAGCCTGGGTCTGTAGCTCGCGCCAGCCATACAGCCTCGCCGGATCTGATATGACGAGGCCAATTCATGTCATCGGAATAACCCATCCCACTTGCGCGTTGTGGTGGTGGGGGTGTTTTTGGTCGGTACGCCTCGAAGCAGGCGCCGTCATCGCAAGCAGAAGTGGTAAGAAGTAGGGGACCCAGTAAAAATTAAAGAGGAAGGGTGGACAGGACAGGGGGGGAGCTGTTTCCCTATTGCGAAAATAAAACCAAGGCCGATTGCGGCGGGCGCAAGGCTTCGACGCTCCCCAAACAGCCTGTGTCGCATTTTCAATCCGCACGCATAATGAGAACTGCTGGAGACGTCCCTCTCTAATTAAAACCAATAATGTTGAAGGTATTGCATTGCATTCCGGAGTAGGTTGTCAAGAACTTTTTTCTCTGGTTTCGTATGTAGGATAGCTTGGTCGAGGAGGGACGATGAGACGTTCTTCTTCCTACTTGATGATACAACTATCATAGTCGTATGACGTCCTACTGTGTGTGAGAGTGTGAGAGGCTCAAGGTTCGGTTGATTAGCCATAGCCTCGAGGACAATCTACTACCGCACATAGTAGTACCGTAGTAGTACGCAGCAAGTATACACGGTATATAACATAAACTACGAGCAATCCTTGAACCAAGAGCAACATTCTTATCGCAGGCCGCTGATTCGTCGCCCCTCGAGCCTCTTGTGTAAGCTTAGCTGTAGCAATTGGGAGTGTTTTACGCCATCGATTTTCACACAGGCCCGAGGTCCTGGCATGATCAACATTTCAAAACCCCTCCCCCCAGGAAATCTCCACGACCTACAGTATTTCCGCGGGCCTTTAGCGGTCGTGGGACGAAGGGTGAGTGGACATGTTTGTGGGACCAAGGACTCTGGAGTTGCGAAAACGGAGACACGAGATGCATGTGGCACTGGGATGAAAGGATGCAGCATCTGCTGTGATTTACTAAGGTTCAATCTATATGTGCTGACTGCAGATTTTCTTGACTGCCTTGATCGTCTTCGAGCACACACACAAAAAAATGCACCTGCGGCGCCAGAGGGAAAAGATGCATGGATCATTCCAGCCAAAGCCTCTACCTGCATGACCTACGATTTTTTTTGGGGGGGGGGGGGGCAGTTGCAACACGTCGTGACCACGTGAACGTGTCAAAGGGCGTGGGCCGATGCCGCTGGGTGGAATGCTCATCCTGAATCCGGGGTAAGAAGGGGAAGGGGAAAAAAAAAACCGCCCCCACTACACATAACCCAAGGCACACTAAAGCTACGGGGCTTGTCCTGTGGGCGACTCCGATGGCTCAAAAATTATACGGCAAACCCCCCTCTTTGTAGCAGAGCATTCCTCAGCCGCGCTGCCCCCCGCTAAGAAGACTTGTACTATGTAGCTTGCACTCACCTGTGTGGGCGAGGTCGGATCCGGCCATCTCCAGCTCGGAAATCGACATTGCATCCAGGAGTTACGGATTCGTTCCACTGCGAAAACGGCCCGTGGGCGAACCACTTGAGAGTCCGGACAAGGTGATGAGGTAGATTTTACTTCTGGTGTCCGTCGGCATCGCCCGTTTCCAAGAGGTTATGACCAGACTTCATAGTCGGGAATGTATTCAACTGTGCTGTTATGGGTGGCTCGGGCCTACCCGAACGCCGAGACGCCCTATTGATTTTGTCCAACGCCAAAGTAAACAAACAATGCTCCGCGCGCACACCATTATTACCAGATCGCAGCCTGGTCGTGGTCAAACCTCTGCAGCTCCTTGTTCGCATCCTCCAGGTCCTTCTTTGCCTTCATCCTCATATAGAAGATTGGGCAGTCCTTGCTGCTGCAGATCACCTCGCAGTGCATGCTGCCTTGGCACCGCTGACACTGCGTCCATAGCCGCCCAAAGCGCACTTCCAGGTCTGACACCTTGTCCAGCGTCTTCTTGTATAACTCACCCACGCGTGGCGCGTCATTGGAACACACCGCGCCTTGGGACTCCTCTTTGCCGGTGAGTGGCTTCTTGCATCCCATGCACGTTTGCGTCTTCTTGGTAAACTTCATCAACCCGCCGGTCGTGGGCGCTGCCATCGTAATCGACCGGGTGTGCGCCCCAGCCAGGAGCGACTTGGCTTTTGTCTCGCCCAGGATGGGCTCGAAGATACGCCCCAGGGGCTTTGCCAGCTGGTTCTCAAGATAGTACTTGGTATCGATGGGGACGTTGTGCTCAAGCACGTAGATGGGGTCCTCGGAGTTCTCAAAGTTCTTGGACCCTGCTGCGCCCTTGACCATCACGTATGCCACACGGTCGCCCAGGCCGGGAGCTGAGCCCGGGTCGCGCTTCTTCATGCGCTGGGCCAGCTCGACGTGAGCCTGTTTTGCCGTGTAGTCATCCTTGGTGAGGGCTTTCGTGATCACCAGCTTCGACATATCCACCTTGTTCTGTAGCAGCTCGGAAATGGTATCCTTGACGTAGCTAAATACACAAGCAGTTAGCAATCAACCAAGAACAACAGTGCTGGCACACGAGGCAGGGTGCGACTTACTCTTGAGCTCCCGGGACATCGCGGTCGATCAGGATCATCCTGAGAACCTTCTCGATGACGGTCTGGACCAGGAGACAATTGTCACGCCGGACCGTCTCGATTCCTTTGGTGTCCATCTTGTCGTACTTCTCTGGCCTCGTCCAGTACAGGCCGGCGTAACGCTTCTTGTTGATCAGCAGGTACGGATAGTAGACCTTCTCGAACTCGAGCTTGATGGGCTTCACAAACTTGGACGACACGTAATTTGCCGCCTCCTCGCCCAGCTTCATGGCTTCAGCAAGCTCTGTCGTGCCGAATTTCACCATGACCGAGTCAGTGTCACCGTAGATGACCTGAGCATCATGAGAATAGCCGTTGGCGATATTATATCGAGCCTCCACCTCGTTCTTGGTCTTCTCGATCATCTGACGGCCAAAGCTCGTGGTGCTGCTGGCAATCTCTAGACAGGGGAGTTTTCCATTGCTGGCACCAGTGAGACCGTAGACAGAGTTGGCACTGATCTTCAAGGCCAGCTGACGACCATTCAACACAGCCTTCTTGAAGGGGTCCGTCTCTGCGCCCATCTCTCTCTTGGCTTGTTTTCTTGCGCTGAGCAGTTCCTCCAGAATTTGAGCCAAGAGACCTTTCCTCTGTTTCGCAGTCACAAACATGTCTCCGTTCGGCGTCACAATGTAGTCCTCATCCTTCTGGAGCTTGAATGCCTCGACAGCCTTCTTGGACACGAGCGTCGTGTAGCACAAGTTGTGTGCCTGAATGATGCTGGGATACAGAGAGGCAAAATCAAGAGTCGCAATTGGCACGTCGTAATACCCACGGGTCGGCTCAATGACAGTGGCTCCTTCGTATTGGTCGTCGCCGCCTTCGTTCTTGATGTCTGGGATGACAAGCTTCTGCTCCAGCGCCTTGCGGAACAGCTGACTTATGAACTTGACCTGCTGGCCACGAGAGAGCAGGAAATTGAACGGCACACCCGTAACTCTTGCCATCTCGGTGTAGTTTTCCAGACATGAGAGCTTCTCCATCAACCTCAACGGCAGGTAAGCATCCTTCAAGCAGTATATGGCTAGACGCCGGCGGGACTCTGGCGTGCCGTTGAACAGCTCTGTGATCATGGTGTGGTGTACGTCCTCCTTTTGCTCCCCGAGAAAGTTGGAGGAGACCGAGTTCAGTGTGTAGCTTCGGAGGTTGTGATCACGCTGAATCAGCTGTAGCAGATCTAGCTGAAGACGGCCGTTGGTATTGGTTGCCTTTGTATCACGGTTGCCCATCTGCTTGCTGGAGAAGTTCGTGTCTTTGGATACGGATTTCATGGACGAAATTCTGGACCAGTATTCGAAACCCCTGGCCTTGAGATGTTTCGCACGGTCGAGAAGGTAGGGGAAATCAAAGTTTGAAATGTTGTAGCCGGTGATGATGTCCGGGTCCACCTTTTCAAGGAAGTCTCTCCACGACATCAACATGTCCTCCTCTTTCGCAAATTCCAGAACATGAGTCGCGACGATTGAGCTTGTAGTATCAAGACAGAAGACATTTCGTATGAATGGCTTCTTCTCTCCGTATCTCGCGACGACGTTTGCGATCTGGATGACAGGGTCGTGGTTGGCTTCGGGGAAGATGCCCTTGCGGCCAGCGCACTCGATATCAAAAGACATGACTCTCAGCGGAGCCATCTTGGACCACTCTCCAACGGGCTCGTGGGCTATCAGGTCAAGATAGCTGCATTCTGCTTCGATCTGGCAGTTCGATTGTCGCTCGCGTTCGGGAATGAGCTTGTACCTGCCAGCTTTGGCTTCGACCCAGGACATGCCAAAAATCTTACCATGGTCAGACTGATTAACAAAACGACCCGGAAGAGTGGGTGGGAGTAGAGTGTGACATACCTTGCAGTCCACCATGAACCTCAATAGATATTGGATGTTGTCGAAGGTAAGGATCTGGCCGTCAGGAGACTTCCAGAGTCCCTTCCAGTTTGCATTGCAAGACTGGATCGTTGTACGGACCTTGTTAATGAACTTGGGGTCGGTGACAGTGATCTTTAGGAAGGGATTCTGAGTATTGTTCTGGAAACCATAGATGTTCTCCCGCATGACCATCTGCACAGAGTGAATGACAGGTTGGTGTTGGCCGACCACAGTCTCGAGGTAGGTCCGAAATGACGTGCAGTCTTGGGGCGAGAAACCAGCAGGCGCTGCAACGTAGAGGTAGTGCTTGAATCCCTGAACATGAAGCATCACAGAGTTGCCCTCCGCTGTCACGCCGAAGAGCTTCACGGTAGGATTGCCGCCATGAAGCGTGCCCTCCTCAGCATCGATCTGCTGGAAGCAGAGACTGGAGGTTGCGGGAGAGAAGTCCTCCGGAACAGGTGGACGCGCCCATGACTGGTCCTTCTCGGCGCTGCTCTGCTTGCGTTCTGAGATCTCCTGGCCAATCTTCTCGAGGACCTCAGCCTCGAAACTACTCTTCACCTGGCTGGAGGCGAGCTTGGTTGCCTGCGAGCTCGCGAACCGAGGGGCTGGAGAGGAGGAAAAATGTTCCGTCTTTTGTTTCTTCGATGAGGCAGCAGCAGCTGCTGCTGGGGAGGCGGCAATATTGCACCTGGCGCTGGATGTTTCCCCCAGAATGCGCTTCTTGGGTGCCATGGTACCAGCAGGCATGGTGACGACAGGTCCTGACCCTTTGGGGTACTTGGTGGGAAGGAAAGGTCAAAAAACTTGAATTATCTCTTCATTTGCGTATCCACGTTTGTAGTTCAGTAATCACTTTGAGTAGTTGGATAAGGGAATGGCCGGCCCTGTGAAAGTTTGTTGTGAATGGAATAGAGAAAGAGAGAGAGAGATGGTTTCCCAAAATGTCCAACGCGTCGCGACTGAATACAGGTGATGATTAACCGCGTCGACCCCACTCCCCATTTAGCTGCAGCTAAGCTGGTGGTGGTTGCATATGACCCTTGCGCTATGTACCACAGTACTATAGTACAGAACTGCCATGCTGCTTGCTTGATTGGCTAGCTTGCTCACTGGTTCCACCCCATCATAACTGGGCCTGCATGTGAAATACAGCATTCTCTTCAGTCTTGATGATTTCGTGCTTGACTTACATATGCTAAGATTACTAAACACCTGCACCTCAAAGACGCACACATCACATTACACACTCACGCCAATCCTGCTCTTGACCTGATGTTGACACGCCAGTTCTGACTGCCTTGTCAAGAGGTGGGGTGGTCATACAGGCTCTGAAGCCTGCCACTCTGTGTTGACTGCAGGGTGCGGTTCAGTACTCAACTCAGCTCAGTGTTCCTGGATGAGCAGCAACGTCCAATGTAGTCAGTATCGTCATCTTGGCTCACTGTGTCAATCATGAGTGCTACAATCAAGACCAACAACTTTCTAAAGACTATCCGACTGCTCGAAACCGAGGAAAATTGCTGAAAAGTATCGATACGGTGAAAGCAAAGGACTATTCCCTCGCCTCAGCCCGATCGTACAGGGTAGTCTGGCCATGTTGATACAGTCTCTCAGTACTTGCAATAACGTAAACCTTGCCTGGATTTTCGAGGCGTTTCATTCGACATATTATATAGAAATCACTCGTGTACAACTAAATCTGAAGGACCATTTTTTGACCTCGAATGGTTGATGCCCTACACAACCGAAGATATGAGTGTCTACAGGGATTGTCCAGCCTGACCATGCCTACGTGCGCTATGTGCAGCAATCTGTCCAGTGCTTGCAGGGGCTTTCCCGGGCCCCTGCAAACTGTCTACCAGATGCAGCAATATTTACAGAGCATATCAGCCCTCGATTCCAGCGGCCATCGTGTAAACACCAATCCATAGCCAGTAATTTCATGCAAGCGTCAACCCTGAAGATCTCGATTACTTCAAGGGACGCGTCACGCCACTAAGTTCACCTATCCCTCGACTCTCTATCAAGTTTGCTGCCCACACACATCATGACTGACCGGTACGGCCACCCAAGGCAGAGCGTCTTCAACCGGCGCCATGTCTCAGCAACCGCCAGTGTCTCCTACTCCTCCACCACCTCTACCTCCCAGCAGCACGCCTCTCACCTGCCGCCGCCGGGCAATCCAAACGTGCCCGCGCTCCCAGGCCAACAGCCGTCCACTGCGACGGGCCGCCGCAAGATGTTTACAAGCCAGCTCACGCGGCGGCCCCCACCGGGTAGGCATGGCGGGGCTTTGGGGCGAGGCATGAGTGTAGACGGTCTTGGCGGAGATGATGATGAGGACGGAGAGACCATGGTAGTGGAGGATGACGATGACGATGAAATTGTCGTGCGCGATCACAATGGCGAGGTGGCGCTTGACGAGCCACCGAACTTGGTGGTGGATCATCCCGACGAGACTGTGTTGGATATGAGGCAGGAGAACGAGAGTGAGTAGTAATTCCTCGTCACTCTTGCGAGGCTCCACAGATGGCCATGGACTGACCAAGGGTCGATGACTACGTATAGGGGAGAGGCAGAGGCTTGCTGATGCGGTCAAACAACATCAGAGTGAGCAGAACAGCGTCCCTGCTCAGCCTGAGGGTGCGTACAAGCGGCTCAAGACACCAGTGCATGTCTCCTGCTTCTTTATTCTTCACTTGCTAACAATGTTCAATACAAAGAACTTTTCGAGGCAGTCAGGGCAAGTCTACGCGCCAAAGTGGCAGCCCTAGCGGAAGATAACTGGATGTACGAGAAAGAAGACGAGCCTCGATTAATGTAGCCACACTAGAGCGATTGAGCCATGTGTGGCGCTTCTGGCGATCTTCTTTTCCAATGAGGGCTCTCTAGCGGTAGCAAATTGTAGCGTGTTCTTCCTTTTCATATTTTTTTTGCTTTTCGTTTTCTTCTTTTTCTCTTCACGTGACACTTCAGTCCAACCCTTCTACAGCCGGTGCCTCGACCCTTCTGACAGGTGGCTTGGACGACCCTCCAGCACCACCGCCCATACCCATGCCGCCACCGCCAAACAGGCTGCCCATCATGTCGAGCAGTGGGTTGCTCTGCCGTGGCCTCTGGATGCCAAAGTACATCTCGGCAATGATCTCCAGCGCCTCGTCCCACGAGCCCAGCTCGGCGATGTGGTTTGCATACTTAGTCTGCAGCTGCTTGAACAGCTCGGGGCTGCCCCTCTGCACGGCGAGCAGCAGCATGCCCAGGAAGTTCAGCAGCGGCAGGCTGGGGAACACTCTGACATCTGCGGTCCCGCTGCTGACGTCCTGCACGCCCAGTCCTGCGCCCTTGTCCGCGCTCAGCAGGCTCGTGAAGGTCTGGTACGAGGTGTTGGCCGCGCGCACGTTCGCGACGAGGAGGTACGGGAGGATAGCACGCGCGAGATAGGCTGCAGCAGTGTGGCTGTCATCCTCCTTGTACCATTCGTACTCCATGCGCGTGAGTACCTCGGCCGAGTCGCGGGTGCCGAGTAGGAGGTGGCGCTCTGCGTCGTAGGGCTCATGTTCCTCGGCGTAAATGGTACCTGCGACATGGTGCAGGTCTGGATCTCCGGCAGGAAATTCGCCGAACTTGGAGGACCAACTGTTCACGCGGGCAAGGCATCAATCAGTACGGGTCAGGCAAGGTCGTCACAAAAGAGAAGAGGGGCGCCGGGGGGGGGGGGCAGCAAACAAATACTCACGCGAGCATCTGGTCCACAAACTTCTTTCTCGTCGGCTCGCCGCTCTCGAACAGGCGTAGACATGTCAGCAGCCTCCCCTTGGAAGTGGCTTCGGGCTTCAGCTCGGCCTGCTTGTACACGTCCACCAGGAGCACGCAGAGGTCCCCGCCGCTGCCGCCCTGCCCAGCCTTCAGGAGAGACTGTGACACGCCGAAGAGAATATCGATAGCGGCGTCCCAGTTCTTTGCCTTGATGTACCGTGCTGCTACTACACGCGTCTGCTGCTGGGCTTCGTAGTACTGCCCCTCGCCGATGCGGGCCTGCAGTCGGGCGATGATCTTCTCGATCTTGTCGGTCTTGGACGCCATGGTTGATCGTTTTGATTTTTTCTTTCTTTCTTTCTCTTGCCGGGAGTGTCCTCAGGTGGCCTCTAGTAGCAGAATGGAGCAAGTGTAGAGTGAGGTGGTCGTGTGGTTGTGTTTCTCTAGACAGACTGATTGAACAGGTTTCAGCTGAGCTGGTCAGGATGATGTCGTCGCACTGCTGCTTAAGAGCAGAGGCCAAGCTCACCGCGGGGCTGACTGGAGCTGCTTACTTCATACTATGGCGTTATGGTAGTACCATAGCATGTGCATAGTAACAGTACTACAGGGGCTAACCCCACTAAAGACCGCAACATACCAGGGACCAGACCAGGATCTCATCTCTAGACTAGCCTGGCAGGGGTCTGAAATATCAACTGCTCGTCACCTCTGGCCGCTTTGTGAAAATTTCCTCTTCTGTTCACATACCTTTCAGTTTCTTCAGTGTCAACAACCGAACCTTTTCTGCTTCAACCATCTTCTTTTTCGGCAGTTACATCATCTGCTGCTTTGAATTTTTCCTCTTGATACCCATATTTCATCAGGCCCCTCCTACTCACCTCAAAATGTTCTCACGCGCCCTTGCCTTCTCAGGCCGGTCCATGGCCAGTCGTCCTATGCCAGTCTCTACAGGAGCCGCATTTTCCAGGTAAATTATTCTCTATGCCAATGACAAGGAGCTGTCAAGGGCAACAACCTTCCGTGCCTTAGGGATGATATACTTTGTGGGCTTCAATCTGCAATTTCCGATCAGCTCGCGCTTCCTTGAAGATCGATTCTGCTGCACAACCTCCAATCCATTTCATCATGTACCTAAGTAGAGTAGTGCTATCTTCGTACATCAACACTTTCCATCACATCAATATGCATCCCAACTCCTCTTCCAATCCTCAGTTTTGCTTTTGTTACAGATGGCTCTGCCTTGACACTCCCTGGCGGGCATGTCTCTGGACCGCTCTGCTGCTCTCGCCGCCCGATGAAAGGACGCGCCCAGTTGAGACTTTTTATCAGATATTTCACGGCTACAGCCAATTTCATGTCAACTGAGGTTTACGTTGGGTAAGTTTACTGCTCCCTGATTTAATTGTTGCCTGCCTAGCAATTGCTAACATACTGTAGAAACCTCTCATTCGAGAGTCTGCAACAAGACTTGGAGGAAAAGTTTCAGACGGTCGGCAACGTCGAAGAAGTGGTATGTCGTTCCTAGCAGAGTCGGTCCTCTGTAGTTGAGGTCTATCAACTGTTGCTTGAGAGGGTGGACTGGATTGAGAAGGGCTGGATGCTGACCAGGCGTGCACCAGAGGATGATCAACAAGGAGGATGGCCGGTTCAAGGGATTTGCCTATGTCAAGTTCAGTGACAACCAAGAGGGTGAACAGACCAGCCAGTCAGTCGCTCAGGCCGCGATCGAACAGTTGAACGATTCGGTGTAAGTTTAGCTGGGCCCCTTTTCCCTACCAACCTTCCCGTTGTGCTCTCGGTATTTCGACTGGGAACGCTTGCTTCGCAGAGGCTGACAGTGACTTCTCTACGCAGTTTCAACGGACGCAGAATGTTCGTCCAAGCGCTGCGAGAGAGAAGAGAGCGGCCGAGCTACGAGAACCGTGAACGTGGCGGTGGTGGTTTCGGACGAGGATCTCAGCGTGATGGCTACAGCCGAGGAGACCGCAGTGGAGGATTCGGCCGAGGTGACCGCAGTGGAGGGTTCGACCGAGGCAACCGAGGTGGTTCGTATGACCGGAAGGGCGGTTATGACCGAAGCGATGGCTACCGTAGCAACCGCGGCGGCAGCCGGGGAGGTTATGGTCGCGATGGTGGCCGCCGAAACAACGATGGAGGAAACTACGACGACGCTAGCTTCTGAGCTGGTTGATATGTGAACGAACCGTCCGGCGTCAGCTGTCCACAACTCACCTGTCTGCAATATGCAGCGCGGTTTCGCGGGACAACTAAAACGGAGCGGCGGTGAAGGAGGTACGTACGTGGTCACACCAAGGATACGGACGAGAATTCGACTACACAGGGCTGCGCCAAGTTACACGGGCGGAGCATGATGGCAGTGTTTGTGTCAACGCAAATTTGTATCATAACGATTCCATATTCATATTCCATTTATTCCACTCATTCGTCCGTTCCTACGCAGTGTCCTGAACTCCCTGTGAAGCAGATTTTATCCCCCGTTGTACAAGGCCACTCACTACGTCTCGTGCTCGGTGCACCACTCAGCTCAGGCACAATTGTCACTCACAAACTAATTTCTATCATTGTATTCAGAACATAGCTGCTGTGCAGGTGTGAGGAAGAGGGTGGTCTATGAAGCCTGTCCATACCACGCACGCGAGTCCAGATCCATAACGTTGCTGACCCGCGGTGAGCACGAAGGCTCAAGCTCAGGCTCAGGCTCAGGCTCAGGACCGCCTGGATAGGAGGGTATCAGAATATCGGTGCTATGTGTGCCAGTTGCTCCGCTGAACCCCATCTCGCCACCGCCGGACGCCACCGCCACAGTCTCCATCTCATACGTGCCACCCTTGCCGTTGAACGGACCCCGCCCGCTAGAGGACACCAGAGTATCGGTACCATACGTGCTGGCCTTCCCACCGGAACCACCACCTTTTCCACTCTCCATATCGCTGGGGTAGGTCCAGGTGTGGCTGCTCCCTGTGTGGTACTGGCTCCTCTTGACCCTGGGCCGAAAGAAGATGGCGTAAGTAGGCAAGCAGGCGCAGATGATTCCCACCATGGGCTCAACACAGGTGTACATGAGGCTGCAGGCCGTGACCCAGGTGAAGTCGGAGACGCTGAGGAGGCTTAGTATCTTGCCCCGTAATGCCCCGGCAATGCAGACACTGGGGAACATTCATGTCAGCATTCGATTAAGTGCGGGCTTTCGTGATTTGAGTACGTGATGTGAAGTGAGGGTCGGTGTGTTGCCGTGCCTGTGTGACGGCTGGGTGCTAAATGTATCTCCAGGATTTGTTATGCAAGAAGAGTTTGAGGCTTACAATAAACCCAAGATGAATATACCACAGATGCCGATCTTCTTTTTCGCAGAGATATTGATCTTGTACACTAATCAAGTTCATGTCAAGTTAGTGAGTGTCTACTTATTGAAACAGTGCATCTGGGAAGTGGCCAACACTCAGAGCCGAAACACTTACCATTGTGGATAGGAAGAAGAAGCACCAGCGCATCTATGATGGTGTCGGAGATGCCCATCCACATGAAATAATCAAAGGAAATGCAGTGGCCCTGGACTGACGCCGCACTATTATACCGGTCCCAGAAGTAGGAGATGGGTCGGCAGCCCACGAGGAGGATGATTGTGTTGGCGAGCCAGAACAGGATGGCCAGGACCATGCAGAATCTTGTGGCGAAGCCGCGGCCGAAGAGGCGTTCGTAGAAGAAGAGGATGGAGAACTTGGTCAGAGCTACGCAGGTAGCATAGATCTCGGTGTCGGCCCTGTTGATGATGATTATGCGTTAGTGACTTGTCTGTGTCATCTCTATGACGCCAAAGACATTGGACATAAGGAGAAGAAAATAAAGTCCACGACAGGCCTTGGCCAAAAGAAGGTAAAGAGGCGTTGACGCGAAATAGAAATTATATGTACATATAAATAACAGAAAGATCAAAACGGTACTCAAATGAAAGATATAACGAAATCATATATACTGAGCCTAACTTACCATGTGATCTTCAGTATGCTAATCAACTCGGCTTCGCTCAGAGCCCAAACGTGGTGTCCAGCACCATAGTGTAGACTGAGGATGGCACAGACGAGTGTACCCAGGCAGATGATCTAATCAGGCCACAGCATCATGTTTTAGCATATGTAGATCATAGAACGAGATGGACTTGCTTTCAAAACATACCAGTGAGGCCAGAAGGAGATAATCATCTATTGCAAGTCCACCGGGCATCCGCCTCCGGGCCACGAAACGCAGAATGACAGCACCCACACCAGACACTGTCAAGATTGTCACTGCGGCGATGGATGAGACAGTGTGATTTGCCGACAGATCGATGCCCTCTGGAGCAGGCTCCATGGAAGACATCGTGAATGGGGACGCACGCAGCCCGCCAAATAGTGTTGCAGTCAATGGTCCGTCAAGACGTGTGCTGTCTACCCGTCATCCCACTCCAGTCCAGGGACTCAGTGTCCTCTGTGTGGTATTGGCGATGAATAAGTATTTTATGAGAGTTGGCTGGTACAATAAGGCTCCTCCTCCCTCCGCAGCGCAAACGCGTGTCTGCCCATGGGTCGCCCAGTGAAGGATCTCGATCTTGTCTAGATCAGGCATGAAGCCCAGATGTTTCCGAGGGCCAGGCTTGGGCGTTGTGTAGCAGTGCATATGTATGCTAATCCTGAGATAATTCCTTCCGATGACCTATACTCCCGTTATATGAACAGGGCAATTTGGAGTAAACGACTCGAGGCGAGCGAGCACCCTGATTGACACGTCAATAAAGGTGCCCTTATGACCGCTTGATTACACCTACACATATACCCCACGATACATTTGGGGGCAAGACTTTTTGCTCTTTTTGGGGGCCAAGGTGACCTACGCCTATCATCTCCCCCCTTGGTAAGGTGGCTTTTACTGCACCGCCTCGGGTGTCGTCAGGTCCATACTTTAACGTCTGCCGACGAAGAAAGATGTTGAAGGGGATTCCCAAAATAATAACTAGATTACGTTAAGTCACAACTCCCAGATTGGCAGCCTTGTCTCCAACTTGGTCTCGAACGATCTCTTTCCCAAATGCCCTGGTATGAACTTAACGAAACATACTCTATTCTTACACGAATGACAAAAGTCCACCTTTCTCCAGGATTGGGCTTCATGCTTCCATGGTGCGTGCCCGGGGGAGGAGTGCTGACATGAAAATAGATGTTGCTTACGTCGGGAGTCCTAGACAAGCAACTCAGGCTCTCTCATGTTAGTTAGCGCTCCCACAACACGTGTCTTACGGTTCAGGCATTGAGCTGGACACCCCAATTTTCCAGATCGCTCCCACGTGTCTTACAGCCCGAGTGGTTTGGTAGGTAAGCACTCGCAGTCCCCGGGAATGCTCCTGCGGCGAAGATTCCCGCAAAGAGTAGCATCAGCGAGCCTGGCCCTGGATTGATGCAATTTGACCTCTACGGACCGGCGTTTCGCACCCCAAGACACTCTGACACCCTCCTTTCCAGATCGTGCACCAAGAGGATCGTGGCTTGAATGGAAGGTTTCATCACTCGTGAACCCTGAGAGATCGGGAAACATACTTGATTGCTCGAGTTCTTCCCGAAAGCTGAAATCAATAAAAGTTTCGAAGCCAGACGCCCAGTTTGGAAGAGCCTTCAGGGCAGTAAACACTCGGCCAATGGCGACGGCGACGGAGGCATGTCGGCCTTGACACGCCTCAGCCGTTCGATCCAGAGACCACACGACAGTATCTACCGCCGGTCTTTACTAGAAGTAGACAAGGGTTAGTAAGTACCATGGTAGGGAATATGACAGCGAGGCAGAGAGCCTGAGGCAATGCAGCTTTCAGGCAGCAGAGTTGTGTTGGCCGAGAGCCGGAGCCGCATTGGGGGCCATAGAGGATTGCCAATGGGAAGAAAAGAAAGGCAGGCCGGGGGATTTTTGGCAAAGGAGGTCGGTCCCTCACATGCTCGCTGTGCTAAGCGCAGCAACACCGCATTTCGCTACCGGTACGGGCCGCGGCTCACACCATGTTTTCGAAGCGAGAACAAGAAGAGTCATTTTAAGACAAAATGATATTAGGGTTTTGTATTGAAGAATGTGTGATATTTGGTCTAATTCCATGACTTGGTTGGTCTGGAGGAAATGGTCTGGCAGAAGAACTGGCTGATTGATTTGACTCCCGGCTTAGAACCTATGTTGTTGCAGAAGAGTACAGTCAGGAAGCCGTGGATTCGGCCTGAACAAGCATTGCCAGTCTGGATCCACTGTAGAAGAGGAATAGTCAGGCTCGCAAAGTGATTACATGTAGGAAAGTCATCAAACAACAGTGTCATCCCCCAAACTCCCAAAGTCACAAAAGGGAAGATGGTTGCTGTCGAAAGTAAGAGTGAAGAAGGAAAAGAGAACCGGAGCGCAAAAGTCGGAATGAAAAAAAAAACGACAAAAAAACAACAACAAATAAACCATTTAATAGCTTCGCACCTATACGTAAGGATTGACTACTTAGTTAGTTGCATCACAAGGTGACTTACAAATAGGGCGGGGGTTGACGTCGCTGACAAATTGTACACAAGACAGCCAAACTCGAGAATAATGCCATAATCAACACGACTATCTATGTATTAGGTACTTATATGTTCAGTAGCCCATTATACAAATATCACATTTATTGTGAGTTTGATTTCATAGCTATTCTTGTCCTTCTGTGAACCCAGCTCATTACTGTCAATTACTATGTCGAGCAAGCAAAACTTTGGTCTGATCAGGCGAGGCACTGGCAATGCTGTTCTCGAGCCCAAAGCCGTACCAGAGCTCCAAGATGACTACATCCTGGTGAGGACGGCCGCAGTCGCCCTCAATCCGACAGACTGGACCACTCTTGACGCGGCCGGGGACGACGGCACGCTCGTTGGCTGTGACTTTGCTGGTGTCGTCGAGGCAGTGGGCAGCAAGGTGACCAAACCTTTCAAGAAGGGCGACCGGATCGCTGGATTTGGGCACGGAGGTGAGAACGAACGACCCCTGAAGTGGGAACTTCTTGCGCGCAGCTGTGGACGGGAATCCGATCGGAGCATGTATCACTGACCGATAGGCTTGTCATTTCGTTGCTTTACTGTTTAGGTAATGATTTCAACCCCGAGACTGGCGCCTTTGCCCGGTACATTGCCGTCAAGGGCGACATACAGATGCACGTCCCAGACAGCGTCAGCTTCGAGGAAGCATCGACAACAGGTGTCGGGGTCGCGACGGCCGGATACTCACTTTACTACGTCCTCAACCTTCCATGGCCGGACGTGGACAATGCTGCGGTGGCGGGTCCGGCAGACACAGATGCCGATGTCATTTTTATATACGGAGGCAGCACGGCTACTGGGACTGTCGCGATACAATTCGCAAAACTGTGAGCTTGACAAATATTTTATCATCTCGTTCACTCATGAAGTCTTTTTTTTTTTTCTTGGAAAAGAAAAAAGGAAAGCAGTCCTTGTGACATTTCTAACATCTGGTAATTGCAAGATCTGGCTGGAGGGTGGTAACAACATGTTCACCACGAAACTTTGACCTCGTGAAGGGTCTCGGAGCCGATCTTGTTTTCGACTACGTACGTATAGATCTCAGTCTTTGACTTCTCCTCGGCCTACTTTTGCTTCGTATAACTGAACCACTCTTGCATGTGCAGAAAGACCCAGACGTAGGCCAAAAGATCCGGCAAGCAACATCCTCCCGCATAACAAAAGTCCTCGACACGGTCAGCGTAGAGTCCTCGGCAGCCATCTGCGCCGAGGCCTTTGGGCCAGACGGCGGCGTGTACTGCAATCTGCTCGGCGTCGACTGTCCCCGCGTTGACGACGTCAAGTCCGTCTTCTTCCTCGGGTACGACATGGGGGGCGACACGTACAAGTTCGAAGGGGAGACGTACGAGGCCAGACCTGAGGCGTTCGAGTTTGCCCGCAGGTGGCTGGAGACTGCTGAGAAGCTCTGGGCCGCGGGGAAGTGGAAGGCTCACCCTCAGCGGGTGGGCGAGGGGGGTTTGCTGGGTTTGTTGGACGGTATGCAGCAGATGCGTGAGGGACTGGTCAGTGGTGAGAAATTGGTGTACCGGGTGGACGATACGAAATGGCCTGGTGATAGTAATTAGTATTGGGCTTTCTTTTTTTTGGGTGGGGGGGGGGGGGGGGAGGTTATTCACGAAGCAATGCCCTGCAAGCCACAACCGACTTTCAATGACAGCAAGGTGTAATGAATCTTCTACACGTCCTTTGCCAGGATTATTTTACCACAGAGATGTTGATGATGTGAGGACATTATGGTTATAAAGTATTGGCTTGATTTGGGATCAATTTGTTGAAGCAGTTTGCTATGTAATGTCCAAGTACGTAGTTACTGAATGAATGTGATCTGTTGTTCTGGCTCTCCTCCACAAGATCAATCTCCCAGCACTTCTCAAAACAACTTTGTTGGACTCTTCCTTCACAGAGAAACTCGTCCAAAACCATATTGCATTCATTCCTTACTTCCTCAACTGCTTCCCAATGGTCTTGAACTCATCAGTCCAGCCAGAGACATTGCTCACCTTTCTGTACGGATCCAGGTTCAGGAACTCAGCATCCACAAAGACAGAATCGCCCAAGGTCACTCTTCCTCGGCTCACGAGCCCAGTTTGTTGGCCGTCACGCCCCAGCGCCTCCCAGGCCTTCAGGACATCGGCACCACTGGCGCCCTCGGGCGTCGGATCCTCCCAGATACTGACCACAAATTCCTTCCCAGGCCGGAAGAAGAAGGCCGGCAGGTCTGCCAGTACCTTATTGGAGTCCGGGAAGGGCTGCATCGTCTCCTCGCGGACAGAGTCAAACAGCAGCACATAAGGACGCCCATTTTCGAACCTCAGGTTGGTTGATGAGGAGGAGGAAGAAGAAGAAGAGGATTCAATCGCTAGCCGGATGTCCTTGGCCGAGAGCTGAATGTTGGGAGAGGCCAGCAGCGCGTGGTCGATGTTCAATGAGCTCGAGTCGCCGTAGAGATAGAAGGGCATCCGGTCCGTTGGGTAGCTGGACCCCAGGTACATTCCGTTGAGCTGGCGGTTCAGCCAAGGGCGAATGATCTTGAGTGAGACGTCTGAGAGCTCGGTGGAATCCTCACTGTGGAGTTTTGGTGATAATAGCAAAATTAATTTAGTCACTGGCGCTGTTTTGATGGCCACGAACTCAAGCAATGTAGTCGTGAAGAAGCTGAGACTTACGGAGATTTAAGGCTGATATTCCCATACAACTCTTTGTTATTCTCGATAGCGTTGTTGAGGTCAACAGGATTTACCATATCAAACATAATGAGGCCATCTGGGTGCTGAGACGTCACGCTGTTGTACCAATCCCTCGCGCGGCTCGGCAGCTCAACCTCGAGAAGTGTCTGGCGCCGATGATTGGCCACATGGAAACTGGGCTTGTGCAGGATGTATATGCGGTCTTTGCCCTGCATCATGAACGAGTGGATGGCCTCGGTCGCCTCGTTCCTCTCACGGCAGACCTTTTTAGAACAATCAGTGAGAAATTCTTCAATGTGATGTGCAGGGCCAAAGAGTTGACTTGCCTTGACTGCCTCCTGGGCGACTTCTTTGAAAATACCAGCCAGATGACCGATGAAGTCTTTTTCCGTCGGGAAAGGTGACATGACCACATTCCTCAGCACAAACAGTTCCTGTGGACCATCCACCAGGCCAAGTCTCTCCTTGAACGTCTTGAGACAATTTCCGTAGAGGTCTGGGTAAAACTCAGTAGACGTGAGATAGAGAGGAATTTCGGTCGGGTTGTCCTCTGGCGTCTTGACAGAGAGATGATCCACGATCCGCCTGTTGAAGTAGTTGGCCTCGGCCGGATCCGTGTTCAGCCTACCGTCGCTAAATCGAAAGTTGCAGGCGAAGGCGTTGATATTCAGGTCCGATCCGAGCTTCCGGATGAGCGTGATGGCGTCGTCCCCACCGGGGCTCTTGGAGTTATTCTGCACGATCTCCGTGTTGGACGAGGAGAGGATATTGTTTCTGATCCATTCTTTCTCCTCCTCGACCGACTCTTTTGTTGAGCCCTCTGCCAGCTCGGAAGGGAGCAGGTTGAGAGGTACGACCACGAAAGGCATACTCTCATCGGTCATGGCCGCCCACTGTGCAGCGAGCTGTATTGTTTTGATTGTAAGCGGGGAAGTAGAAGAATACGAAAAAGGAGAAGCAATGAAGACAGAAGAAAGGGAACAATTCAACTCACACGACCACAAGTGAAGGACACTTCCCCCAGGAGCGCACCGTAACCCTTCTCGTCCAGCCCAATACAAGCGTTGGCCATGTACGTTGACACGGCTGAGGCTCCAGGCTTGCTAATTCATCATCTTGAGTTTCAGTAAAGCTTACTAGGGTATGTGTGGATAAAATCATCTGTGGATAACGGATTCCAACTTACCTTCCTTCCACTCCATAGACACCAATGTTCTCGGTGGAACCCTGGGATAGATAGGGGGCATTCCAGGTGAGAAGGTGCCGCAGTCGCCCGTCTCTGTAGCATAGACCACCAGCAGGATACGGGATGTATCCTGCCTTGTGAGGGTCAACAGTGATGGAGTCGGCCTTTCGCAGCCACCATATGGCGTCCTGCGTCTTTTTCCGCAGGGGACTGTCTGGCACGAAGCCAGTCGCAGGGCCTCCAAGGTCAGGCGGGAGGAGCCCAAAACGACCACTGTCAGGAGCATAGTCCTTGGGCAGCATGGACGCAAAATAGCCTCCCCAGGCGGCATCAGCATGGACGATGAAAGACAGACCCTTTTCCTGGTACTCGTCTCGCAGGGCGATGATTTCGTCGAGTGGATCAACAGCACCCTCCTCGGTGGATCCGACGATGGCAACCACGCCATAGACAGCCTGTTTGTTCTCGAGGCGTTCCTCGAGAGCCGCGCGAAGCTCATCGACATCGAGACGAGCTCCGTTGTCGACGTGGATGCCGACCATGTTCTCAGACCCGATACCAGCAATGGCTATGTTAATTTTTGCGCGAATACGTCAGTAAATGGTGCTATTTAAGAAGCGGTACTAGTCATGATCATAATGACAATTGAATCAACAAGGGTTTCGCAGCACGAACCTGCTCCTTTGGGCCAGGAATAGTGACGAGTGTTGGATACAAAGTATTGTCCTGTCTTTTCAATGCCGAATTGGCGTTCCAGCGCCTCCTTTCCGCGGGACTGGATGCCGTATTGATCCATGATGGTCTCTATGTACTGCGAGGAAATGCCATAGTCGCTATTGAGCCTGTCTGGGAGGTCAAGAATGGTGTTGACCCGTAGGTTGAGGAGCTCCCAGGTAGACAAATTGATCAAGAGGTCTTCCTTGCCATCTGTGGTGCGAACCTTGAATGTGGTTGCGACGTCCGAGAGTGGACCTTCCATGGCCGCACGGAGGGAGAGAGGATAGAACTTGAGGTTGCGAGCTTGAGGGGCACAAATGCCAGTTAGTAAATGAGGGATAGTCCTTATTGGCATGAAACTCACCAGCCCTGTGATGGTCAGCCTGACAGGAACTTTTCAAGTAATAATTGATATTCACAAAGACCATGAACGCACCAGATCGATTCAAGATTCGCAACAGTCCCGTCACAAGTCACATGGCCCCACTTGAAAACTTTCAGTTAGCATCTTCTAATGGGCTTGGGAAATATGCATAGAAACTTCATGAATGCTCACGGGTTCTGGTCCCTCTGGGTCAGGGTGGCTCTCGTTCTCGACATTGATGTTATATCCAAACATGTCACATAGCTGCTTTCCAACCTCAATCTCGGCGAGGGTCGAGAGCGGCGACGCCTCACTTCGAACCAGAACTTCAGTGTCAGCATATAATTATCCAAGTCGATGCAGGGAGAGTAGACTCACAAAGCCACGTTGTTCGGATTGTAGAGCATGGTCGTGAAGTACCCAAGGAGCGAGGGCATACTGATGTCCATGCACATGTGGCCTTGGTACCTGGGCGACCAGAACGGGACCGAGTGCTGGCCAAGAAGTCTACCTAGCTGCTGCGTGGCATTGGCCACAGCCTCGGTACGGTTCTTGAATTCCTCTGACTGCTGGATATCCTTGGTAATGAAAACCTGTTTGATTTATAATGAGGTCAACATGTGCATGCTGCTTAGTTTTCTTTTTTCTTTCTAGAAGTAAGAAGAAAGAAGATTGAAGATTAAAGCAGACAATGCAAAGGCAGAACAGGAAAACAAGAATACAACAAGAAAACATCGAGGCTGGTCACAGTTATGCATAAATAACTTCATTTCATTGGCTTACCCCGTCTCCAGGGAAGTAGTTCAGTCTCGCCTTCTCCAGCTGGTCGAGAAGCACACCGATGTTCTTCCTAAAGTATGCCATATTCTCCGCTTGAGGGCCGATGAAGTAGGAGCTGATGGCCTGGTGGCTGACGTCCTCATGAGACGCCTTGGAGGCACCGCTGGTGAAGACATTGCCGTTGTCCTTAGTCAGCTCGACACCTCCGGTGAGGCCCTTGAGGCCCTGGGAGAGGTCGATGTCAACATTTGCCGACACGTTGCCGACCCCGGAGAGGCCGAGGCTGCTGCTGCCCTTGGCCTTGCCAATAGACGGCACGCTGAGGCCACTTTGGAAGTGAGCACCGCCCAAGTTGAAGATGTCCATGTTGTTGTTGCTGCTGTTGTTGCTGCTGTGCTGTGTTGAAACTATGATCTAACCAGCACTCGACAAAGGAACTGCTGGACTCTCTGGTCAAGCTGCCCTGGCATGGAAGAAGGAGGAGGAGAAGGAAGGCGATGATGAAGATGGGCCTGAGCTCTTGGCTTTTTTTTAATGCTCCAGACATGGCCAGCCTGACATCACCTTCGGACAGTATTGTCGCGATCAAGTGTGACCGCCGCTTGGCAAACCCCGCTCCCAAGACGTCAATGTTGTTGTGTCTGGCCAAACACCAGGCCGTATCGTCCTGGTGGCTGCATATCACGGGGGCAAGAGTCGTCTGCCGCTTATGCAGGATAGAGTGATTGTGTCGTAGGCGGCTTGTCATCGACCGCCATCTCGTGCGACTCTACAAAGGCCGTGCTGTGTGTACGTGTGTGTGTGTGTGTGTGTGTGTGTGTGTGCAAACGGCTCTCGAAAATAAAAGAAGCTAATTATGGCCCAGATCGTACAGTCTACGATGATTGCATATAGATAGATTCTTCTATCTCACCAACATCAACTTCGTGTATATATTATAAGTACTTGAGCACGAAAGCTAACAGCCTACACAATTCACGTGAAGATACATACACATGGACATATTCTCAACATGAATTGTATGATTACTTAAGTAACAAATGTGTGATTACCTGAACATTTATACATTGGCATTACATATTTATCTTCTTTGCTAAAGCTTTGCAGAATATTTATAGGATCAATCAATCAATCAATCACGCCCTATTTACAAGTTCGTAACATACATATATCTGCTATAAAATCCAATTACAGAGCTTCCAAGGAATTGACACATGTTTTCCACAGTCCGAATTATACTGAGCATACGTAATGAGTGTATAGACGCTTGAGTACGTATGTACCTATGCTGATGTACAATGCATACATGTATATAGCATCAAAAATTTCATCAGCCTCAAAGTGGCTCACACTACGCAACACAATTAATCCTGCATCCACTACTCCTCCTCACTCGCACGCACATACACATACTCTGTCTCTCTATATCTCGACTCGAACAACGCAACGTAACGTTCAGACAAGACCGTCGGAGCCAAATACCTCCCCAACCCCCCTCCATATGGCGTAGGTCACGTACAGCGACGATCTCGATATGAGTATGACCACATCCCCTCCCTTTCCCCCCTTTTATTCCACACCGGTGAGCAACGCCGCGCAAGACAACAAAGGTACCTTCTGCAACCTCCGAGACTGATGCATGTCTCGGAGGGGGGACGAAAAGGAAGAGAATTTGGGGGGGGGGGTAGGGAAGAAAAGAAAAGAAAGGAAAAACAAACCTCGTCATTAGTGACGAAAAAGCAGAGGTACCTCCCGATGTGACCCAAAGACTTTCAGGTAGAAGCAAGTCACTAGGACAAAAGCCTCATCTGCACCAGCAGCTCTCAACACGAGAATCATTTACATGCATAAACCGGGCCGAAGGGGTGGGGAATCCTTTTGATCTACTCTTCTAACCCAAGTTAGTAGAAAAAAACAAGGTACAACCTAAATTTACTTTTCCATCCTTGCGGCTGTGACATGATCAACCACAGACCACGAAAGCAATCCTCCAGTCCTCCAGATCCTGGCGCCAGGCGCGGGTTGGGGTAAGAAAAAAAAAAAAATTAACAAGACGACAAGGAGAGACTGAGGTGCGCAGAAACAAGGCCCGCTGCAATCGTGGGGAGAGGGGTGGGTTGGTCTTGCACAGAAGTGGGGAAGTAATTGGTGTGGGGGGGGGGGGGCAAGGGAAACACATCAAGTCTTCTTTTGTTTGGCGAAGATCTTCAAGACCTCATCGGGATAATCCTGATCGTGTCCTACCCACCTACCCACCATGGATGCATTCTAATGGCGGGAGAGGACAACTTTTGGGAAGCGAGAAGAGAGTACCTCCTACGTAGGTTTCATTTCGTGGTATTGGACCCAGATGCAGATAGCAGACCCGATAGGCGTTGTAGCACGGCAGCGGAAAGAAGAAAATGAAGAAGCATTCTCGGCTGCAGACTGAGTGAATGCGGGTACGGATCTCGGTGTAATAGGAGGAAGCATTGACGAAGGGGTGACGGTAGACGAGAAGATGGAGGGGAAACCGGGACAATTGGAAAATGCTGTGTCATGACATTTGTTTAGGAAAAGATTGGTGCAACCGATGATCACGAATGGACTTGGGTAGTAAGCTCCCGTGAATGGTCATAATTTTTTACTTTGTGTTTTTATCTCTGTCATTTGGGTACCTAAGTACGCAGCAGGTAGACGACTCAGACGTCTCCTGGATCCTCCATTCCTTCCATCATCTGCGATCAAACTAGCAAGTAAGGTAATAGTATTCATAATTCCTAAGCCCCCCCCCCCCCCGGGCTACGGCCCCTCCAGCTGATTTCTTGTTTTTCTTTTTTCCTTTTGTCCGCCCTCATCATGTACAAGTCACAAGCAGTAATAGTGCGCTAGCGTGGAAAAGACTCGCTCCCCGTCTCCCAATCAATGTTACAGCACAGCATGTGGAATGATCGACGACCAGAGAACGATCTCAAATAGAGTTCAAAATGAAAACGCCCAACGAATGCAGAGGTATTGTGTGTCTGGTTTCCCATTTCCCATCCAGAGGATTTCATAAAAATAGAAAGAAAAAAAAAGAAAGGACATGCAACATATGGGGGATATCTCTTTCCCAGTCCACGATATGATCTTTTTGTTTTTCCCGGCTCGCCCCCTCCATAATACTCCAGTTCCATGATGAATGTGGTAGACAAAGGGAAAGAAGAAATAAACACAAGAAGAAGACAAAACCAGGTTAGTGAAGAATGGAAGAAAGGGAGAGAAGAAGAAGAAGAAAATAAAAGAAAGAGATAAGAGGAAAACCACATCGCCCGAAATGCAAGTTCCTTTGCCTAGAGCAAGCCTTCCGGACCCCTTTGATGATGATGATGATGATATGATGATGATCTTGTCCACTATGCGCCTGATGTCGAATGCTCAATTGGGGGGGTATCTGCTGCTTAAAATGAACTTGTCTGTTGGTCACTGCGTCGTGCTGCTTTTTTTGGTGGTTTTTTTTTTCTTTTTTTTTTTTCTTGCTGTTGTTATTCTTGTTGCTGCCCTGTTCTTCAGGGGCCCGAATTTTGCAGTCCCTACTTTTGGGTTAGGGTGAACGGCCATCGAGGTCGGGTTGAGAATGATGGGCTCATGGCGTCAAGCTCATGGCGTGCTGAATAAAGAAACGAAGACGCTCCTGATGTTCATAATACAACATATGGTGCCTGCCGCTTTGTTTGACGAATCGAAGGCGATGAGAGTGTGATAGTGTTGGTGGTGGTAGTAGTAGTAGTAGTAGTAGTAGTAGTAGTAGTAGTAGTAGTAGTAGTAGTAGTAGTAGTAGTACAACATTCAGATCCTCGTGTACACACTCTGCGTCACATGGAGGTCTGAGAAGGAAGCTGCGCCGGGACGACGGAGTCCTTATCCATGCTGGACTTGGGACTCTGCTCCTTGCGGTTGAAGACGCTCCTGCCGACCCTCTTGAACTTGTTAGAGTTGTCAGTCCCAGCTTCGTAGTCGACGAAGACGCTGGTGATGTTGTCCACCTTGATGCGGCAGAACAGTGTTGAGAACAGGTATTTGTCGCCGTTGTGGTCCAGGAGCGGCAGGGTGCGATACCCTTGTTTCAGGCTCGTCAGCTTGGCCGTGTAAGTCGCAATGGCAGGAGACCGGTCGTTGTAGTTGCCATTGTCAGACAGCTTCACAGACCATCGGACAAAGACCAGGTCAGGGTACTTGGTTCTGACGTCGAATTTGCACGGCGTCTGGAAGATGGGGTTAAAGCCATTCTCCCTGACGACCTTGGTGCGCGACTTGAGGGGCCAGCGTAGCGGCTGCCCGCTGGCATCTCGCTTGTCCCGCTTATCGTCAGCGAGGAACACCTCGACCTCGACGTACGGGTCTACCGTTCTGCGCTCGCCCAGGTTGGTCGGGCGCATGAGCTGCTGGGCCGAGATGACGTCGATGGTGAAGCTGACGTCCTTGCGCTCCCGCTTGCTGGCCAGCTCCTCCGAGACCATCTGTATCTCCCTGAAGGAGCGTGGCTTCAGGACGTAGCCAGAGCCGTCCTTGCCGCCCGCAAACATGGCCTGGTTGAATTGCATACCCAGGTCCAAGGTCTGCCAGTTCAGAGCAGCCATCTGGACGCCGCGTCTCCAATAAATCAGCGGGTCAAAGTTGGTTGATGTGAGCCGGTGCTGGCCAGGGTAGACGCGCATCAGGTAGCGCATGTTGTGGCGAAAGAGGGCGTCCTTGCTGCTCTTGGTCGAGCTGTTGTTGAGGAACGTGCGCTCCTTGAAGGACAGGATGTGGTTGAAGACCTTGCAGTCCGCATCCTCGAAGCCCCTGAATTTGACCCCGAGACAGTAGACACCCAGGTCACCAAGCACATTGGTGATCTTGCTCTGTCTCGACCGCCCAGTCTTCTCTGGTCCGCTGTCGTCGCTGGAACTACTGCTCAGCGCGTCCTGGACGTCCGAGATCTCGCCCTCGGTGATCGTATTCACGCGGCGGTTGCTATTGCGCCGGCTGCCAAGATAGTTGGGGCTGAGGAGAGGACTGTTGGGGATGGACGCCTCCGAAGGCGCCGTGGGCCGAGAGAAAGGAGACGTCAGGCTGTTACCGCGCCGCCTGCCCGTGCTGCTGCTGCTGCTGCTGCTGCCGCCGGCGGCGGCGGCGCCTGTTTCAGGAGCCCTGGGATCGTTCAGGTTGGGTGACTTGCACTTGACGAGGATCCGGCCCTTGAGCTGCTCCGGGGTGGGAAGCTGGTCCTTGGCACCCTCGAGCGGCTCCGTCACGAGCTTCTCCCCAAAGATCTCCTTTAAGATGTTGGCCATGACCTCCTGCTGTGTCGGGCTGCAGTGTACCTCCAGGGAGACCCATAGCGGGTACTGCGACTTGACGAAGGCGTACTTGTTGATGGCAACAATGACCTCACGGAACAGGATGGCCGTGGTCAATGTCTTTCCGTGCGTGACCATGGGCTGGTTGTCGGGCCCATCCCAGCAGTCCACCTCGACACACCGACAGCCTCGCATGAGGGCCGAGATATAGCCCTCGATGCTGGAGACGTCGGCAAACTGGCGACCGGTGAGGTAGGTGTTATGAGAGCTAGAGATGTAGTACTCGTTCACGGGCCGGTTAAGCTCGCAGTCCTCGGGGACAAGTTCAAGAGGGAGATTGTGGTTCGACATGAGATACTTGGCAAGGGAAGCCTGACTCATGCGTGGCTTCTCTGTAGTGCCGTCATCAGTGCCGCTGCCGTACTTGGTATTGAAGGACGACAGCGACGACGAGGAAGACGACGAGAACTTGCGGCTGAACTGGTTGAAGATGACCTCCAAGGCTGCACGATCGGTGACGTCCTCGTTTTGGATCTCCCTGAGGAACCAGAGAAACTCGTCAAAATCGAGCCCGTCCTTGTGGCTAGGGCGGATCTCCTCCCTGTATATCTTGTCGACATCGGCCCTGTATGCCATGATGCGGACGAACTCTTGGAATTCGCCGTAGTTGAGTTTGCCCGTCTCTGTCTTGTCGGCTTGGTCAAAGTTGGCCTTGAGGGTCTCTGGGGAGACGTGGATGTGCAGGTTGCGGCAGACCTGCTCGACGCCTGCGAAATCGAGCTCCTCTTCGATGGGAGGGTTTTCGGGATAGATCCTGGCCATCTCCTTGCGCCAGTACTCCTTGATGGCCCTGTCATTGAAGGCCATGAGCGATGTCATGAGATCTTGACGATGCTTGGACAGGGCAAACAAGGCGGTGACCCAGTGTTCGAAGTGCTGTTCATCATCCGCAATGAGGTGCATGGTCTTCTGCTTCCTGTCTGGCACGGCATACAAGATGGAGAAGAAACGGGGCTCTTCGGACTCGGCTACTCCACAGTCCAGGCGGTACTGTCGAGCCTCTGGGGCGACGCGTATCTCCTTGATGTCATCAATGTATACGGACTTGGATGGTCGATTCTTGTCCCAGGTGATCTTGCCGGCATCTTGATCAAGCACTAAGGTCAATCGCTTCCGCCGCTTCGCCGAGACCTTAGTGATGGGCGTGCCCTGCAATAACACGCGCTGGACGACGGGACCCGAGTGGATATTAGACGAGATGGTGGATGTGGCAGCCACTGAGGACCCGCCACAGGTCTGCGAGAAGTCCTGGAGGGGCTCCCCCTCGGCGATGGGCACAGGGTACAAGGGCTGATCCTTGACACCGAGAGCCTCATCGTCACTCTCGGAGCAGACTGCGACGGCATAATCAGGTGGGGCCGTGACACTACTATCGCTTCTCCCGCGCCGCATGACAGCTGGGCCTATGCTGGTATCACGACTGACGGGTTGTGTCGAGGACGTACGCCGGCTGCTGATGAGCCGCGAGCCCTCTTTCACCTTGTTGGAGAACCGTCTGAGCAGGCCGCTGCTCTTTGTCGGCTGAGATTCATTCTGTGCTGAGCGTTCGCTCGTCAGGCTCTGTGGTAACGAGGTGGTGCTGGTCTTCCTCGAGATGCTGGCCTGGGCGGAGGCGATGGAGGGCGGGAGCTCCATGGGCGGGGGCACGGCCGAGGGCCCCTCGTTAGGCTCCCTATCAGGTGCTTGGTCTGGGGAGGCCTGTATGGAGGTGTTGGTGGTGGTGGGCATGGCGGATTCTGGAGACATGGTGGGGGATGCCTGCAGAGGACTGGAGGCCATGGATGAGTTGGTGATGGCCGACGTGGGTGCGTTTTGTGTTGTCTGAGAATATGGTGGTGACGACGATAATGATGATGCTCCTGCTGCTGCTGCTACCAGGTTGGTCGTCTGCACCTTACTGGGGCGTGGACGCCGGGGTTGTGGAAACTGAGGGCTATTTGAATGTGCCGGCAGCAGGGGCCCTTGTGAGGGCGTAGAACAAGATGTGACTTGTAATGTTGAGTTGTTGTTAATGTTGTTCTTGTTGGCGGACGACATGGTGATGGATGTGTGTGGGTGATGAGGCACCGGCCAGTGAGAATTCTCCGTGAGTAGTAGGCTGAGCCGGGGGAATCTGTGGACGGAAGGGGCCCCCGACTTTATGTGAAGAGAGCTGGCATTTATATCAACGAGCTGCTGGTCAAGGGCCGCATTTTCGGGTCGTAGTGACGGTACCCCCAACTGGTCCTCCCTCGGGGCAAAGAAGATGCGGGGAAGAGACAATAGAAGGATGGAGAGAGATAGAGAGAGAGGAAGAGAGCAAGAGGAAGGAGGGGAGAAGAGAGACACGGAGAAAGGGATCTGAGATTGGATCTTCCTTTGGAGGGATCGTGGGTAAAGTGAAGTTGCAGAGTCAAGTGAAAAATGGGGACCTTTTCCGGGGTTGAGGCTGCAGGTGACCAAGTGACCTCGTCGTCAGCCGGCTAGTCGTTCTCTCTTGAGCAGACACACAATAATAGACGGCACCAGGCTCGAGTCCAGGGGGGTAGGAAGAAAAAGAGGTGTGTGTGCGTGTATGTAGATGTGTATAGGTTGTGTACCCAGATGCCTGCAGGTCGGGTACCGGAGTTGTAGTAGAGAAAGAGTGGTAGAGTGAGAGTGGGAGAGAGAGAGAGAGAGAGAGAGAGAGAGAGAGAGAGAGAGAGCGTGTGTGCGTGTGAGTGGTTCTGATAGATGTAGGTCCTAGCCAGGAACCAGTACAGGTCGTGTACAGCTACCGTGCACGGAAGAGGCGCGAAATTGCGCGGTGGGCCAGAGTCGGCACAGAAAAGAAGTGGGATGGGCCCCCAATGATAGTTGAGCGTGCGCAAGTCGCGATACCTTGGACACAGGCGTATTGGTGATGTGGCAGACCGTCATGCAGGTCGACAGATTCGGCTGCCATGCGCTAGCTGGGGAATATGCGAGAGTCCCACAGCCAAGTACTCCTGGTGGCAGCTGCAAGCCTGCTGCTGGGAGGGTCGTGAGGTGGGATGGCGATCGTTTCCCCGAGGTGGTCGCTGCTGCAGCGAGGCGGGAATTCGAGCGCGCCGGACGTCGAGCTGCAGTCTCCTATGTCTCCTGCGCCCCTCCTCTTCCTCTTTTTCCTTTGTGACTCTTGTTCCTTTTTGGAGTTCCTCGGCGCGCGCAAGCCGAGCCTCGCGGTCCTTTTCCCACAACAAATATGGTAGCAATGCGGGGGTTTGTATGCTTCCCTGGCTTTACCACCCCGCCAAAAAGAAAGAATGAAGAAGGAGAAGAACAACAACAACAAAATCCCTAGGCGCTCGAGCTCTTGTTGGACCTGCAAAGGAACTTCCTGGCTCTCGACCTCCTCCTCTCGTGCAGTTCGTGGTAGGGCCTAATAGCACACCAACCGGCCCAAGTGCACAGGCGACGCGCGCAGAAGAGAAAGCTGCCCCCACGGTCCTAGATATAAGAGAAGGTTCCAGGAGAGGTTGATCTAGGGTCGAAGTACGACTCGGCGCAAGGTGGCTCCAGTCTGCCGTGGTTTGTTCCCAGGAGATCTGCGGCAGGTGAATTGGAACGCGCAGCTTCAAAGAAGCAGCTTCGAGGATTCGCTGCGGTCCTATCTTCTTGGAGTTCGCACAGCGATAGCTGGCTGTGGATTGTCGGAGCAAAAGGCCTGACTTTGGGTCCTTTTCTGGTCGAAGGGTGCGGGCGGGCCGTCCAGCGTCGTCAGCGGTGTCTCGAAAGGTACGGAGGATGTGTACGAGGTCTGCCCTTTGGCAGCACGTTCAAGGTAGGCTTGGGATGTCGAAGTGAAACGTGGACATGAAAAGGATATGTGATTGTGTGGGTGTGGGTGTGGTGTGCAGAAGCCTGGTGGTGGTGGTGGTGGTGGTAGTCCAGTCCAGTCCGGTCCAACAGCAATGGTGGTGGTGGTGGTGGTGGAAACATTTGGTCGCTCGGGGGTGGTGGGCGTTTTCTTAAGTGCGTGATGCTAGTCTAGGTGGCATGGCTGTGAGATTGAGACAGGGGGGGTGAGACCATGGCACGTAAGGAACGAACAGAGCACCATAGAATACACCAGAGCCACACAGAGCTTAGAGTGGGTACGTATGGTCAAGAGGGAGCAGAGTTCCAGCAGGGTTCCTTGCTCGTTGATCTTTTTGCGGTCGTCACAAAGTCATGGTAAGAGTAGTTAGAGCTACGGAAAGGGTCAAAGTCTGAATGAATGGCCTTTGGGGTCGGGGGTGGCCTTGCGCAGGTGTACGTACAGAGTACCAAAAATTGTATAACGGGTACGTGGGGCAGGTACAAGCATCACCTAGGTACAGGGCGGGTACAAGGTACACGGCGGGCGACAATCTTGGTTTTCTGCAGCCCGGTTGGGGACATTGTGAGCGGGGGAGCCCGAGTGGGCACGAAGAAAAGGGTCGCGAATATGGTCAGAAGACTGGATGACATGGGTCTCGTTCAGTGAGTTATCCATTGGAAGAAGGGAGAAGAAGAAAAAGAAGAGGAGGAGAAGGAAAGAAAAAAAAGGACAGGGCCACTGGAGCAGCAGGGGCTAGAGACAGGTAGACTCTTGTACTTCTAACGCATGTATACTGTACTAGCTGCCTCGCTAAGAGGCACGCGCGGGGTGGGCCGGTTAACGCGCAAAATGGATGTACCCTGTTCAGTACCTAGTACAGATCCACAAGTCTTGTCGATCAAGCTCCAGCCGCTCATCTTCTAAAACCCCGTCGCATTGCTGATTGCCATATTGAAAATGTCTCCTCCAGACAGGCTAGTCCCAGGAACCGTCTCGGTCCCCCCCTTGGAGGTCACGGCGGAAAAAGGGGAACAAAGATCTCGGCTTGAATGAAGTGTGCAGCGTACGAGAGAAAGAATACCGATTGAGGCACATTCACCGTCAGGGTAGTAGTAGTACTACTTAGTCTGGAAAATTCTCTCGGGCAGAGATGCGACAGGGCAGCCTGGCTAAGGCGTGGGCTTTACTGGGCAGAAAAAGATTGGGTCATTGAAATTTGACGTGGCCCGGCAAGAAGGTGACGACACAACAAAAGACGTCACCAGGGAACCCCCCCAGGAGATGTGTCCATGGTACTACCATGGTAATGTACCATGTAATACTCCAGATCTTCAGAGCATGACCAGACCAGGGGGGCATGTCACCATACATAGTACATGGTAGTACCGCACAGGTATCACTTCTCAGAAAATCCTCTGCTGGTGCGCTCTCGGCGGGGCGTAACCTTGTGAAGGGGGCCGGTAGGGAATGGGAGGAGCAGAGGAAGAAGGGGGGGGGGGGGAGGGTGCGCTGAAAATGGCCCTATTACAATTACCACAGTACCACTCAGCTTTTGTGATGCTGAACACTGGCAAACAACAGCTGCTGAGGAAGGAGACATCCCACCAAAGGGGGGAAAGGGTTCCAGACAGAGTTCCTGACTGATTGAGATTCGTCCCTTCCCCTTTCCTGGGTGCTGTACATCGCAGCTTCAGTCTTTGGGTAATCTCTTCGAGCACTGTACATACATAGTACCTTTGCTGTGTCCATGTGGGGCCAAGCCCAAGTCTGACGGCCGATGTACCCACTCACCCACACACAAAGTCGGCTTCTGTTGTTTTCCTTTCCTTTTTTTTTTTCTGCGTTGCTCTCAGGTACAGCGTTGGCAGCCCCAAGCCAAACGGCAACTTGACCCGTTCCTCTCGAGCGCGCGCACATACACGCTTTTCTTGTGTTAAGACAGGGCAACCACAGCCTAACCACATCTGCTAGCATTTGCTATAGTATCAGATTCAGCTATTACCTACACGGTACAAATAGCGCCAACGGCTGAAAGTCAACCTGAGAAGCTTGGACGATGACAAGCTACCACCACTTTTTCTTTTCCCTTCCCCTGCCCTCCCAAGCCGTTTCCAAGCACAACAAAGCTGACGCTTTAACAAACACAGAGGACGACAAAGGAAGCCCCGTTTCCCGTTTCCCCCCTTCAGTCTGAGTCATGATGACTACGATTCGCGCGCGGAAGGGCTCGACAATACGGTGAAGCCCTATACCACGGCCGTGTACTCAAGTATTCTTGCCCAAGCGCTTACACTTCTCATCTTGCCTAGCATCCTCCTATCAACCCCAATGTACCTGCTTTGCGTGGTGGACACATATCTCCCCGCCTGCCTCACCGGTATGGGGTCACAAGTATTGCATGCCGTGTCGGGCATCTTGAGACAAGTCTCTGCCTCTCTTTCCGACCATAAGTCGTGGATCTATTCTATTCATGCCTTACTGGGGATAGGAGTAAGAGAGCGGAGGGCGACAGTGATCATCGCCAATCCCGCCTTGACGCATTGCCTTCCTCATTCCGCGGCGAGCAGCGGCGGGGAACATTCTGTCATGGCTCCATTGATCATCGCGACAATTGGGCATTCAACTTGTCCACGCTACAGATCGCATAGAGACACCTCACCAAACCTGCTCGGGGAATCCGCCCCTGCGGATCCGCGCATGTATTTTTTCTTCTTTTTTCTTTCTTTTTCATGGTGCGCTATGAACCTTTGATAAGGGTCTTGCGCCTAGCGCATAGGCATGGGCATATACATAGACATAGACATAGACGTGGCATAGACAGCCCTCAATTAGTTGGGTAAGCGCATTGTACAACCACTCCCACCCTCCCCTTACCCACACCACAATAAACGACCAACCCCCCCCCCCCCCCCAAAAAAAAACTGGTCCCCGCAGCACTGACACCGGAACTGCTTGCCGTTCTCAAGTTAATGGGGGTCTGGCCAGCCTTGGCTCTTGATAATCGAAAGACCTTCTAAAAGCGTTACAGATGGAAAAAGAGGGTTGGGCGTTGGGAAAGAGTATGAGTCTGGACCGGTCCAGTGCATGCACTCCCCCAGCACGCCGAGAGGAGAAAGTATCATTTGCTCTCGGTTTAAAAATCTCAATCCCGCAAGCCCAGGGGCCCCGGGCCAAAAAAGCACATTTTCAAGGGTGGTTGCTGTCTTGTCAGGGCTGACGGGTGTGGCGCACTGCTCCT